GCTCGCCTCCCTCGTGTGCGCGCACCGGCAGCATCGGGCCACAGCGTCGGCAGGCCAGTCACCATGCGCGCATGCCTTCGTAACCGGAAAGGGCGGACCTGATCGGTGGAGTGCCTTTCACTTTCTGCCGCCTGACACTTCCAGATTTTTCGACGAGCAAGGGTGGCTTGAGCCCGGCAGAACGTAAGGCCGTACTGCCGCGTCGCTACTGCCGGGGCTGAGGCGCAGAGTCATCCAGAGTCAGAAGACGCAACCGTGGCCACAGCAGCGGCGAAGGCACAAGGCGACGAGCCAAAAAAAAAAATCGGTGCAGCGTGCTCCCGTGAGCAGCTCACAACCCCACATTGCCCCGGCACAGACACACCACGCGCAGCAGTCTTCAGCTTCGCTGTCAAGCCTCTGGGCCGGGCGCTGCGCACACCGCTCGTCCTCTGCGGGCCTCGATGCACGCCCGGCCAGCCCAAGGGATGCTTATCGGCAATCGAGCCCTGCGCTTTCCGCCTTCTCCACACGGCAGCGGCGAAGGAAGGCGGGAAGGTCGGCCCATCAGCCACTGCAGCAGGCCGGCTCGCCCGGGGCAGGCGCTCCCTCGTTCCGTAGTCGCTAGGTAGCGGTCTTCTGTCGCGCGTTCCATCACTCGCAAGGCCACAAGGCCAACCAGCGAACCAGCCAACCAACCAGCCAACCAGCCAACCAGCCAGCCGGCCGACCAGCCGGGCCAACCAGCCACCCGCCGTGCACCGCGATCCCCGGCCTCGTTTCGATGGGCACACACACGAGCGACGAGCAACAAGCGTGCAAGCTCCCCGCTACCGTCTCACGAGCTGGCTCGAGTAGATTGCGACCCCAGAGTTGTTCGCGGGCGCGGCGCCGTGATGCGCTGCAGGCCCGGTGTGGGGCAACAGAAACACGCTCGAGCGGGCGGGCGCGCGCTTCATGAGGAGGCGGTAAGCGTCTTGAATCGTGGGTTGCAGATTGCCACGATGGCCTCGCAAGCCAGTGGCCAGCGTTGCAGAAGCACACAGCGCCTCCTCTCCGCCCCCCACATCGGTGTCCAACGTCCAACATCCGCTGTTCTCCAACATGCAGCGCGCGCTTACTCCGTCCACCGGGTGCTGATCTCGCTTGCTGTGTGCCATCAATGCACCGACGCGCAATCACAGTTAATCAAGCCTTCAATCAGCTTCACACGCGAGATTCGAGAATGCTCTGCTCTTACCTACCTCTTACCTCTGCCGCGCCCCTCGTGACCTGCTGCCCCGTCGTCATCGCGGCCGCACTGCCGCTTCAAGCCTCCCGCATTGAACGAGAGTGTTTCAGCCAGTCGCACATCCTCCCGTCCCAGCCCAGCGTCATCTCCTAACCGTCGACGGCAACGCGGTCGAGCCCACGGCCGCAAGTGTCGCCCTCGGAGCTTTCCAATCGAGATGACGCGCAAATCTGAGATGCTGTTGCTGTTGCCCAATGCCCCAGCCCCGTGCAGCCCGCCGCACCCATGCCATCCATGCCGTCCATGCCCGCTCTGCCCGCTCTGCCCGCTCTGCCATGATGAGCAGCACCAGGGCCCGCGAATGGGAAGGGCCATAGCAGACCGTTGCCTAGCCCGGCCAGCGACCGTCAATGCGCATCACATAGGTATGCCAACTTTTGTCTCCGTTTGGCGCGCCGGTGAGAGCGCAGCCTTTCTCACCACCACCGACCCCCCCGAGGCTCCCACGCCTGCCGCTCGATTGCCGCCACGTCCTGCTCGTTTCGTGCTGCTGCTTCACAATGCCGTTGCCCAGGCCGTGCGCCCGTGCTCTTCTGTCGCCGTGGCCATGATGGTTTGCCCTCCTCGGGAGCAATGGCTTCCGTGCCAATCTGGGACCGGTCTGCATCACCATCCCGCCCCCTCGAACCATGACGCATCCGTTCCCTCGGGGAGCAGGGCAGGGCACGGTGACAGGGCACGGCTGTTGGGGGAGGTGGTGTGTGCGTGTAGCTAAGGGAGCGGGAAGAGGGAAGAAAAAGCACGGGTTGCCGCCGCGGGAAGGGGGCTCACTACTTGTCTCATCCAGACGTCAGCGTCGACGACCCCCTCCCAGCCGCCGATGATCGCATAGGCCCTCCGCCCTCCATCAACACTAACCATCCGCCCAGCGCTAACGTCTTAGCCAGCTAAGAAACATCATCGCGTCAGAAAAGGCCGATCGACGAGTTGCGTACTTTGACTGTACCGTGGCTCGGCCGTATTCCTTCCGTCCTTTTTTCTTTTCTCATGTCCATCATCTTTCTCTTCCTTGCGGCGGCGGTCGCGTTTGCTGACTGTACCAACAAGGCCTTGTCGGGAACGAGCCGCTGGTAACAGGATTTTCTTTCGCTCCTTGGCTGGTCCCACATGCGACGCATGTAGGTATGCTGGCTGGTGGCGATGCTCTTACATAGTACTCGCATCAGCTGTCCTAATCTTGTGTTTAGGTATGTATATCACACCGAGTGCGAGCCCCGCACCTTGTTTCGCAAATGGGGTCAGCAACAGGGGGAAAGCTTAATTGACCGATAAAACTTTCCGACGCAGCCATGAGCGTGCTGTGCCCTTGTCGCTGCGTGCAGTGTGCGCCTGCTGAGAAGCGGGGGACGGCGGTAAAATCAGTCATCCGCCACCTCCTCTTCTCTGCAACGGTTCGGCGAGCAATGTAGGACGAGAGCCCAAGAGACAAGCCTGCTTCCGATCGTACGTCCTGCAAGAATTGCCGAATCAGAAGCGACGTCTACTCCAGCGCTGGTGATACCAATCTCAGCCCTTTCCAGTAGTGCGAGAAAGGTAGGCTAAACGTGCTCGAACTCTATTTCCGCTTGCATGCATGTAGAGCTGCAGCTGAGGGGCTTGCACTACTGCTTGCTCTTACTCATGATCTCGGGACCCTTGGAGTTACCGAGCCATTCGGCATACTCTCCATTATTAGAGCCCTACCCTCGTGTTGCGGGTGCTTGCAGTATAGCCCATGCTACTAGCCTGCAAGCATAAACCCTCCCCACATTTTTGACTACCACTCCTTGCGGGATGCAAGCGGAACGGGGTCGAGCCAATTAGCAGACTTGCGGGTGCATGCTCATTACTCCCCTTTGGTACCTCGCGTGCCTTGTGTGAAGTGACGAGTGTGTGGTGAAATGCTCTACGCGAATCAGGTGAGAAAGCAGCATGGCGCGAGGCCGTGTGGTGACGGTTCGCCGGCTTTGGCTCGCGTGGCTTGACTCCTGGGTGAAAGTTGATCTTAAGGCTGACCAGCTGAACCCGGATCCGGCCAGAGACGTCAAGCTTGGCAACGCTCTCAACGTGTGTCCTCGGTCCTTTCTGATGACACGGGCTGAATTGTGGTTGGTTGAGTGAGTGGCTTCACCAAAAGGCGCTCGACTGCGGCTGGCATGCCGCATACGTCGTCCGATGACATAAAACTTGAAGACGCACGCAGGCTTTGCCGCCCCGGCGGCGCTCGCCAAACAGCCAGCGCGACTCATGGAATAGCTCGGATCAGCTTTCAGGGCAAGTATAGAGATTTGGTGTATCCCTTCTCAGGTGTGGAGACTGTGAGCAGTTCGAGGCTGAAGACACTAGTGGCGTCGAGTCAGTTGGCGTAGGCTGGCGTAGCCACGCGCACCGTAAAGAATACGACGGAGGGTGGTGTTCCTTGGAGCCCTATAAAGTAATGACGCTGTCAACCATGGAAACAATGGTGGAGCCCATTGGTACGGACCGGAAGCCCCGCAGCCAATCTGGACGCCGCCACCGGAAAGAAAGCCATGCCAAAAGGAATCCAAAAAGGTAAGGCTGATTAGAAGAGCCGGCGCTGGGTCTAATGTGAGAAGCGCCGGCACTAGGCAGCCATGAACAGCTTCTCCGTCCAGAGCCGCAGAGGCAAAGGATTGTGGCAGGAAGCAAAAGCCACATTGTGAGAATGGAAGGATTTCTGTCGGTGTTACTCAACGACGACCTCTCCGATAGGGCGCTCATCTTTGGTCCTCTGGGAAGTGTCGGTGCCAGTGACGCGTCCAACAAGGCTGAGCTGGATATGACGTGCTTTACTTCGGAAGGGAGCGAAGCAGGAGGCAATCTGGGAACAACGGCGGAACCGATGTTGAAAATGTCAGCGGGAGCTCCCGGTAGATCTCATGATCCATGACAGCGCGTCGTCATCATCATTGGGACGAGCGGAAGATAACGAAAACGACGGCTGCAATGGAAGCAAGAGCAGTGGGAAACCATGGCGCAAGGCTTCGGCTGCCCTCGCATACAAAGATGCCGCAAGGGCTGGAGAGCAGGGTGCTTTCGGGTCGGTTGGTGGTGCGCTGTCCGTCATGGTCCCAGAGGCAGGAGGGGGTGGTGTTCAAGCAGTTGTGTCGTTCTCGCGGGTATTCCTCGGCCAAGGGAAGAAGTTGATTTAATCCTCGCATCTGCTTCCGGACATCTGCTTCAGCCACGGTGTTTCTCGTCGAAGCAGGCTCGGCTCCATGACTCCATGGCTCCATCGGTCCAGAAATTTGCGACGGCACGGGCCTTTCCGAGCCGCCATGACTCCGACGCAACGCTTCCCCTCCGACAGAGCGTCTGGGTGACCGTGTGCGCGGATCCGGCTCTGATGGTGCTGCTGCGGCGATGCGCAGACTCGGCGGATGGATCCTGCGTCGCGTCGCGCTGGAGGTGAAGCGTCCGGTCGAGACAAAAGGGCGGGCGAGGATGCAACAGCGGAAGATTGCGGACAGGGATGGCCGTGTCGGTTGGCAGCTGGCTCGTATAGCGGCGCAGGACGAGAAGGGTGGTGAGGAGGGAGAAGAGAGAGACAGGGTCAAGTCGCGTCGGGCATCGCGTGTTTTCAGGCATTTGCCGGCGACGTCACCCGCTAGACCCTGGCCTGCCAACAACAGCCAGCTCTTCGCCGACTTTTTGGCTTGCAATCTCAATCCTCGCCCCTGGCCATGCCGCTGCTGCTGGAATTGCCCATCACCGCCCGACTCCCGCTCGCATGCCGTCGCCATCCGAGCCCTCGACGCCTGCCCGTCGCATGAGCCGCTTTTCCGAGGACTTCACCACAGCCGTCACCTTTGGATCCTCGCCCCGCTGCCGCCAGTTCCAGCCCCAACGCGAGCCATTGGCACATCGCCCCGATCTGCGCTGCATCGACCACAAGGTGAATGGCCCGCTGAAGCATCTGAACCCTACGAGGGCCCATTACAACATCGTTGGCGACGACGGGAAGAGCCGCCATGCGCACCCGGGGCCCGGCATCTCTTGGAAGTGGACCTCGAGAAACAACCGCAAAGGCCGCCATGCACTGCAAGTCCGTGCCCTTCCTTCGTCCGCTGCTGAGCACCACTTGCCCGGGAGGACCAACCACCCCCCTCAGATCCCGCACGGCGTCGCCCGCATGCTGACCAGCTTCCCTGTCTGGGACATCTCCTATCTCACTGCTGTGACCTTCACCCTGGGCAGTGTAGTGTGGGTGCTCAACGCCTTCTTCGCCTTTCTCCCCCTCGTCCGACCGTCTTCCGAGTTTCAGCATGAGATTCTGTATGGAGCCGGTATCACAGCCTTCCTGGGCGCCACCATTTTCGTCGTTGGCTCCGTTCTCTTGCTGCTGGAAGCAGTCAATGAGGATCGCGCCGGCTGTTTTGGCTGGGCTGTCGAGCGCTTGTTCCAAGACCAACATTCCCCGAGCTCCAGCTTCCACATGTCACATCCAGAGACACAGCCCAACCTTGAGAAAGCCAGCGAAGAGCGCCTCGTCGTACGTGTCCTCCCCGAAATCCCATGCGGCCACCACCATTCCGACAGGACGACCCTCATCAAGTCCGCCACCCACCCTGGCGGCCCTCGCAAGTGGCGGTGGATGCCTCGTCAGGACGAACTGCGCACCCACTACCTCCGCGAGCTGGGCTTCCTTGCTTCCCTCGTCCAATTGGTCGCCGCCACGGTCTTCTGGATAGCGGGTCTCACCTCTCTTCCGGGAATCTACGACCACATGTCCACTGGCCTGAGGGATGGCGTGTACTGGACCCCGCAGCTCGTCGGGGGGCTGGGTTTCATCCTCTCCGGCGCCCTTTTCATGGTTGAGACACAGGTGACGTGGTGGAAGCCCGCGCCATCCGTGCTCGGCTGGCACATCGGCCTCTGGAATCTGATTGGCGGTGTCGGTTTCACGCTCTGTCCGGCCTTTGGCTACGACACTAGCAGCTGGGGCCAGTATCAGGCGGCATGTAGCACGTTTTGGGGAAGCTGGGCTTTCCTGATTGGAAGCCTCGTCCAATGGTACGAGAGCTTGGATAAGCATCCCGTGGAATACAAGGAGGATGATGAAGACTAACTAACTTTCTTGTCACGTTGGATCAACGTCCTAATTTCTAATCCGGTTGTGAAAAAAAAACGCTTTGGGGAATAGAGGGGAGAGGCTATGGTCGCCGTGAATTTTGTATACACTTGCGAAGATATCAAGCAACAATCTGCTTTTGTTCCTTACTGAACGAACCATCATCACCTCACCGCAACCTTGTGTCCAGCTTCACTCACATCTGCACCCGAACATCTGCTTTACGTACTCATGAAGTAAGGTTGTTTGGACCTACATCTGCGTCAGAATGTTTGCTTCAACTGCCCACAAAAAGGAGCGCCGTAGGTCAATCTTCTTCATAGCTCACTGTGGCATTGAGTCACCAAGCTCATCCAACGGATATCAGATTATATCCAACTCATTCCGTGTAAGTACAAAGTCGTTACTCAGCTCATAGCGTAATCGTCAAACAGGAGCCATTGACTGTCTGACCCCCACGGTTATCCAGTCTTACCACCCAACAGACCTTGTCGATTTCTTTTCTGATTGCAAGAAACTCAAGTTTATGAGAAAGAGAGCTACCTGTCAAATTATATAAGGCCAAATATCCTTCAATCAGGCTTGTACATACATCCGAAACAGCACCCACGACCCTCTGTCAGATAGTCCAAATTTCCCCACCTCCACAACTCATCCACCCCCTTTCCCTCGCAGCATGGCGCAAGCTGCGGCCTTCTAGCTAGCCCACCCCCACTCACAGACTCCCAATCTTGTCTAGCTCTTTGACCCAAGCCCCCACAGGGTCTACCCGCTTGTACGGATCCACGTTCAAGCACTCGGCGTCCACGAACGCGCCGGGACCCAGCGTCATCGTACCCCTCCCCACGAGCAGGCTTTCGTCTCCGCCGTCCAGACCCAGCTTCTCCCACGCCTCCAGCACCTCCTGGCCATCCTGGCTTCCGGCGGCCGGATCTTCCCACACGCTGACGGCGAAGTCCTTGCCCTCCTGGAAGAAGAAGTTGGGCAGGGAGGCCAGGGTGGCGTTGCTCTCGGGGAACGGCTGCATCGTCTCCTCCCGGATGTCGTCGAGGAAGAGGAGGAGCGGGGTGCCGTTTCTGGAGGCGTCTCGCTTTTGCGGTGGTGTGGGGAAGGTCAGATTGATGTTCGGCGCGGTGAGCTGGATGTTGGGGTAGCGGAGAAGGGCATGGTCCACGTGGACTTGGGAGGGGTCAGAGGCATCGAAGTCGCCGTAAAGGTAGAAGGGCATGCGTCCGCTGGGATAGTCTGCAGCGAGGGAGGGGCCGGTGAGGGGACGGTCGAGCCACTTGCGCTTGACCTTGACCTTGACAGCCGGAAGCATGGGGCGTCTAGCAGTGGAAGGCGTTAGTCATTTGCTCTGTAGTGAGAGGTAGAAAGGCATGACGACGAAGAACTTACGTCTTGTCGGAATCCAAGTATCCGATCAGCTCTCCAGGCTCGTTGATGGCCTGTGTCAGGTCGACATCCCGAGTTGTGTAGAAGGTGACGATCTCTTCCGGGTATTGCGATTGCAGAGTCTGATAGTCTTCTTTTGTGCCTTTGGGAAGCTCGACTTCAAAGATGGTCTGACGACGGCGATTCGCTGCATGAAAACTGGGCTTGTGCACGAAGTAGATTGGATCTTCGCCTTGTACCAAGAATTCATGGCTGGCCTCGGTCGATTCATTACGCTCACGGGAGACCTGGCACCTGTCAGATTCAGCCTTGTGCCCAGCAACGGTCACTTACCATCACTTCCTCTTCAACCACCTTCTTGAAGATGTTCGTCAGCTCGGTGATGAAGTCTTTCTCCGTCGGGAATGGCGACATGACAACGTTGCGCAAGACGAACAGGTCCTCCTTGTCATCCCTCAATCCGAGCCTCTCCTTGAATTTGCGGGCACAGTCGCCGTACAGCTTTGGGGAAAACTCAGTAGACGTCAGATACAGAGGGATCTTGGTCGGATCGTCTCCAGGAGAGTCGACCGAGAAGTTCTCCACAACGCGCCGCATCAGATAGTTGGCCTCCCGAGTGTCGGTGTTGAGCAGCCCGTCCGAGTTGCGGAAGTTGACGGCAAAAGCGTTGATGTTTAAGTCGGAGCCCAATTTGCGGAGAAGAGAGAGTGCAGTATCGCCGCCGGGGCTGGTGTTGTTGTTGGTAACAATGTTGAGGTTCGAGGACGAGAGAATGTTGTCGCGGATCCACTGCTTCTCGGCTTCAATTGATTCCGGGGTTGCGTCGGGAGCAAGCTCGGAAGGGAGCATGTTGAAAGGCACAACGACGAAATCCATCTTATCGTCCGTCATGGCTGCCCACTGGGCCGAAAGCTGTTATCACTGATGATCAGCCTCAATTCTCGTGGCATGGGTGGGGGGTCACTGACCCTGCTGCAGGAATAAGTCACTTCTCCCAGCAATGCACCATAGCCCTCCGGATTGAGCCCGATGCACTTGTTGGCCATGAAGGTTGACACGGCCGAGGCTCCCGGCTTGCTGACGAGACTTCAGTTGCGGCCCAACGTTTTGCGCCAGCAGAGGGCACTTACCTTCCTTCCAATCCATAGATACCAATGCTGGAAGTCGAGCCCTGAGAAAGGTATGGGGTCGTCCAGGTCACCAGGTATCGCATCCGGCCATCACGGTAGGCAAGGCCTCCCGCAGGGTAGGGAATGTACCCTGACTTGTGCGGGTCCAGGGTTATCGAGTCCGCTTGCCGCAACCACCAGAGATCTTCCTGGGTATCCGTGCGCAAGGAGCTATCCGGAACAAAGCCCTCTGCCTCGCCCAGGCCCACTGGTAGATTTCCCATAAAGCCACTGCCCGGGGTATAGTCACGCGGCAACATGGACGTGAAGTAGCCTCCCCAGGCTGCATCTGCGTGAACGAGGAAGGAGAGGCCCCGCGCCTGAAAGCGGCGACGCAAGGTAAGGATTTTGCCCAGGGGATCGACGGCACCCTCCTCAGTCGAGCCGATTATGGCGGTAACAGCATAAACGGCTTGCTCTTTTTTGAGATTCTCCTCGAGGCGTTTCTCGAGCTCATCCAAGTTGATTCGCGCCCCATAGTCGACAGGGATGCCGACAATGTTTTCGGAGCCAATGCCGGTGATAGCTTGTGGGTTGTCAGCTCTACACTGCGCATCTGGAGGCATTCAGGTTGCTTACCGCCACCTTTGGGCCAGGAGTAATGACGTGTATTGGAGAGCATGTATTGCGCGGGCTTCTCAATGCCAAAGTGGCGATCCAAGGCCTCCTTCCCACGAGACTGAATGCCATAGTCATCCAATATCTGCTCGATATACTTGGACGAGATGCTGTAGTCTCGATTGAGCCGGTCTGGAATGTCAAGGATTGTTTCGGACTTCAGGTTCAGCAGCTCCCACGTGGTCAGATCCGAGAAGAGCTTCTCCACATTCTGGGCCGTCTTGACGGTGAAGGTGTCTTTCACAAGTCCAAGAGGCCCATCGAGCGCTTGACGTATGGCGAGGGGGTAGTACTTGATGTTGCGCGCTGAATAGTCCATCACATCAGCCCTTGGTCTGCGTTTCCGCATTGTCGCCGAACTTACCGACCCTGTTACAGTCAGTACAGCCTTGTTTTACAATCACGGATGGTTGACTTGCCACATTGATTCCAAGTTGGCAACGGTGCCGTCACAGGTAACGTGTCCCCACCCAACTGGCTGTGAGGACTTGGCCGTTGGGATGTTTGGCTCAAGCACGTTGTAGCCGAGCATGTCACAGAGTTGCTCGCCGACTTGCATCTCGACGATTGTTGTGATGGGGGAGGCCTCGAATGCCACATTGTTGGGGTTGTACAGCATAGTCATGAAGTATCCAAGCAGAGCTGGCATGCTCATATCCTGGCAGACGTGTTAGCATTCGACCGGCCAAGGGTGGGGAAACCTACAGTTGCCATATGGGCTTGGTATCTGGGAGAAAAGAAAGGGATCGAGGTTGTGGACATCAGGTGTGAGAGAGATTGGACGGCTTTGGCGACGGATGCGGTGCGCTCCTGGAACGTTTCCGAGGCTTGGATCTGGTCGGAGATGAATTCCTGCGGGAGAAAAGTCAGCGCAACGAATGGTATGAAAGGCAGAAGTGAGCGCACCCCGTCGTTTGGGAAATAGTCCAGTCGGCCCTTCTCAAAGTGCTCGAGGATGACGTTCATGTTGTCCTTGAAGAAGGCCAGGTTCTCAGCCCGGGGTCCGATGAAGTAGGAGCTGATTGCTTGATGGCTTTTGTCCTCGACGGACTTCTTGGAACCACCGCTGGTGAAGACATTGCCGTTGTCTTTCTTGAGCTCGACACCACCGGTGATACCGCGAAGGCCTTTGGAGGCATCTATCCCAGCATTGGCAGAAATGCTGCCAACCCTGGGGACACTGATGCCGCCAGTGGTGTTGGCCTTGCCAAGAGAGGGGGCATTCAAGCCACCGCCGAAAGTGACACCACCCAAGTTGATCTTGCTCATGGCTGATGGGAGAAGAGAGTGAAGCTGTAGCGAGACCAGAAACGGCCAGCCGACGTCCTTTTATGCTTGAGATGGCCGTCCCCGCAGCCGGAGCGTATTCGCAATCCGAGTTGCGAAGCCTCGGCGTGCAGCAGCTTCCCCTCGTGTATAACCACACGGGAACTGGAGAGCGGGGAATGCGTGCAGGGTGTTTTCGCGGCGCAGGATGGGATCGCGGCATCTTGCAGAAGGGCCGGGCCGCAGAGTGGGGGGTACCGGGAAAGCGTTGCAGCCGTGGACTCGATAGATCGAGCGAGGATGCGAATCGATGCGAGGCGACTGCGGTGTAACATCTGGCTGTGCGGGGCTTTATTTCTGCTTCTCAGCGCCAAGCTCGAGTTATAATTCCTTTTGCCTGGCCTCGAGCATGCCGTTGCTGACATCCAGGCCATCCTCTGTACCGAGTACCGACGCTGCAGAGCGACTCTCACTGCTGTGTGCAGTAGAGGCCATGAAGACCAAGTGAAGTGAGCCTCACGGAGGGGGTTGATATGGGTGTCCGCGATCACAGGGCGAACGCAACTGACCTCACAGCCGTAACTGCAGAAAGCTGGGGGCACCACTGGGATACCTACAGGTCGTCACCCCCCGTCGGCGGACCTCCCTCTAAGCAAAAGCCCGGGCGGGAGGTGAGGAGAGAAGAAAGAGAAAGGGTTGCGGAAAAGAGGGCAAGCACGATGAACGTGCGGCGATGAGTCAGCATTCACACGCTAATCGAAACAGGAAACTGCGCGCCAGCCGGGCACATGGAGAGGCAGAGGATTCATATTCTACCTATCATTTACAACAAGCAGGAGAGGTCGTTGGAAGCCTTGACCGACAGTTCCCACATGAGCTACCTTCTACGATTGCCCTCTTGCGCTTGGGCTTGGCATATATAAACGCTCGCCATGTATGTACACCAAGACTTAAAACAGCTTCGCCAGGAAGCCCTTCCGCCGCCCGTCCTCCCGCACCTCAGGCGTCACGCCACCCTTCTCCTCCGCCTCCGGTAAGCTCTGCTGGTCGGTAAGCTTGGGGTTGCGCAGGGCAAGCGAGAAGAAGATGAGCAGGGAGCTCAAGCAGATGCCGGTGATGCATAGGTAGTTCTGGGTGGAGCGGTAGGCGGCGATGACGGCGTCGCGGTCGGGGGTGCCGACCGGGTTGCTGTAAGACCAGGTGAGCGGGTCGGCATAGACCGTGGCCGCCGTCGTCGCATTGCCCGTGTGGCTCTCGAGCTGGCCCGGCAGCACCTGTGACCACACAGCCCCCGACACGCACGCCCCCAGCGCCGACCCGATGTTGTACGTGCCCAGGTAGAGACCTGTCACGATGGCCAGGTGCTCGTGCTTGGTTGCGGCCTGGATGGACGCCTGCGTCGGGTACGGGAACAGCCCGCCTGCGATGCCCAGGACCACCTGCGCGCCGACCATGCCAGCATGGTGGCTCATCGAGGTCCCGCCACGGTAGTGGATCAGCATGCCGAACGCGACCATGAACAGGCACGTGCCGAAGACGATGAAGGGCTTGAGCCGGCGGACCTTGAACACGACGACGCCGAGGAACCAGCCCATGAGGACTGAGGCGAAGCTGTAGAGCTGGGTGATGCGGGTGGCTGACTTGGTAGTCTCGTCGAAGGCGACGACCAGGACAGTATAGAGGAAGTCTGCTTGCATGTACCAGGCCCAGTTCAGGGTCATGGCGATGCCGAGGGCGGCCCAGATGGCGCGATCCTTGAGCAAGTGGAACGGAATTAGCGGGTGCACCGCCTTGATCTCCCACCACGCGAAAACTGGAATGCAGACAAAGCCAACAACGAGCGGGGCGACGATATGGGCTTCCTTCCACGTCTCTGCGACACCGCCAGCAAGCGTAAGGGGTGTCAAGAGCAAAGCGAATACCGCGATCATGAGGATGATGCCGATTACGTCTAGTTGCCAGAAAAGCGCCTTTATGAGGCCCCCGGCGCCCAATATCTCAAAGGGCGTCTTGTAGTCGGCAAGATCGGCTGACTTCTTGGCACGACGGTGGGCAACGAGCAAGGCTGCGAGAAGGGGAATGGCGCTGATTGGGTAGACAATTGCCCACATGCCGATTCCCCACCTCCAGCCGGCATTGGCGAGAGTCGAAGCAGCGACGTCGCCAGAAACCCAGGTGTTGATGATGAAAGGGGTTGCGGGGATGTAGGAGAAAAACAGTCGAGCGCGTAGCGAGGAGATGTCTCCAATAATGACCTCGACTAGCAGAATTATGAAAGTATACCCAATCTGGACCGTTGTTAGTTGGGCTGGCTTGGGCGCGAGATGAGCTTCGAAAAACGGACCTGATACAGCACAGCACCAGCACAGAAAGTGGCGACATTATTGGAAACGGCCTCGACGATGGTCCCGAGGACGTAAAAGAAGATGGAGACGAGCACCAGCTCGACACGACCGAAGACGTCAGCAATCTTGGAGGCGGTGGGCTGGCCTACAGCGGCAATAACGCTGCGAACGACATTGACAGAGGCCAAAAGACTGTGGTGTTGGAACGAGGCGGTGGCAGTGGTCTTTGGTTGATTAGCGGGTTGCTGCAACTGGCCGAGTGCTCTAGTGGGACCATGGTACCTGATATGTATATCGGACTGTAGCGTCCAATGAATAGGCATAGGCGATGACAAACACGCCAATGAACAGGAAGATGCGATCAAACAGCGTGAGATGAGCAGAGATAGCCTCCATGCGCTTGACGCCAGGACTTGTGGCGCCCATCAGCTGGAACTCCTCCGAAGGAGCCCTGGAGCCGGAGCCGACATGGGGCGCGGGCGCCTCAACGGAAGCGGACCTTTTGGATTGTTTGGTCTCAGTGGTCATCGTGTGCCGCGCTGGAGATGCACGACGGCTGAGAGAGTCGGTGAGACGATTTTCTGCAGCAGGATGGTCGGGTGCTGCGGAGCATATAAAAGATCGGGGCCGGGCAGGACGGCGGAGGCGCCGAGACTTCTCACATCCAGCTCAGGCGGAAAGAAGGAAGAAGCCGGAGGCCAAGCTGGGCGAGCCAAGGCCGATGACGGCGACCGCGGGATCAAGGCAGGCGCCCAGCAGGCGCATTTGACGCCTGGTGCCGGAAGCTGCGAGATGCGGCGCAGCAGCGACGAGATGCATGAGGCAAGGACGACGAGGGCGAGAGGTGCAAACAGACATGGTCCGTAGCCGTGGGCGAGCAGAATCGGGCGAAGCCAAGGGCGCAGCTGCAAGTCATGGCGCAAGGTCGATCCGTCGTATGCGAGATGGTACCACCTTAGAGTTTTCGGTTCCGCGCGATCTGTTGTGGAGACTCGGACGCGGGGCGAGGGTAGGGACGACATCACTGAGATCATCAGATAACTGACCACGATATCTGATCCCCGTCGCCCAAGATAAGATAAACTGCCAATCTCGACCCGACCAAGCCCGCATCCATCTGCAGGCGCCGCTCTTGGCGGGCGGAGATGGAGGGCGCAGAACACGTGATGCCGATGAGCCTCGGCTCAGGCGCTGCGCGGCGCGGGCGAGCTCGGAGGTCTCCAGCGCCTCGCTCCAGCGTTGCAACCCTCGACCTCGATGAATCCCCAGTGCTGAGACAGCACCCGCCGTCATCATGGTCCGCGAGGACCTCGTCAACTCAGCGGCAAGTCCATTCTCCGCGCCCGCCTTCACCCACGCGCTAACCGCCAGCAGGTTACATGTGAGCTCCACTTGCAGCGTCGCGTCCAAGCCCAAGCTTACCGTCGTTTGTAGTTCTCCAGGACCCCTCTGTGGCCAGCGCTCCCGTCGAGAAGCGCATTGCCTTTCTTCAGTCCAAGAATCTCACCCAGGAAGAGGTTGATGCCGCCCTAGCTCGCGCAGCCGGCGACGGTCCGCCGCCGTCGGCCGTCTCAGCGCCCTCGGGCCCTCCCCCAGCCTACGGCTATCAACAGCCACCGCCGCCTCCCGGATATGGCTCGTATCCCGGATACTGGCAACAGCCCCCTCCGCCGCCGCCGTAAGAGCTGTTCATGGCTGGAAGGAATGTTCGGACCAGTAGCTGATATGACGAGGTTGCAGGGTACCGAAACGCGACTGGCGAGACTGGTTCATCATGGCCACGGTCATGGGTGGGGTTGGCTATGGCCTCTATTTCACGGCAAAGGTAGGTCGAAATCTTTTCCGCAGCTGGACCTCAGACCAACCATACACAGCGCTATATCTACCCTCTGATAGCACCCCCGACGCCACCACAGCTCGAGCAGGACAAGAAATCCATTGATGAGTCGTTCGAGAAAGCCTTCGCACTTCTGGACCAGCTGAACACGGACACAACCGCCCTCAAGGCGTCGGAGGAAGCAAGGACGCAGCGCCTGGACTCGGCCGTCACGGAGATGGAGTCGGTCATGGATTCTCTCAAAGATTCTCTGAAGCGGCGCGACGCCGACAGCCGCCGGCTGGAGGATGACGTGAGAGGCCTGCGTGACTTGATCCCGAAGGCGCTCGAAGCCCACAAGGAGGGCACGGACAATAGATTGAAGGATCTTTCGCAGGAGCTGAAGAGTCTGAAGACGCTGGTCGGGAACCGCATGGGGTCAGGTGTGCCGAGCACAGCGTCGAGACCGGCGTCAGGTGCGAATATGTGGGGCTCACCAGCGGCTGGAGTGAATGGCAACTCTGGCGGGGTGTCGACTTCCGCGCCCCCCGCCGCGGCTCCGCCTGCTGCGGCTGGAGGTGCCACGACCAGCGCGGGCGAGACGCAGCAGCAGGACAGTAGCAGCTCGTCGGCAGCGACCCCCACGGCCCAGGCATCTTCAAGCCCGTACGCCAGGTTCAGCAATGGGCGGGCGGCGATCCCAGCCTGGCAGATGGCGGCAGCCAAGAAGAACGAGGCGGAGAAGAAGGACACGTCGGAAAGCGGCACGGTCAGCGAAGCAGGTGCTGGGGCGTAAACGTGGGAAAGAGCTATGGTAGGCTCGATCTGCGCTGTGTACAGTCTTGGTTGTTTGGGTGGATTCGCATCGGCGTTGTGCTACGGGCAAGCTGCAACGGATGCTCATGTCACTGGGCCTGCGGCATTCCTTCCTTTGGAGTGGGCGGGAATAAAAAGACGCGCTGTGATTAGTGAGTGCAGAATGATGCTGTGTGTCGGATGGCTTGCGTCGGGAGCTGGGGCGTGCCGGATACGCGCGGCCCGTCTACCGCGAGGCCGTCGGTTGGGCAGGGTGCGACGGGCTGTGCGGCGTAGTTGATGAGGCGCATGCTGCAGGTTTCTTTTTTCTCGGTTTGGGTTGAGGGGGTGTTTGTTCGCATAAGCATAGCTGGCGATGATCGCGGGCCAGCGGACTCGGGCCTGCCAACCGATCGGCTGTGCCTTCCCGGCGAATCACGAGTCGGCATACTTGCTCAGTGATTCATCTCTGGATGCGGCCTATTGGTCAACATTGCACACAGGGGGCGACTGAGCGCTGGCATGGACGTGCATGCGTTGCACATATTCCAGAATGGCACAAGAACCGTGTTGCCTGGTGATGTATGTAGGAGAAACTAGGAAAGGATCCCAACCCCGGTCGGACTATTGCATCACTCGTTGCGTAGGGCGAGCTCGGGCACATGCTAGGACGAGCCCTACGGCCCGCCTTGCGCCTCGCCGACATGGAAGTCGAGAGGTTTACGCCAGGCCTGTCAAGAACGCATGAGGCGAAGGCCCAGGCGAGGAGCAGCAGCAGCACCACCACCACCACCACCGCCAGCACCCATGAAGCGACGCAGCGTTCTCGACCGGTCCAGCAGCCCGCCTTGGGCTCGTAGATCGACCGGAACAATAGCTTGCGGGGCCGCACTCTCGGGGTGGAGCCATACAGCCTTCCTTCCAAAAAAGCATAACATCATATCCCACATGGCATGGGCGCCGGCAAGGCCCACAATTTCCCGTCGACGCTTCCGTCATCGCGCACCACGGATGTGGTCACCCGCAGCGTCTATTTCCGTTCCTGCGTGCATGTGCCAAGCCGTGCAGCTGTTGTTGTGCGAGAGCCCGGCCGGCCCATGCAGCCACTGGAGCATGTGTCGAGCATTGATGCCGACGGGGAGCGTCGAGCGGCGCAGTCGTGCGGATGGCTTGCATCTCGGCCAAAATGCCGGCCAAGGGAGAAAAAACTGTGGGCCGGGAATAACGAGCAGCTCGTGCAGCTCTGCTCTGCGCCGTTAGCCCTGGCGGTTTCCTCGCAGAGACCCTGCAGTTACCGCTTCGGTCCCTGGCCCGCGCGGCTGGTCACGTCTCTTGTTTTCCCGTGCGTGTTGTTTTCTTTTTCCGCTTCACGCATGCCAGATCGGGTAATGCTTGGGCTTCGTGAGGCCGCACGCCTCTGCTGCCTGAGGCTCTGGGCTCCGGCCTCCGCGCTCTGGACTCGACGGCAGCAGCAGCCTTGGGCTGGAATGCGGACAATGCCACGTCGCTGCCGGCCATTGCTGCCCATCAGATGGGCCGTCCGCGGCCTCGCTCGTCCGCGGGCCGTCGTCAGCAGGCGGCGCATCAAGGGCGAGCCCGGGTGCGCCGTACGATGACGAGGAATCAAAACGGGGGAGGGGGGGCACTGCGTGCACCGATTCGCGCCGTAACGCAACGGGGGAAGATCGGAGGTGACTGGGTGGACAGGCGGCGGCGAGGTGTGTGCGGCGAGGGCTTGTGCATATGTACTGTAAATCCGATCAGGCGTTCTTGTCCCCTCCCTCTTTCGTCCGTCCGTTTAAGAAACGACCGCCCCCGTCGTGCTGGCTGCCAGAGCCCCGCGGCACCCTCCTTTGCGGCCTCCCCCCCCCCGTTTGCCCCGGGTAATTTTCGCGGAGGCTGTGACATTGCGAGCTAGATCGGGCTGGTGGGAATATATACTAATAGCATGCGAGTGATATCGTTGGCCGGTTTTACTCTCGGACGAAAGCTGGGCAAGGCTGGCGACGGGCCCCTCAGCCGCTGCGCTACTTGACCTGACTGTCGCCCGGCCCTGGTCTCACACGATCCAAGACGCTTGGCTGGTGCTTCATGGCTTGCTACCGGGTTTCTGCTTCCTCTTCCCCGTTTTTATTTATGTACAGGCCGCTGTTCTTCCCCTCATTCATCCTCCACCCTCCACTCTCCTCACTTCGACCCTGCATTTTTCGGCCCTTTCCCCGTCTATCCTGACTCAGGCACCGATCCCTGTGCATTCTAGACTGACGAGGCGGGCAGCCACAAGGAACGCAGTGGGCCGGCCTAAAAGGAGCTTCTGCATATAAAGACTACCCGTCTTTCGCTCGCCCGACCTTCACTGCGCCCAATCCCAACGCCAGCCCCCCCTTATTTCTATCGGATCACACACCCGCCGAAGAACGACACGAAAAAAAACAATACTGGGGAATAAAACCAATCCCTCCCTCTTCAGCGCCACGCTTGTTGCACTTTTGCCCATAGGCGTGAATCACAAAAACAAAACTTGGAAAAGTCAAGTAAACAAACACAAATACAGAGCCCAAAGGCTGGATACGCACGTACGACTATGGTCGGCCAGAAATGAGGAGAAAGAGCAAGAGGAAACACACCAAGGCAATACAAAATGGCGACAGCTTAAGAAACATGAAGTGTTGTACAGGGGTCCACGCGCTCAACCCAAGAAAAAAAAAAAAGGAACAACCTAGCAGCATCAAAACGGACCGCACGACGAAGCGCATACACGTTACACACCAGGTTTATTGGATCATACCATTGCATGAAAGCAAGCAGTCCAATGTCAACTATGTGTGGAGGTAGTATTTTACCTAGATCGACGGAAAGATCGCAAAGAGAGGATGTGTGGCAGTTCCGATCGTCTCGGCCCAATACTGCCCCCGTCCCCATCACTTACTTTCCACGTCTCACAAGGAAAAGGGAAAATCCCCGAAGGCATCCGGCCGCTGGACCATTTCTTCTGGTTGTCGATCGAGGAGAACCATGTCGTCGTGCCGGGAGAGTCCAAGGCCGCGGGGAATATCGTCACACATGGCCGTTTTGACCGAACCTCGGAGTCGCCTCTGGGACCATCCAAACGATCCAAATCTCTCAGGATCAATGCATTCCTGTTGCTCGGACCTTACCAAGCAGGAACGGCATTTGTTCGAACACCTCTGGGGCCAGCGTCCAGTTGTTCAGGTTTCCAATGTGCTCGCGGAAGGCACCTGATAACGCCAATTTACCCGAGTTTGGTTCGCAATAAACAGTATGGGAATCTTCATGGGGCCAGTTTAACGACAGGTGGTTTACGAGGACGCCTGCGACCATCTGGTCGGCGTTGTGTAAAAAGAAGTCGCGGACCGAAGGCCTAGAGGAGGAAATATTAGTAGACGTTTCCGGTTCTCTTTCCGGACCGCACTCCGGCCGTTCTTGGACGTACCAGGGGAGAAAGTCGATTGTCGGATCGTGCGGCATAACCTGCTGAAATTGCGTAGGTCTTGCCCATTCTGGAAGTCTTTCGAGATTGTGTCGGCTGGGACAAATTTGCCACTATTTCGCTTGTTAGCGAAACCGACCATATTAAGCCCCAGTACTCTGCCCTCAGGGGCAAAGGGATCTTTCTCTGGGTGCATACCGCCATGACCTCCTTTAGGACCTCGCAGGCCGCAAGCTTCTCCGGAATGCCGACATGGGTGAAGAACATGTTCGCCACTCTTGGAGCCCAGACGGACAAAGGCTGCTCATTATCAAACTCTGTCTCTCCGTTCAACAGTCCGCGAATGTCGTTCTCCCGGTCACCAAAGATCTTCACCTCTGGTTCTCCGTCTGCTTGTGCCTGCCTCTTCCTTTCCCGGAATGTTGTGTAGGTGTATGTCACTGGGTTGATGGACGATCCGTGCGCCAAGACGGACTGGAAGTTTATGGAGGGGTGATTAATGGCGTGGGCTGTCATCGTCATCGGCGAAGCACTTGATCCAAGGATGTCCTGCTTGCTATAGCAAAGGTCAGTGGCTGTTCTCACCACATGCTCCATGCTCCCTGATGGCGCGGAGTTGCTAACCTTCCATGCGACAAGACCGCGGGAGCAGTCGACCCCTCCCGATAGGGCGATGTTTGGGCGTGTGGTGGAGAAAAAGTACCGTCTGGCATCCAGACGCCACTGTCGCCCGTTGTTAAGAGGGGGTGCGTCGACCATTGCGCCTGCAAGGTCTTGTTAGGTACCAGGCTGTTGCCTGAAACTAATGGGGCATCTGGAGCATACCTCTGTGGTGGCTGGCAAACCTTGCGCGAACCCCGGGCTAACACTTTGTCCGTATCCAGAATAGTAGGCCGGCATGGATTCTGGCGATGCTGCTGTTGCCGTCACGTCACTCTTCTGGTCCCCGCCCATGGACGATGACGACGAGGAGCCAACAGCGGGCGCGGTGTCGTCGGACCCTGGTCGCATCGCCCTGGGGCCTTCGAGTATCTTCCTCATCTCGTCGGCCGAATGCTCGGAAAAGCCATTGTTCTGGATCTCGATTGCGAGCCGTGTTGCAGCTTCGCGTTGGGACGAGGTCGCGAGCAAGGGAAGGACCGACTTGACCTCCTCTAGTTCCTGCTCCAGCTTCTTCACGTTCACGCGCAACGTGCCCTGCCACCTATGTTCCTGTCGCATGTCGTAACTGCATGTCGAGCCCTTGAGTGCGCATGTGTTGCACACGGGCTGCAAGCCATTGCACTGGAGGCGGCTTCAGCGTCAGTAGGTGGTCGACGAGGCGGCGGGACGCGGGCACGCACCTTGCTCTTCCGCTTCTTGCACGGCACGCAGGCTATGGCGGTGATGCGTCCTCGCTTGGAGCCGAGCTTGGGCGTGGTGGTGGTGGGCGAGGGAGTGTTGTCCGAGGACTGAGAAGAGAGCTGCGGAGGAGAAGGGCCGACCTGGATAGGTCGAAACAAGGGCCGCTGCTGGTAGGCCGGCATGTTACTTCCTGGGCCAGGGACGGACGAATGACTAGACGATGGGAGAGGAATGACTCGCTGATCTGGCGAGTCTGCAGATCTCGGGGGCAGCAGAGGCGGGAAGACGGCGCAGACGGAGCGCGAGAAATGGGGTTGCGGAGGTACAGCGGCAGAAGTCACCGGCGAGGGCAGGGTCGGGTCTATGGGCGGTTCTGCACATTGTTGGTGTCAGTGTCAAGAGAACGGCATGCAAGACGCGGCCGATGGACGAGACATGAAGGACCACGGATTGGGCAGCAGCAGCTGTCAGCGGTCCCTAGTGTCCCGCCGCGCTCGGTGTCGCGGAGTCGAGGGTGGCAGAGGACAGGCAAAGCCTAAGCACGACGCTAGGCGCTGGGCCAGGCACCGGGCTTCTTACCTGATGGACGCATACCACGGATGGCTTGGCCTTACGGCGGGAAGGTGGGATGGTCCACGTCTGGGCTGCTCGCACCTGCGACCGCCTGGCCGGGCTTGGCTTCACGGCTGCTCGAGGCCGTGATGTCTACGGATTAGTCCAGCAGCCGCACGGGTTATAGGCGGTCGACTCTCTCGGCGGGCTGTGTCACTATCAGCGCCGTCGTCGCCCAATGGCGCAGATCGGGGCGGCCCAGTGCACGTAAGGGTCCTCACCTAGCGGACGTCGGACCCAGGCGCCGGGGCGGAGATGCTTCCTAAGCGGTTGGATTTTGGGCGGGCAATGGAGCGTCGCGGGCGAATAGGGGACGGCGCGCGACACTGCTGGGCGCGACAGGACTGTAGCGATTTTAAAAGACGGCCCTGCGGTGGACTGGAGGGCAGACGCACCATGCGCCTTCTGCCCACCACTGCACGATCAGCCGGCGGCCTTGATCCCTACCGGGTGCCGTTTCTCTCGAACCCTGGGGCAACGTGCGGCCGCTAGTTTGATGAAGAAGCCTCTGCCTTCGACGATGGCGAGCAAACACCTCGTTTCGAATGCGAGCACGCGTCCGTCCCAAGCTGTGCGGTACGCTACCATCGGCTAGCCCAGCTAATCCGGAACCACCCACGCCCAGTGCGCGCCGGATCTTGCAGAGATATACCAGCACCGTCCCTTGCCCGCCCAAGACGCTGATTCAAGACCGCTGCCACCCATGCTCGCATCACCCTGATGAGATGAGCGGGCACGTCGCGGGATCGTCGGTGGGCGCAGCAATCGAGTCGCGGTCCACCCGCCGCCCAGCGCCTGCCCGCCTGCCCGCCTGCCCGCCCGTCCGCCGCCGGCCCATGGCCCCTCTCAGTGCAGCTTCGCCGCCGCTGGCTCCTGGCCCCGCCGCCGCTGCCCGTGGCCCCCCGGAGCGGCAACGCTCGATGCTGTGAGCGCCAGATCTGACCTGCACCCTGGCCTGCACCCTGACGTCCTCCATCACCGCCGCCCGGTGGAGGACGCCCGGGAGCTACCCCACAAGCGTGCGGTCTGGAACATGATCGCCACGCCTGCGCTTGTCGTCCGCAGCCGGCCGGCACTGTCGCTGCGCGGCCAAGGGTGGATCACAGCCGCGCCGTGGACCCTCCCTCTGTGCCTCGAGCGCCTCTGCCACCGATGGCAGCGAACCGCCCTCGGCCCGACTGCCTTCGCAGACACACCTCTCTGCATCCCCAGCAGCCGCCCTCCACGAGCCACAGCCGCCAGATGACGCAGTGCGGTGGCGCCCGCGTCCCCAACGTCCACAGCCGCTTCATCATCGCCTGCCTAGTCCGCCCCCGCTGTAGCGCCAGGCCCCGTCAGGGACGGTGATCCGTTGCCGACGCGGCGTTTGGCTCAGGCTCACATGCTTGCTGCTGATCTCCACCATTGGGTCGCCAGATCAACATCTTTTGCCATGCCCTACGCCCGCAGCCCGCTCCATTCCGTCGCACCACACACATGTACGAGCCGCTGATGGGCAGGGACCGCCGCCGGCCCAGAGCCAGCAGAGCCGCGTGCCCGCCGGCTCCAAAGTTGAGATGGGTAGCGCTCGTCCCGATGACCTTGCGAGCTTGGACGCGCTCCGCCAAAAACTGCTGCCCAAGTCCTACACAGTAGACGCCCAAAGAGCTCCTCCTTTCTTCGCGCCTGCCTCGTATGGCATGCTCGGCCCGGGATTGGAGATTCAAATCTCCGTGCGCGCAGCGCAGAGGCCGGCATCCCCAGCGCCGCTTAGGAAGAAGCGTAGCGTCGCAGAGACTGCCCGTCGGGCTGGCAAGACGCGTCGTCAGTGGACGGCGGCGTCAGTTGTGTGTCCACTTGCCACCGTCGCCCCTGAGGATGTGTTGATGCAGGCCGTGAAAACTTTGTGGCTGTGGGTCCTTCATTATTCTGCCCTCACCTAGCTCACTTCCCAAGATTGCCATGTATAGCAGCCCACGCTCCACCAGGGGAGGATCCGTAGGGCGCGGCTGTGCTCGCTTCTGCTTGGCTCAGGGTACGTCCAACAGGCAGACGCCGACCCGTGCCTGATGACCAGTAGCGCCCCTCCTAGTCCGTTCGGATCTCGCCTGTAGCGGGATCGCCTTTTTTAGGCAAGCCGTCTTGCGTTAGGCTGGCGTCTGTTGGAATTTGCTCCTTGGTTCAACCTGCTTTGTCCGAACCCGAGACCTGCGCCTGATGAACGCCGGCACGTCGAAGTGGCTGAGGCGTCAGACGTCGTAGACAGTTATTAGCGAGGTGGGCGGTTGCACCGGCCGCGAGCGTCGATGCCAAGAGCGTGCATCAGACAGGCAAATGCCGACCAGCAGGCTGGCATGTAAATCACCGGGGGGGGGGGGGGGGGGGGACAGGCGGCAGACGGCTGGTGGTCTGGCGCGCGTAGACAGCCATGAGCTCTGAGCTTGGTCAGGATCGACCGGCACTCAGGCGCAGGCATCCTCGTCGAGCCGTCGAGCTAGAGAACTTAGCTAGATCCAGTTATACTTCAGCGCAGCAAACCCGAATCGCGTGCCGGCATGTAGGCGAGACGACACGCCGGGAACACGAGCTGAGCACTGCGAGGCTTGCGAGCGTTGGCTCCCGTGCCCGAGTTGCATGCCGCTAGGACCGCCACGGAGTGAACCGCTCGCGCTGGCAAGTCTACGTAGAGGCGATCATGAATCGTGTGGCGGCCGCTCTACTCGCCTTGGCGTAACGGCGGCGCCGATTAGATCCTGTCCCTGCTCCCCGGTTTTCAGCTGCCCTGGTCAGCAGGGTAGGCCACTTCCGGGCTTGAGGTTGCATCTGCGTGGGTCAGGTCAGGTCGACATCGACGACATGTTCGCGTGCCCGGCTGAAACCTCTGCTGCACTGCGCCAACATGCATCCTGCGCAGCGGTTTCCAATGAGCGTGCCTCAAGCTTGGCTTCCGAGTCATTTGCTTTATTGGCGCAGGGGCCGCCTTTCCCTAGATCCAAGCCAGTTCTACCAGAAGGCTTTGGGTAAAAGAGAAGCCTGCGTGGCTTGCTTTGATGAAGTCAAGCGTTCCGCAAGTGCCCGCGGCCTCAGGCCACAAGTGGCATCATGTCGTTAGACCGCTGGAAAGACGCAGGAGTTGCTTGCTGGTTGCTGGCCGCGGGAGATTGCTGCCCCCGCCGCAGCAGAAGTTTTGGTGCATGAGCGCCTTTCCTTGCCGGGCGTAGATGAAGATGCTCACAGGGCAGCCCTCTCCATACAGCAGAGATCCGAGCCGTCGAATCATGCGCCGCGTGCCAGATCACCGCGGCGCGCCAGCCTTCGGGACCGCCTCGCTCAAAACCGTTGTTCATGTGGCCACGAATTTCCTATGTTGGCCCTGAGACGTCGTCTGTGTCTGCGCCTGCGCCGCCACCCGAGCACTGCGACGGAAATTTCGGAATGGCGGGGGGATGGGAGCCAGGGGGAGAAACGCTGGAGTCGCTCGTGCTGTGAGACGGACTGGCGTGGACGCGAGCTCCCTTGCGCAATGAAAGAAGCAGGTGAACAATGAGGATCCGCGACGATGCGCAGCATTGATGCCTGAGGCCCGATTTGTCAGAAACAAGGGCGGCTGAGCTCAGCACGTCACGTGCGCAAATCTCCTGTTAGTCAGCCGGCGAAACGTTGGCCCTGGGTCTGCCCGGGCAGCGACGACGGACGCAGCTGCATGCAGCGCGCACCAGCCGCAATCGCGTCACTTTTGCGCCGCCGCAGCTTCATTCCATCTGTTTCGCGCACGCAGGGCAATCGCGTCGCGAGCATCTCGTCTTCCTTGCGCCACCTTGCGCCTGCACAGTCTGCAGTAGAACCTCCCCCCGAGGTTCAGGAGGAAGGACACATTTCGCTGGTTCGACTTCTGTCAAGCCTGCCTTCAACGCAGAGACGCAAGCTAATCTCGAACTCTCCGCACATTTCCTCCGCAGGCCGACTAGGTTCCGCACGGGCCTAGCTTTGCAGTCATGATGAGCTCGCGCTCCGACTCTGAGGGAGAGATCCACGAACACGAGGTCGACAAGGCAACTACGGCTCAGCCATCGTCAAGGGGCATCAGCGTTGACCGTCAATCCAGACCCCGCGCATCAGATCCGAGATCTCCGAGGGACGCGTATGAGGACGCTCCTCGCCGCAACCGCTCGCGCTCTCCCTACAGACACCGGTCGCCGCGCGGAGAAAAGCGCCGTCGGGACGAGGACTTCTACAGCGACCGAGATCGTCGCGATCCACGCCACTTCAAGGTCCGCTACGAGGAGAGGCGCACATACGACGATGAACGCCGACACCGTGTGTCCTACGCCGATTTAGACCGTGGCAGCTCCTCTCGTCCATCGTCGAGGTACGACGATCCTCGCGACCGCGATCGCAATCGCTACAGCAGACACTCGACCCGAAGCCGCTCACCACCCCATCGGGGAGGCCTGGACCGAGCCTATGATAGGCGCAATGGAAGGCATGAGCCGGAGCGGAGAGATCGGAGACAGCAAGGCCGGGAGACTGGGGCAGAGTGGCGCTCACGGGAGCATTCAGGGACCGAGCGGGTCAACGGTGGGCACGAAAGCCGCACGACCGCGCGACAAGATGGCCCTTCTCGGGCCAAACAGCGAGATGCACAGAAGGATACGGCCGTGAGATACTCTGATGCTGAGGCCAGCCGGTATGTATATTTTCATGATATACTTGGTGCTGCAGTCAACTAACGCAATGCAGCGGGGCCGAAGGTCCGAACGGAACGACCAGAGATGCCGAAATGGCCGACGCGAATGACCAAGACCAACCCGAACTCGAACCCGAGCCCGTCAACTATGATGACGAAGTTGAGCGACGGCGCAAGAGGAGGGAAGCAATCAAAGCTAAGTTCATGGATCAGCCTACGCCTCTGCGTGTTCAAGTTCTACAGCCTGGAATTGAATCCGGGCCTTCAACCCCACAGGCTGAAAGTCCTGGTGGTCGTACGGAACGTTCCGGTATGTATGACACCGCCTTTGGTACACCTGTAGCTGACGTGTGTCCAGTCTCACCTATGGTGACGTCACCTAGCACTCCTCAAGACAGCTCCGCGCCAGCCTCACCGCCCATTGTTGCAGTCCAAAACGACGAGGAGCTTGCCAACCGCAAGCGTGTGGATACCGCTGACGCCGAAGGACCCTCTGCTGCTGACTATGACCCAATCATGGATACGCAGGAGGACAGAGCCATAGATGGCCGACGACAAAGCCACGATGTGTCAGCCACGGCCTACAACGAGGTCGAAGTTCAGCCGGAACCACGTGAGGCACCCATCGCGGAATCCAAGGTCGAGGAATCGCCCGTGAAGAAGACAAAAGACGACTTTGACATGTTTGCTGAGGATGACGACGACGACATGTTTGCTGCGACCCCTGTCAAAGTTAGCGAAGCGACCGAGAATGCAAAGGCACCGCAAGTCAAAAAACTGGACAGCAGCATGCTCGACGTTTGGGATGATCCGCAAGGGTACTACAAGGTCATTCTAAATGAACTTCTCGACGACCGATACGAGGTCCAGTCTCGATTGGGCAAGGGTGTGTTCTCGGAGGTTGTCCGCGCAAAAGATATCAGGACGGGCGATATTGTTGCCATCAAGATTATTCGCAACGATGAGATTCTGCGGAAGGCCGGGGTTAAGGAGATTGAGATGCTGGAGAAGCTCATTGACAACGACCCCGAAGACAAACGTCACTGCATTCGACTTGAGAGGTCATTCGACCACAAGCACCATCTTTGCATGGTCTTCGAGCATCTCAGCATCAACTTGCGTGAAGTCTTGAAAAAGTTCGGCCGCGATGTGGGACTCCATCTCAAGGCGGTCCGCTCTTATGCTCAACAGATGTTTGTCTCTCTAAGCCTGCTCCGCAAGTGCAACATTGTGCATGCGGATATCAAGCCTGACAACATGCTGGTCAACGAGAACCGGACGATTCTCAAGATTTGCGATTTGGGATCCGCGGCGGACATCTCAGAATGCGAGGTCCCGGCCGGACTGTTGGTGAGTCGCTTCTATCGAGCCCCCGAGATTATGCTGGGAATCCCCCACGACTACGGCATCGACATGTGGGCCGTCGGTTGCACACTTTTCGAGCTCTACACGGGCAAGATTTTATTCACGGGACGCGACAACAATCAAATGCTACGGTCGATCCAGGAATGCCGTGGCAAGCTCAGCCCCAAGCTTCTTAAAAAGGGCTGGGCGGAGTACGTGTTTGACCATTTTGACGCGAACCTTCAAATGTTCAGGAGCGTGGAGACGGACAAGATTACTGGAAAGGTATGTTTCCCCGTCCCGACGTCTTGGCATTGGGGATGCTGACACAGATGACAGGATGTGACTCGCATGCTGAACTTCGTCAAGCCGACTCGTGATCTCAAGTCTCGCCTGATCAGTAGCACCAAGGGATTGAGCGAGGCTGAAATCAAGGAGATCAACCTCTTCTACGATCTCCTGGACAAGTGCCTCGCCCTCAACCCTGAGAAGCGCATCACGCCCACGGAAGCTCTCAAGCATCCGTTTATCCACCGCACCAAGGTCTAAGGCCAACAGTGACATCAGCTCGCATTTGCATTTTGCACCGGCATTACAGGATACCACTTCGATTGGTGAGAGGGCATATATGGGCGTACGGAGCTTTGTATTTATGGACGAACCGGCCGCACCCGGTGCATCATTACAGTCCATGGGGTGGCTTTTGCATTCGAAAGCTGGTTTGGGCCCGGCGCTGGTTTGGGCCCGGCGCTGGTTTGGACCGAGGATGTTAAGAAATAGAAATACGGGGTTTCGGGGGGCACGTCGGTATAGAAGGCTTTCTCGGATTAGTCATGGCAAATTGGAGGTAGCTGTGAGTACTGTCTCAGTCAAGGTGTGTTCGGATGCACGTTGGCCGGTCCTCGGTGACGCGTGGCCGCATCCAAAACACGAAGGTCAAGCTGATAAAGTGGTCCACGTGCGCATCCTTCGCACACTCCGCTTCTCCTTTTGTCCCCAGTCTTCCGAGACAGCGGATCAGCAAAGTAGCAAGACTGCTGCCTGACATTTCTTCCTGTTGGGCATCTAACAAGGCCGACGTGCGCAATATGCGTAGATCCTCGGCCTTGGTTTTCGCTTCATATGCAGCTCGCCTGTCGGAGCCTGGCGAAGTCCGTGTGTACATACATCCTCCTCAGGGTGCCCTTGATCTTCGTCATGTTAACCCTTTGCATCTCAATGTTGGGCACCTGTGTTTCTCTAGCCTCGGTCGACGGGATGCTAGACGGAGCAACCCGCGCGTGTATCGGTTATCGATAGCTTTGAATGAAGAAAGTACGTATTTGCGTAGGAACAATATAATCGCCGTGAGCGTAGTAGCACTGAGGAAGAATTGCCACGACCGACGTCACCCGCCAGAGAGCACTCACTGTCTGTGTCAAAACCATCGACGAGTCAGTGCTGTGACATTCTGGTCTCGATCGTCAAAGAGGCGGCAACGACCTGGAGACCAGCACGTGCACTGCAATGCTGCAAGGCAACCCCGTCTCTGTTTATCGCTCCTCACGGCATTACCCCTGACCGCCGCGCCACCATGCATCGGCGCAGACTGAATGGAAACGACGGGCGTCCAAAGCGGACTGCCGCTCAGCAGGATCGGAAGTGCCACGTTGGATGGACGTTGTATCCAATGTGGGGTCATCCCGGTCGAGCTGAGCCCTTCGCGCTTGTCCGGACCCTGCAATATAATGCGACGTGCAGCTGAAAACGCCCTCGGCATCCTCTCTTTCGACCAATCCGTCAGAAAAAAAGGTAACCGTCAGGCAGAAGCCCCCGCGCCTCCTGCACGCTCTCATCCACCGTTGCCCCACTCCGAGCCTAGTCCCTGCAATGCTACCCCACCCACCATCACCATGGCATTCGTCCCGCGGCAGAAGGACTTTACTCCGGCGCACCTATGTCGCCCACTGCATTCCTCTCGAGGCTCGGGCACAATCCAAGACCATGGGGCCTTTTGCGCCACAGATGAAGAAACAAACTATCAAAACAAAACAAAACGAATGTCGACGCGGATGGGACTCGAACCCACAATCTTTGCCATGATCCTTAGCCGGAAAGCAACGCCTTACCATTAGGCCACCGCGCCATTTGATGAAGGAGAGCTCTATTTGCTACAATATATCCTGTAAAACACCCGTCTTGCCGAGAAAATGCCGAGCACACGGTTGCACAGAAGCCTCAACGTCACGGAATACATGACGAATGCCACACTGATGGTTTGAATATTGGTACGCCTTTGATTCCCCTGGCCCTTCTCAGACATGTTTCGATCACAAGCGCATTCTGGTGTCACAGGACTTCGACAAAGATACGCGCCTGGGAAACGACGCCGCGGGAACTTGACCTAAGCTATGCACTTGGGAAAATGAGGTACCTGACCAGAGGGAATATGAATGTCCGAAGAAATGTAGGGATTAAGATAATATCACATTCATGAAGTCATATCGGATGAGAGTCGAAGCAGTAGTTGGGCATGATAGCCATGGTTTTTCTTTTCCGAGCCAAGTAACCTCAAATCTTTGCGCATGCTCGCTCTCTGTTTGGCTTTTTTCTTTTACGAATGGGCTCCGGGATTCCCTTTGATCTCAGCCGGGCGTACCTCCGGACTGACGGCGGTTGGTGCACATACCCCTCCAATTTTCGCACACTTCGGAATGGGGGACTTGAACCAAATTCTTCATTCCACAAGCAATCCCTTCGACTGATATACGCAACGTGTTCGCTACTCCAGTGAATATATATATGCACAATGAACGGCTCGGCTGGTGAGAAACAGCAGCGCTCGGTCCATTGTGTTGCGCGACACAAACACTCTATCCTCCACTGCCTCACTTCAACGTCAACACCACAGTAAACCTTTTCACAAAGCACTAGCCCCACTGGAAGCTCACCCCCATCCTCCCATCCTCCCATCCCCCCCATCTCCTGAACGGGCCCCTCAAAGCAATAGACAATAGCCATCCTTCTTCGCCCCCTCAAAGAACCGCATCCCATCAACACCTTTTCTTCGGTCACAATCGCTAGCCACAACATCCTTATCCCAGCATAATTGCCGCCCCCACCGTTGCTCACATGATGCCTGCAACCCACCACATCACTATCAACCCCGTTGTCATCAGCCTCACCAATACCACCCCTTTTGTAACCCAAGACCCCCACGATCGCTTACTGATATGATTTCCGCCGTAGCTCACCCCCGCTCGTTAAGCGCCGCCATTGCAACGCCCCCAGATCCCGCGCCAGGACTTCCGTTGACTGTCGAGCCCGGTACCAGCACCAATGCGAAGAAGGTGTTTGCGAATACCTGTTGCGTTTTAAAGACTAATTGACGTCATAGGAGGGAGGATGCTTGGAAAAGGGTGGAGTGCGTCGGGGTCAGCAAGATAGGGATCGGATGACACGAATGTCCATAGGGGAGATGTGACTGAGGTCAAAGAATGGGTTCATGGTTGTACTGCACGAGGCGACGAGCTCGTGGAAGTGTTGCCGGATCAAGGACGGGCGAGGACAGTGATATCCTGTCAGGTATGGTATACGATAATGCCGTTGATGGTGTTGATGGTGCTGACAATGTGTGTCTGAGACAGGGGTTTGAGACTATGGTCGGCAAGACTGGGACAAAAAAAAAACAAAAAAACCGGGGTCTGACTGAGCGTAGTGTGACGTCCCTGCTCTCATGAATTCGTGTGTCATGGTGTTAACGGGCGATTATGGATGATATCCGTGACAACTGGAGCTGTAGTGGCATGTAATTTTACGGTTCAACGGATGTATTACAGTTCTAGTTTACTCAGGTATTGGAATACATATGGGGACTCTCAAATATATGAAGATTCAATATGGTTACCGAACAAGTACTGGTCGGACTTTCGTGATGAAGACGTCCCATATGGAAATCTTCACCGTCTCTTGCTTTCAGTCGACACGTCACCGTGTCTTCGAGTTCTTGAACGGCGCTGCGATGAGAAAGACACGCCTGTTGCTGTAGAATCTAACCACCTAACTTGACGAAGACAAACACATATCCGTCGTGTTTTTTCATGTACACTTCTACATAACCATAGCCAGACTCTAGGACCAAGTCTCGGTGGGCTTGCTTGCTATTAACATGGTTGATGCCCTCGGCACTGCCGAGTGGTATTAGGTATATACTTCTAAGGCTCTCTTCAAGTCTACAACATGGTCGACGGCGACCGACACAAACAGCCCTTGGGAAGACTTTCACTCGATATACATCAAGGAGCTCAGGGGTATACTAAGCAGACCAATAACTCCATACGAATGCATGCACAGACGCCAATAAACACCAACGAGCAGCACCACGTCCCGGCCAAAACCCAGTCGGTCAGTCGACACGAACTGACCGATAGCCTCACCTTGCTTTCGGGCGGCGGATGACGACCTTATCCCCCTCCTGGAGTTCCCACCCGACCCCGCTCTTTACGAGTTGATCCCAATCCCGGCCAGTGCACTTCTCGATGTACCCCTTTTCCGCACCGAAGTAGCTCCTGCCAATGCACTTGAGGGCGTGGAGGCGCATCTCGTCCTCCTTGAACTCCATGATGCGCTTCTGGTAGCCGTCGACCAGCTTGTGCAGCTGCCAGAAGCTGACCCAGTCGTCCATGACCAGCGCCCGGAGCAGGCGATCGACACGGCCCGTCGGGTCTGCATAGGCCAGGCCGAGCCTCGACCGGTGCGCAAAGGCCGACCCGAGCTCCCCTTGGCGGCAGGCCAGGTCGAGGACGTAGTAGCCGGCGAACTCGTTGAACTCGGAGCTGGTCATGGGCGTCTGGGCGTGGATGGCGTTGAGCAGGTAGCGCAGGGCGGGCAGGTACGACTCCCAGGACTTGGTGAGGATGGCGGCGTGGATGATGAAGATGTAGGCGCGCTGGGCGAAGCGGTCGGTGCGGTGCGAGGCCACGACGGCCTCGCGGAGCTTGCGCATGGCGGAGACGATGGTGCCGAGCTCGATGGTGGTGTTGCGCAGGGGGATGGAGGGCGATTCGAGCGTCTGCGATGCGTCGCGCTTAGCTGGGCGCATGGCCGAGGGCGTCGGCGGCACCGTCTTCGGCGAGGCCAGAGAAGGGCGCGCGCGCTTGGGGACGTTCAGGGGAGACGGGGACTGGGATACTTTCGGGGCAGAGCTGGGGCTGGGGCTGGTCTGGGAGACGGACATGGCGGCGAACTGCTCGGCCAGCTTCTCGCCGCCGCCCGAGGCCGCGCAGAACTTCATGTAGCGGTCGACGATCTTGTTGTAGAAGGTCTCTTGGGCGCGGAAGTCATTGAGCCTGGCAGGCGTTAGGAGCGAAGGCAACGGGGGCCGCAGCTAGGCTTTCCTTGTCTCGCCCTTGGAAGGCAGGCCGTACGCCTCGAGCGGGTCCGAGGGGCCTGGCTTGAGCCGGCTCCACTGCATGGACGGGCCGCGGCGGGCGACGGGGCGTTGCTGGGCGCTCATTGCCGGCTCCAATGGGTGGCACGGCGGCCGCGGGGCTGCAGTTGATCGGGATGGCGGGGTGGTGGTGTTGAGGCGAGCACCAGTGCACCACCCTCACGTCACCTGCACGAGCCAGCCTGTTCCGCCGGCGCCTGCCGCCTGCCGCCTGCCGCCAGCGCCCGCCGCTCTCAACACTTCCAGCGCCATGTAGGCCTCCTCTCCACAGCCATGGATGCGGTCAAGGACGTCGCTGCAGCGGCCCAGCGCGCCGAGAAGAGCCTGGAAACCCGCCTCACTCTGCTCTGGCACGAAATCCACCCGTGGCAGCAGGACAACCACTACATCCACAGCGGCTACCGCCCCGCCTCCAACTCGTACCGCAAGTCTGCAACGAGCCTGTTCTACTTGCACAACGAGACGGTCAACGTCTACACCCACCTGCTGGGCGCCGTTGCCGCCGTCTCGGGCGCCGCCGCCCTGTACGCCGCCCTGCGCCCCCGCTACGACACGGCCACGCACGAGGATGTTGCCATGTTCGGCTGCTTCTTTCTGGGCGCCACCGTCTGCCTGGGCATGAGCGCCGCCTTCCATCTGACGAGCAACCACTCGCCGCAGGTCCAGCGCTTCGGCAACAAGCTGGACTACATGGGCATCGTCTGCCTGATCTGGGGCAGCTTCATCCCGAGCGTCTACTACGGCCTTCTGCAGCACCCGAGCCACGTGCGCTTCTACTGGATCATGGTCAGTCCCAGAGACGCGTCCCGCGTCGCGCGCCGCAAGAGTGAGGCCGAAGGGCTGACGCCGATCAGATCACGACGAATAGCGTCGCGTGCGCAATTGCCGCCGTCCTGGACAAGTTCCGGTCGCCGGCTTTCCGTCCGATCCGCGCCGCCATGTTCGTCGGCCTGGGGCTGTCCGCCATCTTCCCGGTCGTCAGTGGGCTGAAGCTCTACGGGCTCCAGGCGCTGAGGGAGCGCATCGCCCTCGACTGGCTGGTCGCGCACGGGCTCATGTACATCACGGGCGCTGCGATATATGCCGTAAGATCTTCCGCTGCTCGTGTGTCGGCAGCCGTGTCTGACTACAGCTTCCAGATCCGATTTCCCGAGCGCATTTGGCCGGGCCGCTTTGACATCTGGGGAAGCTCGCACCAGATATTCCATGTGCTGGTGCTGTGTGCTGCAGCCACGCACCTGGTGGGCCTGATCAAAGCGTTCGACTTCCAGCACTCGCAGCCCTATGTCACGTCGGACCGTCTGCACCTGCTGGACCTGCCGTGGTTCTGAGGCCACAGGCCGTTTTGGGAAGCCAATGAAGGCCCGAGCGGCGCCGTCCTGCCCAAAGCACACGGCTCCCCGTATCGAGAGGGCGAGTGCCCTGCACAGGGTGACAGGCTGTCGTCGGCTGCCGGCACGGAGACGCGGCGCGGCGCGGCGGATGCAAAGCCAGGGAATGCCGCGAGGATCGGCCGACATGGAGATGGAGATAGAATGATCAGATACTTTTAGATGGATATGAATAGAAGTAGAGCAGCAAGGCAGGCGGTGGGCGGACGGCGGCGTCGGGAGCGGGTGGTCCATGCGGCTCCTGCCCCCCCAGGCCCCCTTGGACCGTCCGCCGCCACACAGGCTCCTTTCATTTCCGAGCACCAACGCCTCGTCGGTGCGTAGGGCTGCCGCGCATCCCCCAGCCCACCGCCATCAGCAGAAACATGCGGGACAACGACGGCCGCCGCGTGCGTTCAGCCGCATTGCGCCCGCCATGCCGCCAAGCTCGCACACGCTCGCACACGCTCGCACACGCAGACGACAGAGCAGCCAGCCGCAACGGCGCGGGACCAGCCGCCATGCCGCCATGCCGCCATGCCGGGGGCCACGCCGAGGGCCACGCCGTCACCCGTGGGCCACGGATCGCAGGATGTACGTCACATGGACGCGGGTCCAGAACCAGGCGCAAGGGGAAGCAGCCAATCTCGCGCGTGGAGTGGGTGGCGCTCCGGGAGAGGCTGTGCGGACTGCGGACTGCTCCCCCGACACCACCGGAAAACGCGCCCCATTGCCTAGCCCCCGTCCGCCGCAGGCCACGCCAGGCCGCTGCAGGGCCCCAGCAAAGGAAATACTACTGTTTCTCCTGTCTCATCCCATTAATTCGCTCGACCAGTACGAGATTAGCCCGATGGCCCGCTGGGATCATGGCCGCACACCCCTGCAGCTGATCATCGACGTCCAGCCGCACACGTTTCTATTTATTCGTATAAGCCATGCCTCTCCTGCTGCCTCTGCTCCTCACCTCCACCCGCCCTCTCTTCCACACTCATTATTCCACGGTCCATTGGCGCCGTAGTCCTTCGTTTTTTAGAAACCCACACAATCGTTAATACCTTAATCTTTCCACCATGAAGCTCACCAACGCCGCCGTCGTCCTCGCTGGCGCCGCTCCCCTGGCCAGCGCTTTCCGCAAGGGCTTCAACATCGGCGCCACCAACGCCGATGGCAGCTGCAAGACCCAGGCGCAGTGGGCCCAGGACTTCAAGGGCATGAAGAACCTGCCCGGCAACTTCAAGGACGTGCGTGTCTACGCCGCCTCGGACTGCAACACGCTCGAGCTGGCCGTCCCCGCCGCCGTCGCCGCCGACGTGCAGCTCCTGGTCGGCATCTGGACCGAGGACGACGCCCACTACAGCGCCGAGAAGGCCGCGCTCGAGGCCGCCATCTCCAAGCACGGCGTCTCGTGGATCTCGGCCGTCTCGGTCGGCAGCGAGGACCTGTACCGCGGCGACACGACCGCCTCCAAGCTGGCCCAGCAGGTCTACGACGTCCGCGGCATGATCTCGCAGGACAAGTACGGCGGCAAGGGCATCTGGGTCGGCCACGTCGACACGTACAACGCGTGGAACGCCTCGTCGGCCGACCTGATCCAGGCCGTCGACTTCCTCGGCGTCGACGCCTACCCCTTCTGGCAGGGCGTCACGCCCGACCAGGGCCAGCAGACCTTCCAGGCCGCCCTCGACGACACCCAGGCCTTCATCGACCAGTACAACCCCGCCGCCCACCTGTGGATCACCGAGACCGGCTGGCCCACCGCCGGCCCCAACTTCGGCAACTCGGTCGCCAACACGGCCAACGCCAAGACCTTCTGGGACGCCGTCCTGTGCAAGTACGCCGCCCAGTACTCCATCTGGTGGTACACCCTGCACGACACCTCCACCGAGGCCCAGGACTTCGGTGTTGTTGATGACAACTTCGGCGCTCTCTTCGACCTCAACTGCTAAATGGTTGATTGTTGGAAGTGCGTTTTTGATGTACCGGAACGTGTCTCTTCGAGAGACCGGAAACGTTATAGAAACTAAGAGATGGGATGATGCTCTGGCTAGGAATCAATAGAAAACTCATGCAATGTGCGGTATACGTCTAATAATGCGTCGTCGCCAACCGTTTGGACTTCAATGTAAATATTGTGACAACACAAGACCTTTTCAGTGAAGAATTTTGCCATTTGTGACGATGTTTACAGTGAGAGAGTACGTTAATAGAGTTTTTCCAGACATGTCTCGCCATCTATGCACGTGGTTGCATTGTCTGTCTACCTACCACAACGACGCCTGGATATTTGCATCAATTGTACGAGCATGAGGGGCGGCTAGACACATTCAGTAGTTTTCCAAAAAAAAAAAAAGTTAAAAGAGTATGATCTACGGTAGCTCCGAAAATCACTGCCTCAGCTTTCGTCTCACCATAGCAAGCTTAACATCAAGCTTAGTATATAGTTGGTCGTATCGTAACTCATAACCCGAAATGCTGCAATCTATAACACATACAATGGAATCTCAACAACAACAACACTAACCCTCCTAACCCTCCGATTTCTTTCGTCTCCCTCCCTCCCTTTCACTGAGCAGGCCTCTCGTTGATCTTCTGGCCGACGTCACCCTGCTCGCCGGGCACGTTGGTGGCATCCGCGCCGACGCCGACATTGGACGTGTACGAGTCGCCGGCGACGGGGGCATCGCCCGGTGCGCCGCCCTCCTTGTGCGCCGGTGCGTTGTCAGCGCCGAGGCCGTGGGCTGCAAAGGTTTTGCGCGCATGTTAGCAGCCGGGCTACGGATTGAAATTCAAACAATTCTAGGACCCTCGGCATGCATGAACGTACACTGCGCCTGCTGCTTCAGGAACTTGTCGCTTGGGGCCTGGCCGCCGGGAACCTTGGAGTGAGGCATGTTGTTTGGATGGGTTTGGAGCCGGGAGAAGAGAGCAGTTTTGCGTGGGGAAGTGGAAGTGGAAGTGGGAGAGGAAGGTTGGATTATTGCGGTTTGCTTGACTGATTGATATAAGGGCTGTCTCGCCTTCCCGATGTGAGAATATCTATCAACGGGACGGAGGCTGGTGACGTCACGACCCTTTCACCCCGCCTCCAGCTAGGCGCCTTCGACAGACTGACGACATTGCCGGTGATGCAGGAGGAAAGAAGCAATTCGCCATGGCAAAGTGGAGACGCGACCGACAGTCCGCGAGGGAGTGGTCAGTAAGTGACAACAAAGCCATAACCGAATTCAGACGTCATCATCCGTGCAGGAAGCGCCCGCCGAGCCTCACGGAGCTAAGAGCATGCCGATCGCATTATCAAGATCGCTCTATTGGTTCTATTTGCGAACATGTATTCAGGTGGTAGTACATAACCCGAGGTCCAGCCATCGCTTATGCAGTCAATCCGCATGGTGTCCGTTCGCCTTGGACATGCACAGTCGTGAGGCGCGTGCTTTTTCCCTCTACAACAATTACAAGGTTCGTAAGTCAAATCAGAAATCACAGAAGGGGCAAAAAGGTTCTTTCCTCTCAGCTCATCTTCCCCATCTCCACGTCCGCCTCGGCGTAGTCATCGTCCAAATCCCCTCCCCACTCGCCCATCCTCACCTTCTTCCCCAACCACACACCCAGCGCCGACGCGACGCACGCGGCCAGGAACCAGCCCTCGAACCAGCGCTCGACGAAACCGGGCTCGAGCGGGGCGCCGAGGGCCTCGCTGATGACGCCGCGGTACTCGGGCGGCAGGTTGGAGCGCAGCAGCAGCGCCGAGCTGATGACGTACGCGGCCGAGATCTGCGACACGATGAGCGCGAGGTTGGAGCGAGCGTGTTGCAGCAGCGCTAGCGCCGGGCCCGCCAGCCGCGACAGCAACAGAAACGTCTGCAGCACGCTGTTGAACGACGCCAGTAGCATGACCCCGGCGAGCAGGAACGAGATCTGGCGCGACCACGCCGCGCGGTCGAGCGACGGGTCCCAGTGCTTGGCCAGCAGCGCGAGGACGTTGTTGATCGGGTCGCTGTTGGAAAAGTTGGTGCTTGGCGAGTGCAGCCGGCGGAATGTCGTGAGTGTCGTCGCCCCGATGCGGTACAGGCAGTAGATGGAGAAGATGTAGGAGAAGAGGTTGAGCAGGTGGCCCAGCGCCGTCTTGGAGCGCAGCTGTGCCTGGCGCCGGTTCTGCATGGCTAGCAGCGAGTTGGACAGCCCTGCCGCCATCGTCTCCAGCCCGGAGATCTCGAGCTGCAGGCTCTGGCGCTCCTGCTGCTCGGCATTGCCGCGGATGCTCCCAATGACCCGCGTCATGAAACCTTCCTGCGGGTTCTCGGACAGCCGGCGCTGCACGGCACGTAGCCGGCTCTGCTTCACCTGCAGCATGTCGTTTGTGGCGTCCAGACCAGCCTGCTTGCGCGCAATGTCTGCCTCGGTGATCTGGTGGCGGCAGCCGTTAGCAATTGAGACATTTGTTTCGCACGTGTGGCGGAGCGTACCGTCTTTTGCTTGACCCCAAAATTCTGCCACAGCGAGCTGACGGCAGCAAAGCCAGCAAGACTGGCCATCAGACTGACACCAATGACGCCGATCCTCTCAAGGCACCCCTCGCTAAAGGTGTGCTTGTTCACGTAGCTCTTTTCATGCAGGTAGCTGCCCAGCAGCCCCTCGCCCAGCCACCAGAAGGCCAGCAGCCAAAGCGCCATTCCAATGCCCTCCAGCAACCACGCAATCTTGACGCGGCCGCCCTTGGCCGAGTCGGTGAAGCTCCATCCCGCGGCGGAGAGGACCGAGTGGATTTCCAGGGCGGGGGTGACGATGACCAGCAGGACCAGTAGCAGCGAGAGGGTGGTGCGGAGGGCGAGGCCACGGGCGGTCTGGTTCAGCGAGTTCGAGATTTCGCAGAGGATGAGCTCGACCAGCACGGCGCTGAGGGCGACGTTGGTCGAGAAGACGATGCCGGCGACGCGCTGGGCGGACAGGCTGCGGCGCCACGGGTCGCGGAAGGTGGTGGGCGAGTGCGGGTCGTGGTGGTGGGTCGGCGACGAGGACGCGGCCGGCGACAAGGGCGATTGGGAGCCCGACAGCAGCGGGAAGAGGCGGTGGTGCACGGCTAGGGCGACGACGAGGAAGGTGGCGATGAAGGGCAGGCACGAGAAGAGAGTGCTCGACGCCGAGTGGCGCATGTATTCGGGAATGCAGTCATCGCAGTCGTCGGCGGAGGGCAGCATGAGGCGGCGGGCAGCGGGCGTCGGGAGCGAGCGGCGGTGGTGTCTCGGGATGGCGTGGAGGAGGTGTTGAGAGGAAGGTGGGTGGGTGGTGGGTGTCGAAGGGCGGCCAGCGAATTCCAGCCGAAGGGGATCGGCGTCGAAGGGCGGGTGTCGCAGCTCATGGATGCGCCTTGCATCCGCGTCAGAGGCGGAGTCTCCGGACGCGCAACCATCGTCGAGCCCCAGCCACACGGCCCACCCCCGGCCAAAACCGCAAGGGCTGTGCGAAATGACCCCAATTGCGATGCGCAACCGCCGCTCTACGCTGACGAATGCGTCTGCGAGACCTGCGAGACCTGCCGCGTCCAGCGTTGCATGTGTGCCGTCGCCAGCCCGCCGGCGGGCCCTAAATTGGGCGCCCGTCCTGGACGTCGCTTCGTTTTAGCAGCAGAATTATTATTATTATTATTATTACCGACTCATCTTTCGCACCCAGACCAGCGCTGCAACCACCCTGGAGACAGGAACTAGTCGCGCAGACTCTGAAATTATCCCAATTGCTCCGACGCTACCGACTGCGAGCGGCGAACAGCAATCAACCGACCAAAGCATAAAGAGTCAGGCGTCTACACTGTACGCCCCACTCCACTTTTCAACCCTCCTATTCCATGCCCGCACCGCTGCAGAAGAGATGGAATCAACAACATGCTGTTCGTGTGTGCAACACCGTCCGTTGAAGAGGATCATGCCGGCCAAAAAGGCAAAAAACAAAGCACCAACCCGGATTTGAACCAGGGACCTCGGGATGATAGCAACTTTCACTGCAATCCTGCGCTCTGCCCCTGAGCTATTGGTGCTTATTTCAACATTGTGTTTGGGTTTGGTGATTATGTAGAGTTACTTCATGAACGACGTGACAGCTCCGGGCACGAGTAAGTAGGACGTACCTTGCATTCATCAATCCCATTTGACGACAACACTTCGGACCAGTGGAACGGTCAAGATCTCAGTTTCAGAAACGCCGTGAACTTAATGATGGTGCCTCCTCCAAGGGATTTCGCAAAGCGCTGCGCAGAATGTTGACGATGAGATATGTTGAACCACGGCCGGATTTCCCAATTGGACCGGTTTCTTGGCGGTCCTGACAGTATCGAAACATACTGTAGAACCCACACACATCATTGTGGCCTCGATGTTGTGACCATCGGTGCGAGACAAAGAAATAAATTGTAAACGATTCAGACAACATCTGAATTCCCAAGGAATGGACAGGTTCCAACCGCAGCCACGTCGTCTACCAACGCGAAAGTCTCGGAACAAGAGAGAAACAAGAGGAGAAAGTGAGAGAAGATACCCGTTGATGCCGAGGAGTATGGATACAAGGAAAAGAAAAGGAATGCCAGCCACCAGCCTCTATGACGCGCTCTAAGCGAAATCGAACCGCCCATGAATGACACCAGCCTCCCAAGAACCTGACCTACATGCCAGAAAGCCGGTCGATTTTGTTCTCCACCCATGCCAAAATGCACAACTGTCGAGAATGCCGCCGAAATACACCGCAACGCCAGGATATCCTTCCACGGCTGTACAGATGCAAAGGAAAAGTGTTGGGGTTTAAACGTTGTCCTCTTCGTCGGGCCGCGCGATCTCGTAGAACAGAAGGTAAACCTCCTTCTGCATGCCCAGGACGTCACTCGTCTTGCTCTCCTTGATTTTGTCGTCACTTATGCGCCACCATCTGTTATCGCGCTTCTTCGTCCTCCGCTTCACCGACTTGGCAATCGACTCAGCCTTTGTTGCCGCTCTTTCGCCCATCGAGTGCAGCTTTGAGGGAGAATGCCCCGGCGATGATGTTGATCGCGCCTGCTTGAGCGACGAGTTGTCATCGCGAGGCGCAGACGTCAAGCCTACACGTTGGCGCATCGAGGAGCGCGAAGACTTGGAAGACAGCGATATCGATGATGCGTCGGGGAAAGCGGGCGAGGGCAGATGGGCAGACTCGGGCATCTCTGCGGGTTCGATGTCCTTGCACGCCGAAGGCCGTGGGCTTTGCACTGTGCTGGGCACTGTGCTGGGCATGGCGCTGGGATTGGGGCTGCCGCTGAGACTATAGACACCCTCAGTACCAAAGGAATGCGGTGTAGAGTAGGGAGGAATCTGAATTTGGCGCCGGAAGCTCTCATAGTGCCCACTGTTGTGGCCTCCCTTGTGGGTGACGACGCCTAGTAAATGGTACTTCCTCTGATCCAGGATTCCTCCAAGAGGTAGCGTTTCGGGAAAGGAGACCTTTGCCATGTTCTTCGACGAATAGGTGCCGTAGTTTCCGGCCATGAAGAGCGATCTTGAAAGATGAACAGCGAGAACCTTGGGGAAAGTGGAAATGCGCATGTGCCGCGCGATCCTCCTCTTGGGGGCTAAGCTGCTGTCTGGTAGCTCGACATCAGCCGGCGGCTTCTCCGGATCTTCCTCCAAAGCCTTGCGCAGCTTTGCAATGTCCGTCTCCAGCTGTTCTCGCTCACGATCCTTGACGGCCTTCCCCAGTTCCTTCTCTTTGAGTTCTACAGCATGTTGCAGGCGGCAATTCTCGCATTTGAAATCATCGATATGTTCAATCTTGAGCATGCCGTCGAAGCATTGGTTCAGAGTGGCCGAGGACTGGTGGGGCACGTTCAAGGTCAAAGTGACGAAGCTGGAGACCGAGGGCTTCGGCTTGAAGTGGCAAGTAAGGCACTCAATCTGAGACTCCAGTTGGCCTTCGAAAGGGAAGCCGTCCTCGTCGTCCTGTTCCTCGGGATCCGATTCCTCGTCCACGTCCGCGGCGGAACCCGTTTTCTGCTTGAGGAGCTCCTTTCTGAGATCGGCGCTCTCCTTTTCCGGCTCGTCCGCCCTGAACAGGGCCGCCCGCTGCCTCCGTGCTCGTCTCCGCGCTTTGTGGCCCGCATGATACTCCTCGGAGACTCGCTCGGTCACGAGCTGGAGAAACTCCTGGGCATCCTGCTGCTGCCTGCTGATGCGCGACATGAAAGCGCGCTCAAGCGCGCCGACAAAAGTTTGCGCCGATATGGTCTTGCGGTAGATTGGGCGTTCGTTCAGCCTGTCCAGCACGTCCTTCAAGGCATGGGTGACGATGCCCTGCTGCAGCCCGTCCAGCTTCACCGCGCCCATGTCTTTCTGGGCTGCCTCGGAGTCCTTGTCATTCTCCGGGACCTTGTAGACGTCGAGCCCGTCGAGCGCGCGGCGATGGATCTCGCGGATCAGATACAGGCGCAGGTGCGGCAGGCCAGCGAGGGTCTGGAGGACGGAATTTATAAAGCAGTCATTTGCAGGGTTGCTGAGGCCGACAACGCCCTTCTTGCGCGCGGAGTTGGCGGCATCGTCGTCAAGGAAGAAGGTCGGGCCAAAGACGTAAACGAGGGTGATGGCCGCCAGAGAGGCTCCAGCGGCGTAGGTCGCAATGGTCAGCGGCTTGTCCGGCATGGCGCAGCGGGGCCTGGGGAGTGGGAGGAGTTGGCGGCGGGGGCTTGGGCGGGCATGAAGGTGTAGAAGGAGAGCTTTGCGGCTATGGCCGGAGCAGGCTGAGGGGCGTGAGCGCGGCGGGCGAATCAGTCATCTGGCTGGCAGCAGATCGATTGCTCTTATTGCATAGCTCGACCGGCAGCGCAGGCGGCGAGGGCCGCGGCCGTCCGTGAGGAGGTTTTGACTTGGTCGGCGCCAGAGAAATGCCGATGCTGCTGCGCGCTGCCAGGAACTCGCCTCAACTCTCTGTGTCGCCCAGCTCGACCCTCCCGCACTAGAACACCATGTCCGCTCCGCTGCGGCCCTCGCTGCTGCCCCAATGCACCTCGTGTGCCCGCCGCTTCGCCAATGCCGGCCTGCGCGCCTGGGCCCCGTTCCAGCAGCAGGCCCGTGGCGCGAAGAAGGCCAGCAAGCTGCCGAACACGCTGATTGTCCGCCTGCTCAAGGACGTCAAGGCCTATGGCCGCAAAGGTTAGCCCGCCCGCTGCCATTGGCACCGCTCCAGCTCACTCGGCATCTGCAGGCTCCTTCGTCCCCGTCCTGCCCGGCCTGATGCGGAACGAATGGTTTCCCGGCAACAAGGCCGACTACGTGACGCCCGCGCAATTACGCCAGCTGAAGGCCAAGGACGTCTCCATGGAGCGCGACCACATGTTTGGCCTGGAGGTGCCCGAGGTGGCGGAGCAAGAGACGGGTCCCGAGGTGCTGGAGATTGCCATGCCCAAGCCCATTGAGGTTGAGGGAATCAGCGTACGTGCTTCACATGCAGGGTTGCTGTGGTTGGAACAGCCTCTCGATGGTCTATCTTGTGGAATGCTACAGTGTTCAATTGCTGACCGTCGCACAGCCCCAGCGATCCATGGAGCTAATTGCCAATTTTGTTCCCCCGCGCATCGATATCGAGCGTGACATCGGCGAGCAGCCCTCACAGCCCAAGGAAGAGCCCAAAAAGCAGCCCCGGCTCCGGGGCATGTCTGCAGCAGACGTGTTGGCCGCGGCGTCTGGAGTTCCCGAGAAGCCCGCCGACACACGCGTTCGCTTCTTCGGCTCGGTGTCTACTCAGGATATCGTGACGGCCATCAAGGAGCAGCTTGACGTCAATGAGGAGGGATCGCGGGTGGTGGTGGCACAGCGTGATGTGCGGTTCCTGGGCGGCACCGAACCCAACGACGAAACGAGAATAAAATACCTGGGCGACTATGAGTTTGAGGTCAAAGTACAGGGCGCGACGGACGGCATAACGCGGAAGCTACGCATTCTGCCTACGCAGTCGAGGGCGTAAGGCGGAAACTGCGCTTTCTCAGCATGGACTGAGGTGGTGCCTGAGGTGGTGCCTGAGGTGGAATCATGATCGGCCGACCTCTGTTTTGGGTCGGCAGAGGCAAATAAAGCTTGTATACACTAAGTCTGAGGCTCTTCGGCCCCGAGAGAACGTCAGGGGAGATCACGGGCTGCGCGATAAAAAAAAAATAAAAAAAACTAAGAATGCGAGACAGGACAGGCCATGCGGCATGCTGATGCGAGATAAGCGGCGGCGGCGGCGGCGGTGACGTGCCGCCCTGCAGTGCGAGGCGGCCCAACAAGTAGCGTGTCTAATGCGAGGCGGCACATTGGCGTGTGGCCAGGGCGGTGGGCGTGACGGACCCTTAGAATAATAGAGGGTGGGAGGGCGGCTTCATGTGCGCGGCCACACGGCCAGCACTGACGGCCGGAGCCGGCATATCGCTGATCCTGCGGCGGCCGCGGCCAGTGAGAGGGCCAGTGAGAGGGCCAGTGGGAGGGGGCGTGCGGCTGCCGGCGACGAGGATCCTCGGGACGATTTGAGCAGTGCTGCGCCGATGCAGAGCCGTGGCCCCGCCGGCCATGACACAATCGGCCGCAGTGTTATGATGAAATCCCCACCTGCCCCTCAACACACGCAGCTTCTTCCTCCCACCGACTCGAGCCCACTGAAATCATCGCACTCGCATCGCTGCTGCACGCCTTGATCTGGTGAGTTCGCCTCTGCCTAGCGAAGCCCCAAGCGTCTGCCGTGCGAGCATGGGCCCCACTGATGCAACCGCTCCACCGCCAAGGCAGGCCCTTCAGCTTCAAAAACTGCCCCTCCCCTCCCTCCCGCTTCCCTCTGTGTGATACCCCCAAACATCCCAAGCATCCCATCCATCCCCTACGCCTCGTCTCTAACTCACCTTCCACTCCCAGCCTCACCACACCACATCTACAACCATGGGTGCCCAAGACAACCTCAGCCGCAAGTCCGGCGTCATTTACGGCGACGACGTCCTGAAGCTCTTCAAGTACTGCCAGGCGCACAAGTTCGCCATCCCCGCCATCGTGAGTTGCACCTGCCGCGCCCGCCGCCCGCCGTCCGCAATTGGCTGACCCTGTCCAGAACGTCACCAGCTCGTCGACCGTCGTTGCGGCGCTCGAGGCTGCCCGCGACAAGAAGTCGCCCATCATCCTGCAGACTTCGCAGGGTGGTGCCGCCTACTTCGCCGGCAAGGGCGTCGATAACAAGAACCAGGAGGCCTCGATCCAGGGTGCCATTGCCGCGGCTCACTACATCCGCGCCATTGCCCCCGCCTATGGCGTCCCCGTCATCCTCCACACCGACCACTGCGCCAAGAAGCTGCTGCCGTGGTTGGACGGCATGCTCGATGCCGACGAGAAGTGGTTCAAGGCGACGGGCGAGCCCCTTTGGTCCTCGCACATGATTGATCTGTCCGAGGAGGACGTCGAGTACAACGTCTCCACCACGGCCAAGTACCTCGAGCGCATGGCCCCCATGAAGCAGCTCCTGGAGATGGAGATCGGCATCACTGGTGGTGAGGAGGACGGTGTCAACAACGAGGATGTTGACAACAACTCCCTCTACACCCAGCCCGAGGACATCCTCATGATCTACAAGCGCCTCTCGGCCATCTCCCCCTTCTTCTCCATTGCCGCTGGCTTCGGTAACGTCCACGGTGTCTACAAGCCCGGCAACGTCAAGCTCCACCCCGAGCTCCTGTCCAAGCACCAGCAGCACGTCCAGAAGGCCATTGGCTCCTCTGACGAGAAGCCCGTCTTCCTCGTCTTCCACGGTGGCTCCGGCTCCTCCAAGGAGGAGTTCCAGCAGGCCATCGGCTACGGTGTCGTCAAGGTCAACCTCGACACTGACCTGCAGTGGTACGTACACGGACACGCGAGCGTTGCGGCTACGATGACGACTAACAATTGTACAGGGCCTACCTCCTCGGTATCCGCGACTACGTTCTCAACAAGAAGGACTACATCATGTCGCAGGTCGGCAACCCCGACGGTGCCGACAAGCCCAACAAGAAGTACTATGACCCCCGTGTCTGGGTCCGCGAGGGTGAGAAGACCATGTCGACGCGCGTCCAGGAGGCTCTTGTCGACTTCAACACTGCTGGCCAGCTGTAAGCTTGTTGCATGAATAGGCAATCAAGCTGTTTTGAGGTGTTTAATAGGTGATGACGTTTGGGAAGGAAAACGGGGCGGCATCGATTGGAGTAGAAGATTGATTGTGATGTATAAATGAATGCATGAACCTCACCCAATCTGTTCGTACGTGCACAATAATGTGTGGATGAGAGGCGGCTCAGGCTCAGGAACGAAGCCCCGTTGCCCCGAAGTCACATGAGTGTTGATTTCAACCAATGGACCGGCAGGAATTGAGCATCGCTCGATCGTCGCTACCGCTCATCAATTGCTTTCTGCGCTCTCCTTCTCGATGTTTCTTGGTTCACGTCATGCGTTCCGGATAACCCGCGCTCAGACTTTGTCCGTTTCCCGTACATCCTCGGTGACGGGAATTCCTCCCGGCCAACGGCTGTTCCTGTCGGGAATATTCGCGACTCTCCTTCTTCGTTCCGCAACACCCTCCCGGCTCATTTTCTCCCGAAAAAAAAATAAAGAAAGCTTGGTGATGACTCCTTGATAGCGGGCGACTTACAAACGACGTTCGGGATATCTTTAACTCGCAGCCCGCGGAGAGAAGCGGGGAGGGAGTCGAGCAATTAACGCCAGATTCCTCGGGACGTACGGGTGGAACCGGGGCGTGCGATTGTTGACTCTAGACTGTGAAGAGAGAGACGCAGGAGTGCTACGGATGGACTGCTATCATACTAGTGGGTCCGGGGGTAATGTGGGAAACAGTGGATAGCAGAACGGTCTGGAGGAGGGAGATCGGGTTTTGGCGGAGGATCGGTCGGGGGAGCATGGGAAAGATGAAATGGGGCGTGATCTACATACACCTACCTTTCGGACTGCGTTGCTGTGGTTTTCTTTTCGTTTGGTGGCGACGGAAGACCGGGCATGCACTCACTCCTGGGTTGGGATGTGGGATGGGCAACTGAGCATGATTTTCTCGGATCCAATCACATCAGCCAGCGAAGAAGTTCCATCCACCATCTCTGCCATCTGTTGTCCTCGGCCGTTACTCAGGCTCCGCAATCGTACACGGCTACTTTTTGAACTAAGGGTAAGATAGAGAAGCAAGGCCTGAGAACGACTACGACCTGGAGTGTCAGCTTCGACCGGCAACCACATGCCTCTTCCAACCCATCACCTTGATGCACTGGTCTCGTGGCCCGCCAACATGGGGTTTCCAGCCGGCCCAAAACGTTCGACAGATGCCTCTAATGCGGCACAGACCGCAAAACACCACAAACCAATACCCAAAAAGAGAGAAAAAAAAAGAGAAAAAAAGGATGGACACTGTGGGAATTGAACCCACGACCTTTCACATACTGCAGTTTTTGTTAATGCGAAGCGAAAATCATACCCCTAGACCAAGTGCCCGATCATACAGAGTTTGCAGTGGGGTTGTAATATATCCAAACTACAAAATCAAGGCCAAAGGATCCAGAAGTGGCGACACATGGGGAGCACAGAATAGCTCGCTTGGCTTTGCCTCTGTGGAAGCTACTACATGTTGACTGAGCAAAGACTCGGATGGGAACATGATGCGCACGTAGGCGGGAGGGAATCGCATGGAAGGACACGAGTGCAGAGTTAGGAGCCAACGTGCCAGCGCATTGCTAACAGTGCAGGGCAAGAGTTTTCTCAACAAGTCGGTCCAAAGGTGCAGAGGTCTCGGTAGCATGGTAGCAAACGGCGGGGAATGGTTGGTTGGCGGGAGGGAAGGAGGTGCAGACTTCCAGCGAGTGGGAACGCCAACACCACAGCCACTAGTGTTTGTCCGCTCTCCAACGTCCGGTTGCCATCTCCTCAACGCCAGCCCTTGATGTTGTTCTCCAAGCACGCTTGTACATACATTACGCAAAGGGGTATGCCAACTGCCTCACGCCACCCACCGTTTTCCGCAACCTCGAAGATGCTCCCTCGAGGTGAAGCAAGCTCTGTTCCTCGAGCTTGTTTGGGTAGTCACGCTTGCTAGTGCTCTTTTACTCCTTCCTTCTTTTTTTTCTTTTTTTTTGAGACGAAAACAAAGGACCAGCGGGAAAGAACAACGAGCACACAGGACCTCGCTATTCACACACGCTCCGAAAGATTGCTGACCATGTTTGTCTGTCGCGGTTGGTACGCTGCGCACCCTGTTGGTTGGTATTGTAGCTGCTTCCACGTGGTAAAAGTGCGTCATCAAATACTGACCAACAACTACAGCCCCGAAGCTTTACTACGTAAGAGATCAAGCACCGAGGAAGCATTGGAGTCGGCCGTCCGTGTCCCAACAGCTGCGCCCACAGGAAGCAAAGGGAGAGTTAGCCGTATCTCCCTGGAACCAAGTATAAAGGCCTCGAGGGGCGTCTGCCACCTCCGACGTATCCCCCATTCCCATCGCCCCCTAAGCTTACTACCCGAGTTGTAACCCATTTCCCACAATGAAGAACTGCTCCGAGCTCGTGGCTCTTGCCCTTTTCGGCTTGGCTTCCTTTGCTCGCGCGGACCGCGACGTGAAAGGTGCCACCGGCAGCGTCGATGTCTTCAACTACTGCAAGGGCCCCGTCTACCTCCGCTCCGTTGGCGACCACGACCCCCCAGAGACAACCTTGGACCAGGGCGGCCGTTGGAGCGAGCCGTACAAGGAAAAGGACATCGGCGGAGGCCCGTCCATCAAGATCAGAACGGAGGACACTGAGATCCTCCAGCTGGAATACACAGCCCAGCCGACCCGTGTTTGGTACGACCTGAGCTGTAAGTCGCTCCCACAAGTGCAGCACCAGGCTTGGTTTCTCTGACGTGCGCAAACAGACATCGACTGCTGGAACCAGACAACCCAGTCTGGGCAAAACTGCCCCTTCTGGAACCAATCTTTCGTCGTCGAGGCTCCGAATGTCCCCCCCATCTCCTGCGCCACCGGCGAGAGCTGCCCCTACCCCTATCGCTGCCCCCTCGATGACCGACCAGCCATTTCCACCATCCCCAACAGTCCTATCTTCCTCATGATGGACCCCACGCAGAATCTCACACTGCATCTGTGCCCCTGCGAGAACCAGCCCGACTCGAGAGAGTGCGAAATGGCCCGGGATTCTGCCCCGCAGGCTTACAATTTCAATTTCGAAACCATGAAGACCCATGACGCGTGCCCCGATGGCAGCGGCAAGAGCATGGGGTCTCAACGACTTCATCGTCTTGGGCGTCCTCAGCGCCATCAGCGCCCTCAGCGCCCCCAGCCTCCCTGTTCTCACCAGTCCCACAATTCCGGGGAATTCTACCACCACTGGGAGGAGTCAGAATGCGATGATCTCTCCAAGACTTCATCTTCTACGGGAGAGATTCTTCGCGGATCCCCTCAACCCGGTGATAATTCGGTCGACCCACTGGACGATGACCGTTAGACTTCGTGCTGCTAGACTAGACCTGTTCCTTGGGAAGCGAGTTTGCTCCATCACGTTCCAGCGTATATATCCCTGGGTAAAGGCCCATGCTAGCTCCGTTGACATTGGCGTTCAGAATTCTATTGCAATACAGACTTCCGCTTGATATTCTAGCAACTCGTCAATTTGTTGAATGTGATCTGTATGCTTGCGTTGGTCCCTGTTGTGAACAATTCTCGCTGCCTGAGTGCGGTTATCGAGGTGGAATCCAACGAGTCGAGAGGTTTGTTTCTGTATAAGAGTACACTTTGTGCTCGGGTCGTCCTGCACCGGAGGGTCTGGCTTGTCTCACTACCCCTCCACCAACAATCACAAGGGGCGAGGGAAGTGAAACATGGCGGTCAAGGTCTCACTGCGTGGAGTCTCGGGTCTTCTCGAGTCTGGTCGGAGTCGAGACCGCGAACGGTAACCGAAAGCCCCGGTCCCAAGTGCGACGGACAGAGCCACTGATTCACTGGCTCCTCGATTGCATGTACATACCGTACCGCGCTCGGCAGACCTAGTCTATAAAGTGACAACGACTTCTTTTTTCCTTCTTCTCCCCCCCAGCGACACCAAGGCATACGTATGGTTTCAAGTGCAGGGGGCGCACGCCAAAGTCATCATCTCATTTGTCTAGTGGTAGATCCAAAGCAAGTGACAACAAAAGGGCACGAACGAACAGCGAGAAACCCCTCTCCCCGAGCCGCAAAAATCCCAAAGCCACGGTTCAAACCAATAACCCCACATGACCGACGACCCGATAAGAGCATCAGGAAACAGTGGCCGCATCACCAACTCCTGGACAAAGCCGATGAAACAACATGGCACAAGAGAAGATAGCAGTAAGAGCATGTGCTTGGTCTGGCTTGTGTCTGTGCAAGTTAAACTATGCAGCACCGACGACCAGGGCCTGGGCAAAACCGTGTGGGGCCGCAGAATCTCCAACGAAAAGATGAGAGGGACCGGTAGTCGTGTCGTTTTAGAGAGAGAGAGAGAGAGAGAGAGAGCAAGCTGGCTTTGTCTGCGCTCGCAACCCGCCAAGCAAGGACGCCGAAAAGAAACAGAGAAGGGGCATCAATGAGCGCAAACGTCCTACCTCGGCGGACTCCCTATGCCGTGCCAAATCTACGTTTCAGAGAGAGCTTCCTCACATCCCACACCTTCCGACCACGGGCGCACCGGCGTCGTCGTCGTCATCCTTGACTGTTTTTTCTTTTTGGCTGTTCCCATATCGACCCCCATGGCCGAATCTCCCAGTAATACCAGGTAAGACTTTATGTAGACCCCCTTGGGGTAAGGAATCAGACTTGTACGTGAGGGCTGGAAAACTACCATCACCAATCCAATGAGCCTTTTCCAAGGGAAAATGTACGCGTGTAGCATGCCGAGTAAAGAGAACGCAAAGGAAGAGAGGAAGTTATCATATGATCAACCAGACCGTGAACACCCAGTTTGCTCGTCTATTTCCGTTGAAAGCAAGAAACAGAAAAGACTAGTCGTTGGGGCTTCCGTGGGAACCACGAGAACCCTGGTCATCATCTACCGAGGCTTCTTGACTTCGCTAGCCCACCCCTCTATACCGTCACCCTTGCTGCCTAGCGGAATCTCAAGCTTGATGCTTTCCATGCCCTTGGTGTCATCGAGGAAGCCATGGTTGGTCATACCGCCCGCATTGGCCCTCTCAACCGGAAGCAGCTCCAGCATCGGCAGCAGGAAGTCCGCAATCTTCTTGGAATCCTCAACGCTAAAGTGATACTTCTCCCGGAGAACGTCTGGAAGCGCCCAATGACGCAGACGGTGGATGTTTCGCAATTCGCCACGACGGTTGAATATCTCTTGCGACCATTTGCCCGACTGGCAGAGTGACTTGGGGAACGTGCCGAGGAGTTCGATGATCTGTGCAATGTGGTCGTCGTCTTTGCCGTACTTGGTGCCCGATTGAGGATCGAAGAGGTAGTCGCCCGTGATGAGTTCAAAAACCTTTGCCCGTTAGCCGAGTCGCCCGCCGAGCAAGCAGAGCACCGAGACTCACCATGGCAGCCATGCTCCACACGTCCGTACTCGCTCCCCATTTGGACCCGAGAATCACCTCTGGCGAACGGTATTGCCTGGTCTGAATGTCGTTTGTGAAGTGATGGCCAACCCAGCACGCGTTGCCAAGGTCGGCGATCTTGACCGAGATCTTCTCGAGGCCTGCATCCAGTTTCAAGTTCTCCGTCGATGGCTTACTTGATTTGTCGAGGCTTATGCCCGACACTTCCCTCGTCAAAAGATCCCTGGGCCTCGTCAGAACCGGTGCGTCGTCAATCGCTCGCCCGTCGGCACTTACGCTGTCTTCTCCCTCGCCTTCTGCACGTCGTCCTCGCTGCCGCCAGCTTGCTTGACACCCAACGTCTCCAACATGGACATTCCTGCAGCCGATGTCGAAGCCGTGCCTATTGCGCCACTCATTACGACCTCGTCTTTTGGAGGCGGGCTTTCGCCGGAGATTGGGGATTCGTTACCTGAGTTCTCATTGACGATCTTGTTGAGACTGGTCCCCGGGAAGCTTGTCAGATCGGTGTGGTTGAAGCTGGCGTTGAGTGGGCTGGGCAGAGGCTGGCTGCCGGTGATGAGAGTTCTCCTCCGCCTTCTACCATTCCTGTTGTCGTCCTTCTCGTCTTTCTTCTTCGGATCCTCGTTAACATAGGTCTTCACAATCTGCTCCACATCGCCAATCTCGATCAGGACGTTCTCCGGCTTCAGGTCGGTGTGGATGATGCCGCACTCGCGATGCAGGTAGTCCAAGCCGAGCAAAACCTGCTTAGTGATCTGTTTTACCAGCGGCATGGGAATACCGCGGTGGTTCCACCTCTTGATCAGGCCCAGGAGATTTTCACCCAGCACCTCAAACACCATGCAGACGTGCACGCCGTTGGGGCCCTTGTGGTTGAACGAGTCCAGGAGGCTCACCACATGCGCACGTCCGGGGTGATCCTTGTTGGCGTCGACAACCTTGTTCAACAGCTTGATTTCGTCGAGGGCGGTCTCGGTGTAGTGGGCGGCGGAGCGCACCACCTTCAGGGCCACATGCTTGCCGGTATTGTTATCGCGCGACAGCCAGACGGTGGAAAAATGGCCCCAGCCCAGCTTGCGCACGACGGTGTAACGGTTGTTGTTGTACTGCTCGCCAACCTGGACGGGGTGGTAGCCACCCTTGCAGTAGTCCTCCGAGTCCTCTTCATCAGCCGTGTTCTCGGCAGGGTCGGCGTCCGACGACGACGTCGACGAGGGCGAGCGGCTGAGCTGTGAAGTGTAGGCGACCTTGTGGTGCTGGAGCGGCGATGCGGTGTTTTGCACACTGCGATCGGCACGTCAGTTGGGGCCGCTTCGGCAGGGGGCACAGGGGAGGCCACGTACCTGAACTGGAAGCTGTTGTTGGAGCTGGCGGGACTCTGTTCCTGCTTTTGCTGCTCGGTGGTGATGATGGGCTTGAGGTCGGTGCCCTTCCGGCGCTTCTTGCCTCCGCTGCCATTGGCGGCCTGTGCGACCTGCTTGGCCTTGTTGATGGCGGCCTTCTTGATATCGGTGCCGTTCATGTCGGCGTCGCTGCCGTTCATACAGGCGAGGGCGCGCTGGGTCGCGGTGCGGTCAGACTGGTTTCTTTAGTGCGAGGGTGCGACCGGCGATCGGGAGATCGGAGAAGCGCGGCGGCCGGGGCTCATCGAACGGCGGGAGACGGGCGCGTGGAAGGCGGGCAGAGGGCGCTCGGGGAGGGCGAGGTTGAGCGTGCAGGCGGGCGCGGCGGTTGTGGAGACGGCGCTTTCAGACAAAGTGCTGCGCGGCGGGCTGCGGTCGTGACGGCCGGGAAGACAGTAGGCCGGGAAGGACGGTGGGCCGTGCGATTGGCGGCGGGGCGAAAGGTCACTGGCCGCGCTGCAGGGTGTGCGACACAAGTCACGGGCGGGAGAGGGGCGACGTTCAGGCGCAACAAGGCCGTCGAGACTGCGGAGCGGGTGCTGTGCTCAACAGCTGGGGGTGCCGGCGGCTGCGCATTGGGATCGGGCAGCGTAGCGGGAGCGCAGGGCAGCGTCTGCTCGCTGCGAAGGCGAGATGATGCAAGCGCGCCTGCGAGGCGGCGGCAGCAGGTTTGCAAAGCAGATCCCCACGCACCCGCAACCTCCGCCCATCAGCGCCGCCCGCCCGCCCAAGCAAGCCCTGCCAAACCGCAACCAGCCACCCCGCGGACAGCAGCCATCGCCCCTGCCGCAACCGCCACGCCGTGACGCCCACACCCGGCCTGCTGCTCTGCCGCTCTGCTGCTCTGCCGCTCTGCCGCCGACTGCTCGAATCAATCATACCTACTATGCCGATTGCGTCTACACTACCCTCCGCCCTGCACGAGGCCGCAGCCTCGTGTTTGGCACCCAAATACCCTCGTGCCTCCAACCGTGCGGACATCCAGCCGCGCGGAGCGCATGCTGACCTCAGATCCCGCCTGCCCAAGAAACACCACGCTGCCCGCCTCCAATCCGCCAAGCTCAATCATCGCGTCGTGATCGCAGACATCCACTTCTGCTCGTCCTTCTTGTCGAAGTGCAGCAGCATCCCCAGCACCGGCACGAGCTGCATCTGGTGCTTCTTGTCCCTCTGCTCCAGAAACTGAAGCAGCACGTTCTTCAGGTACACGAGGTCCATGCTGCCCGACGCCTGCCCGACTTCGGTTGCAATCGATGGCGATCTGCCCTTGGACAGTGGAGGTGAGGCCACTCGCCCGCGTGCCGACTCCATAGACGACCGCGATGACTGCATCCCGGACTGTGTAGGAGACTTTGTCTTGGACTGCACCGCCCGAAGCTCGTCTGCCAACGACTGTTGCATGTTAGACGGGCCTCCTCCTTCACGTCTTGGGCTGCTACACATACCTTGCTTGACTTCTGCAGCTTCTCCAGTTTGGACTGAGCCTCCTCCAGAGAGCGCCGCAGCTCGCCCTTCTCCCTCTCGAGTTCGCGCGTCTGCTTCTCGCCTTCATCCAGCGCGTCACGGAGTTGGTTCATCGCTGCCCTGACCTCCGCAACCTCCTCCGTAGCTTGGGCTGCTTTTCGATCCAGATCCTCCTTCTGTCTACGCAGCTCCTTCTCGGCCGTCGACTGCTGCTCCTTTTCATCTTGAACTTGGCTCAAAGTCCGCTCAGCATCCCTGACCTTTTGCTTCAGGTCCTCCAACTCTCTTGCTCGACGACGTCCGATAGTGCTTGCTTGGTCCTCCGCACGGTCTCGTTCCTCGATTGCAAGGTCCATGCGTTCCCGCATCTCCTTCACGCGTGCCTCGGCTCGACTCTCCACATCTGCAAGGAGCCTTCTCATTGTCTCACCCTCACGGCTGCGTTCGCTCAGGAGTCTGTGCGCATCTGCAAGCTCCTCCTCGAGGCTTTCACATTTTTCGCGCACCTCCTTCATCTGCGTGCCCATCTCTTGAGTCTGGTCCTGCATGCTGTTCATCAGGCTTTGTGCGCTGGCATACTGTGCGCTCTTCAGCTCGATTTCGTCTCTAAGCGTCGATGCATCCCGGTTGAGCTTCTCGACCTGCTGCTCCAAGCTCCTGATGTTTCCCCGAGCCATTTTCAGTTCCTCTCGAGTCTTCTCAAGGTCCTTCTGTAGTCGATCACGAGCTTCGACTGCTTCAGAACGCTCGCCCTCGGACCTTTCGAGGTCTCGCTGGGCCTTGCTGCATGTTTGGTCTAGCGCAATGTTCTTACTGATCTCTTGCTTCAGCTTGTCGTTGATCGACCTGATTTCGACATCCTTCGCAGAGACTTGCGACTTGAAGGTGGCAATCTCAGATCGTAGATCCCGTTCCTTGGCCTCAAGCTTGCGTACTTCAGCGGCTTTGCTCGCTGCTTCATCCTTGAAAGTTTTCAGCTCAGCCACCTCCTTACGCAGAGAAGTGAGCTCTGGCTGCGCTTTCTGAAGCACCTCCCTTAGTTCCGTGAGGTCCTTGAACCGCTGAGCAGCCAACTGGTTGGCTGCCTCTAGGTCCGTCTCCAGTGAGTTCGCCTTGGCCTTGAGTTCCTCGAAATCGGTCGCCAGGCTCTCCCTTTCCTTTGCTGATTCGGCGCTCGAGGCTTGTTTCGTGCGTAGCTCGGAAATCTCCTTCTCTAACCTGTCAATGCTTCCCTGCAAGGCCGACTTCTCTGCCGTGAGTTCCTTGATCTTGTCCTTTGCCTCCACATGATCTCCACCAACTTCCACAAGCTCATGTCTCAAATCGTCAAGCTCTTCCTGTAGAGCCTCCTGATCCTTCAGCTTGCTGGCGAGACGGTCAATGGTGGCATCTCTTTGCTCCAAGGTACTCCTGAGTTCATCCAACTGTGCCCTCATGGGTGCCTCCCAGTCTTCATTCTCTTTCTCGGGGACCAAGGTAGCTGTTTCCGACGGTGCAGGCGTGCTGGCCCTCTCTGGTGTGGCACTAGTAGCGGCGCCGGTCGTCCCACCCTTACCACCCTTCTTTTTCTTCTTGTTGTTCTTCTTCTTGGCTGCCCCGGTAGTCGTGGTCGTTTCTACTGCTGCAGGCTTCTCCGGTTCTTCGGCGGGCTTTGCAGGCTCCTGCTGAGCTCTCGCCGTGCTAGCTGCCATTTCTTTGTGGAGACGGTCTTTTTCGCTTTCGGCGTCCTTCAACTGGCCCTTGAGTGTCTGGACAAGTCCGTTCAGAGTTTCCCCACGCTGCTCAGCCTTTGATTGCGTGGAACGGAGTTCGGACATTTCAGAGTTGAGCTGCTGCACTTGGGTCTCAAGGCGTGTCTTTTCATCGGAAGCGGAATCGTTGGACTTGGAGCGGCGTAGATCCTCAAGCTCCGTGTTGACCTTGTCGACCTTGGACTGCAAGTCCTTGTTCACGTTGTCCTGTTCATCTCGGGCCTTTTCTTGGTTCTCAAGCTCCTTCTGGGCCTTCTCTAACTTTTCCTTTAGATCGTCGGCCGTCGCCTGGAGGCTTTGAGTTTGCTCTGCCGCATCCTTCTCCGACCGGTTCTTGGACTCCTTGATCGCCTGCAAGTCCCGCGTAGAAGCCTCCAAATCCTTGACCAGCTGCTCAGCAGAGTCCTTGGCAGAAGTCAAGTCATCCTTGAGTGTTTTGTTCTCGTCCTCCAGCTTGGCGACTTGTTCGTTCCTTTCTTGGAGCTCTTTCTGAACGCGCGGAAGCTCACTGTCATACGAAAAGAACTCTTCCGACTCCACAGTCGCATCCTTGTCCCCGTTTGATTGCTTTGTGTCTTTTTCCTCGGTGGATCCGGGATCGGCGTCTGTTGCCGATTTGGCCGCGGAGTCCTTAGCCGCGCGTAGCTTCTCCGCCTCGTCCTCCGCCTCAGTCGCACGTTTCTCTGCCTCGCCCAGCTTCTTCTGCAGAGTATCGCGCTCACCCGCAATGCGCTTGAGCTCTTCCATAACCATGTCCCCCTTCAATTGAAGCTGTTGCAGGTATTCCACCAAGGCGCCGGGGTCGTTGATCGAGGCTAAAGGAGTATGCTCCCTCAAAGAGGCTTCAAAGGGCTCGATAGCAGTCACCCGGGCGTGGGCAATGCGGTATGAGCGTAGCAGTTCTGCGACCTGGTCAGTCCCTCTGTCTGCGCGGCGGGAAAGTAGGGAATACCGGAATATTTGGGCTCCAGCTTTTCCAGCTTACGTAGCCTTACGCGCACCTCTGTGGGCAGCTCGTTCGAGGCAGTCGAGGAAGCAGACTTGGCATCCCTTGCCGTTTCTGCGCCCTCCTTGTCCCCCTTGGCTGCATCGCCATTCTCAGTGGATTGTTGCGGCGTGGAATCATCCTGGTCGTTTGGCGGGCGCGGAGTGGTACTGCGACTGAGCTCGTCTTCGCCGACGACGACATCGGGATCGAACTCGGCGGGATCGGGGCCTCTGCCCGGCGGCTTGTCGCCGCTTATATCGGGAGTGCGCGGGCGGCGGCCTGCGGGAGATAAGGCATTCGAGTTGGAGCGGCGGAGCGAGCTCGAGCGAGCAGGATGCTGGCCCTGAGTCTGCTGCGCAGCCTGGCGCTGGCGGGCCTGCTCCTCGGCGATGCGCGAATCTATGGCGCCTTTGAGACGCTGGATTGATTCAGCACAATGAGCAGAAAGCGGAAGGCGAAGAATGTACCTGAAACATGGTGACGGTTGGACTATGCTCGCAAGCGAATTGCGCGCGAGGACATTATTCTCTTGCGACGCCGACTCTGTAGAGCTGGGGCTGGGGCTGGACTGGACCGAATTACGCGGCGTGAGCTGCTGCCAGCTGGTCCCGGGGCTTTGACCGCTCGGCTTCACCTCGGTTTGCATTTTGGATGGATCCTTTCAGAAAATCTCCAGCGTCGACCGCTGCACTCCAAGCACTCAACACCTCACCCAAGCACCATGTCCGCCGTGCAGATCAACCTCCCGTTGCCCGTCTTGCCCGAGGGCTGGGCTGCCGACAAGGACTTCAAGCCCGTCGGCGCTCTCTCCGCTGCCACCCTGCGCAACGTCGAGCCCGTTGGCCCTCACTTCCTCGCCCACGCCCGCAGAAAGCGCCACCAGCGCACCTTCTCCGAGGACGACCGCATCCAGGCCGAGAAGGCTGCCAAGAAGGTCGAGGACGAGGATGATGGCGAGATCTCGGAGCCCGAGGACCCGCTGATGCTCCAGCGCGAGGCCAAGGACTGGAAGGTAAGGATTCCAGGTGCACCTCATTCCACGATCCCGACTAATGCGCGAGCACCAGGCTCAAGACCACTACGCCGTTCTCGGCATCACCAAGTACCGCTGGAGGGCCACGGAGGAGCAGATCAAGCGCGCCCACCGCAAGAAGGTCCTCAAGCACCACCCCGACAAGAAGGCCGCCGCTGGCAAGGCCCAAGACGACAACTTCTTCAAGTGCATCCAGAAGGCCACCGAGGTTCTGCTTGACCCCACCAAGCGTCGCCAGTTCGACTCGGTCGACGAGGCTGCCGACGTTGAGCCCCCTACCAAGAAGGAGGCCCAGAAGGGTAACTTTTACAAGCTGTGGGGCAAGGTCTTCGAGTCCGAGGGTCGCTTTTCCAAGATCCAGCCCGTCCCGCAGCTGGGCAACGAGAAGAGCACCAAGGAAGACGTCGAGAACTTCTACAACTTCTGGTACAACTTCGACAGCTGGAGGTCCTTTGAGTACCAGGACGAAGATGTTCCCGACGACAACGAGAGCCGTGACCAGAGGCGTCACATTGAGAAGAAGAACCTCAATGCCCGCAAGAAGAAGAAGACCGAGGACAGTGCTCGCCTGAGGCACCTTGTCGACGACTGCTTGGCTACTGACGAGCGTATCAAGAAGTTCCGCCAGGAAGAGTACGCTCAGAAGCACAAGAAGCGTCTGGACAAGGAGGCTGAGGTCAAGCGCCAGGCCGAGGAGGCTCAGAAGAAGAAGGAGGAGGAGGCTCGCCAGGCCGCCGAGAAGGAGGCTGCGGCAAAGGCCGACAAGGAGACGGCTAAGAAGGCCAAGGAGGCTGCTAAGAACGCCGCGAAGAAGAACAAGCGTGTCATCCGTAACGCCGTCAAGGATGCCAACTACTTCGCCACCGGCGGTGACGCTTCCGCCGCGCAGATTGATTCTGCGCTCAACCAGACCGATCTTCTGATCACCAAGCTGGATGCCGACGACCTCGCTGCCTTGGTCGCTAAGCTGAACGGCAAGAAGGACGCTGCTGAGATCAAGAACGTCTACGCCGAGGAGGTCCAGCGCCTTATTGGCGCTGGCAAGGCCAAGGAGGGTGACTTCAAGACTCTGGTCTAGAGTATTTACGACTTTGACGACGATGCGGGTTGACGGGCCTCGAAAAGGATGGCTCACTAGAGGGACACTCTAGACTATTGTTCCACATATGCTAGTTCAGAGCTCAAAATAGATTTGGGGTTGGGGGGTTGTGGATATCATATCGAGATCAAAAAGTATCAGTGCCAGCGCTAAGCGCAATGTCTTGACCGCTTGGTTCTGCGGCTTTTGGCCAGACATCGCGAAGTAGATATTGTGCCTGGTCATGCCTGCTAGAACCTCGTGATGTAACAGTACCCATCATGCACTGTTTTCCATGATGTAAGCCACTGCGGTTTGCGAAAATACTTTAGAAGGAAAGGTATAGAGGCTGCTAGGTCGCCTGGACACTGCTGGGGATCCATAAGTCTACATGTACATACATACATACGTCCAGACAGTTGCTTCATCGCAATCTTGTATACTTCTACAGAAGGGCTACAATGGTTTAGGCTTTTTGGAGCTGCCGTGACGGGCTGAGGATACATCATTTGGAGCAGTGGTTTGATACCCGCTTGAATCAGGCCGTCCAAGGCAGGGCAAACCGGAGACAGCGTGACGTGGGGCTGGGGAGCGTGGCTGATTGGGCCACAATCGCACGCTTGGCGCGATAACGAGGAGAGGGTATGTGGCGGTGTTTACTACGTACGCGCTCCAATGCGGGCGACGAAGCGGTTCGGGGTAGGGTGTAGGGTGACGGCAGCGGCTTGGAGCCGACCGACGGCCAGCGGGCGGTGGCGGCCAGGGTCTCCCCGCGCTGGCGCTCTCTCGAGTGGGCTTGCATCATGCCGAGCGTGGCAGCCAAGCCTCACTCCAACTCACTCAAACAGCTCCTCCGCCGCCGTAGCACCCGTTCTTTCTGGAACTGTCGCTCAGGTACCCACGCGACCCCGAGGAGCTTGTGTGCTGCGCTGTCTCCACCCCCTCTACACCCACCGTCGAATCGCTCGCAAAGGAATCCCACCCCCTCGCAGCCCCCCGGCCTTGTCAGCAGCGCGCAACAGGCAGTTGAAGCGCGTTGAGGCCCACGTCTGCCGCGACGTCTCATTTCACAGGCTCTGCACCAGCGGCTCCGCGGCCGCTCTGTCCTCGTGGCCCTTCGACATACCAATCAGCAACTGCCTGCCATGCCGCACCCCACGCCGGGCCACGCCGTATCCGACGGGTTGCCATCGCCTTCCTCCCCCGGCGCTTCGTCAGGCACCCCCGCAGCCGCTGCGGCAAAGCTGGATCCTCTCGCAGCCGTCCGGAACCAGGACGTCGAGCGCCGCCCCTCCATTCAATTTCTTGCGAATCAAGGACTGCCCAAACGAAGTGGTAGCCCGAAGATCAGACAGCGCCGTCTATCCTCTCCTCCGCCTCCACCGTGAGTGCCCAAACTTGCCCTTGCGATCGTTCCGTCATGTTTTCTTTGCGCCTCAAAGCCACTGAAATTCGCCCCACTCGGGTCCCACAGCCCGCGTGCGGAGCTGCAATGCGCTCACTAGCTCCAAAGTGCGTTGATTACGAAAGTGTCTCAACATGTTTCCCCTCTGTCTCACGCCCTCGGCGCTTCGTGATTGGGGGATCCATCTTACTGACGTCTGCGTAGTGTTTTCCAGCCTCGCGTATCCTTTGACACGTTTGACAAACCTGCCGATTTCATCGAGGAGAATTCCTTCACCTTGATCAGGAAACACAAGGACTACGAGTATACAAAACGGTCGCGAACCTTTCTCTGCGGGCTGGACTCCAACGACTACTCCGAATATGCGCTTGAATGGCTCATTGACGAGCTGGTCGATGATGGAGACGAGATTGTGTGTTTGCAGGTCGTTGAGAAGGGCGACAAGGTTGCCGGAGAGAGCAGTATCGACCACGGACGATACCGGGAAGAGGCGGAAAAGTTGATGGACAGAATCCAGTTGAAGAACACGGAAAACAAGGCCATCAACCTTATCCTAGAGTTCTCCGTCGGCACGGTCCACAAGGTCATTGATGAGATGGTACGTTCGTTGCCCTGTTTGCGTCTGGCCTGGCCATAAGCTCATATCGTGACAGATCAACCTGCACGAACCGGCAATCCTCATTGTTGGTACACGTGGCCGAAGTCTCGGTGGATTCCAAGGACTACTCCCAGGATCCGTCTCCAAGTACTGTCTCCAACATTCTCCCGTGCCTGTTATTGTTGTTAGACCCACCAGCAAAAGGGCCAAGACCAAGCGAAAGCGTCTGCAAGATCCGACGAGAACTGGCTATCGAGACCTGCTCGACAAGAGTGGACAAGCCGGCGGGCACCTACTTGACACTAGCCACAAACACAGCCTCATGCTTGATGAGCTCCAGCAGGCGGCGACGGACGAGGAGGCTGCAGCTGTTGCAAAGGCAGTGGGATACCATCCGCCACCGGAGCCCAGCCCTCTCGGACAGGACAGTGGAGAAATACCACCTCAGACACCTGACAGTACTAATGATAACGACCCCCTGATGAGCGGCGAAAATTCTCCGGTCGACACCCGCGATGAAGTGGGCGCCTTGATGAAGAGCCCAGAGCTTCAGTACCTCGATACCCCGGCTGTCAGCAGCGATGAAGACAGTGACGACGACGACGATGATGGCGGAGTGCAGATGTTCCCTCCGGCACCTCAGGAATCGGAGGCGCAGGACTCTCCGAGCTTATCCACAAACACGACTCCGGTAGATGAAAACAAAGGCATCGCGCTACACGCAAACGACTCGCGTCAAGACGTGAGTCCTGGAACGGTGACGCCTGCTGTGGAGAACCCACCACTGGCAGATCAAGGACAGCCTGCAGAGCCGACGGAGCCAGTTGCTTCCGAAGAGCCGAAGGAAAAGAGCCAATGAGTACATAGCGAGTAGCCAACGACGGGTGGCATGTTCCGAGATGATGTGGTCATGGATGCGAAAGTGATGCCGCGATCAGGGCGAATGGTGCGCTCCGGGTCGGCGTTCATGCCTTGGGGCACTTGGTATGAATACATTGTTAGCTTTCGTTCAGCAGGACCTGCGCGTGAAGCGGCGGGTTGTAACATTCATAGCTTCATGGGAACACTGGTGACCGGGACTGGGTTCACGGCTAGTTATTCAAGCGAGACTTTGCGCTATACAAACGGGCTTATTTGCTTGATCATCGAACGGGAGTGAGCATCATGATGGGGGGGAGGTTACCTGGGTAGTTTGCTGCTCGGGCGCTAAGCGGGGCCGGCAAAGACGTGAGCAACGTGCCCTGTCCATCACGCTAGTCATTTCGTGAGGAGTCCTTGCAACGGCGTGCCATTCGCGCTTTTAGGCTGTATGACATCAGGCGGCCATTTGTCGCAAGAGGACGGCATGACTCGGCTCGTGTAGATCGCTTGAGGTTGCTGCTACCCTCAAGCTCAACTCCTACGTTACGCCTCTCCGCGGATCCGCTCCTATCCACGCTCCTTCTCCCATCCCGGCGCCACTTGTTCTCCCGCCGGCGCCATGGACGATCCCTCGAGTGCCTGGCTCAAAGCCGCCATCCAGCACGCCTATTCCGCCGCCGCCTGGAACGTCACGTCTGCAGCTTCGGCCGCGGCACCGCTTGCCAGCGATGACGACACCATGTCGATAAACGAGGACTTCGACCCTGGCGACAACCCCGGACAGGACCCCAGGTTCCGGAAACTGGTAGAGGCCGTCTTGTTCTCGAGAACACTGCTCAACACGTACAATGTTGTACTGCTGCTCGTGCTGCTCGGGTTCGCCATTGCACAATGGGGTGGCGGCATGCAACACGCATACCGGCGACGGGCCGCCGCTAGGAGGACCAGGAGAGAGGACGGGGCAGACATCAACCACAGGGGGCGCACCGCAGCCGGCACTGGGGAGAGCGAGGCGTCGTCGTCGAGCAGCACGCTGGAGGGCACAGCGACGCCACCAGACACCAACAAGCACACCCGTGGCAAGGCTCCGGACGAGCGTCAACCGCTGCTTCCACGGGATGGCGTCGAGTCGAAGAAGCCGGGGGTGCTGTCTTGCATGTTGCACCGCGTCAAGGCTTGGCTCATGTTTCAACCGCCGCCTATCCCAGTCGTCCACAAGCAGCTACCGTCTAACGGCCAGAGCCTGGCCATACTGGCCTTCCTGGGCCTGAATGTCTTTTATCTGCTCTTCCGGCTCGAGTTCACCGCAATGAACATCTTTGTCTTCGCAGATCGCTGTGGCCTGCTAATCGCCGTAAACCTGCCACTGCTGTACTTGTTTGCAGCGAAGAACCAGCCCATCACTTGGCTGACTGGCTACTCCTACGCGTCGCTCAATATATTCCACCGTCGGCTGGGAGAACTCCTATGCCTTCTGGCACTGCTGCACGGCCTGGGCATGTTCACCGTATGGTACGGCCTCCTCCGTCCGCTCGGCTTCTCGCTATCTCGTTTCATCTTCACGCGTGTAGTCTCTTTCGGACTCCTGACCTTCGTCTGCTACGAGCTCGTCTATGTAACGTCTCTTCGGAGCTTCCGTGCCATGTGCTATGAGCTTTTCCTAGCCCTGCACGTCGTCCTCCAAGCGTTCGGGCTTGTCTTCCTCTTCATCCACCATAGCCGCTCCCGCATCTGGGTCGGCATCGCCCTCCTCATCTTCATCACCGACCGCCTCATATACCGCCTCGCCATCAAGTCGACCTGTCTCCGCGCCGACCTGACCATCCTCCCCGACGGCCAGACCGTCCGACTCTCGTCCAACTGGACCATTCCCTCAAGCACTTGGGCGACGTCGCTCTGGCGCCGCACCGTCCCGCACGGCTGGAACGCACCCGACCACGTCTTCGTCAGCGTCCCCGCGCTGGGCGGGCTCCACGGGCTCCAGGCCCACCCCTTCACCATCGCCACGCCCGCCCCCTCCAAGCCACACGTCCTCCCCCACGCGCACCACCACGTCGACGACGCAGGAGACGGCGCAGAGCGCCACGCCTGGCTCTCCCTCCTCGTCCGCGCCCAGTCCGGCTTCAGCCGCGACCTCCTCCGCCACGCCCAGACCAACTCGTCCACCCTCGTCCGCCTCGACGGGCCCTACGGCTGCACCCATTCGCTGCGCCTGCTGCGCGCCTCCGACCGCGCCGTCGTCGTCGCCGGCGGCTCCGGCGTCGCCGTCGCTTTCCCCCTGCTCTGGACCCTGCTCAACCCCGCCGCGCGGCCCGACTTGGAGAGGCAGACGCGCCGCGCAGCGGGGACGACGACGCCTGGGAAGGTGTTGTTCGTGTGGGTGATTCGGCACCGCGCGCACAGGGAGTGGCTGCCCGAGCAGCGGATCGAGGAGCTGAGGCGGTGGGGCGCCGATGTGCGGATCGAGGGACCGACGGAGAGCACCGGCAGGCCGGACGTCGGCGGCATCGTGGCGGAGTGGGTGAAGGACGATGGACGGAGCGGCAGCATGACGGGGACGGTCGTGAGCGGGCCGGATGCGCTGAACAGGGATGTCAGGAACGCGTGCGCGCAGCTGGTCGGGGAGGGGAGGGCGGTCAAGGTGCATGTAGAGAAATTCGGGTGGTAGTAAGAGGGCGCAATAAGGAGAATTAAATAGGTGCCTTGCGCGTTTGGTATATTCGATCCGACGTTCGACTTTCTTCTTCTTCTTTTAATATTTTTGGTGTTTACGTACGGTCTTGTTAGTTAGACCTTGGGCGTTTGCTGGATAGTAGGCGCCATATTGGGTGACTTTGGAACACATCGACTTTGCCATCATCGTTCGCCTGTATAATTTCATGATGGAGGACATAATTCCAGGCAGGATCGGAGGATACTTTTCGACCTGGGCGCATTTGGGGTCATTCGTCACTCTTGTTTTCTTTCTTTCCTTCGAGAATTGATTCAAACGCCCCTGGAACCTATATACAGCATACACTGCTGAGAGAGACGGTGGATCTCTTTAACTGATTGAATGTCACTTCTTCCCTGCGGTCTTCTTTCGGATTTGCCTATTTGCCTTCAGCAGCCAGCTCACGCTCTGCCTGTTGGTAGTACTTGGCGGTATCCACACCGTGCTAGACACTGTCAGCCATGCACGCCATGAGCGAATTGTTTGACAACAGACCTGGTTGTGGTTGGCGAAGTTGAACCACGGGATCAGGTGGTTGAAGACGGCGCTGTATCTCGAGTTCCTCGAAGCAACGCCCTGAAGGTGCTCCGACATGCCAGACTCGCCGTAAAGGGGCTCACCGGCCTTGACCTTGTCAACCATCTCCCTCATGTCCATCTCAATCTCCCTCCTGTTCTCGGTGACACCGTAGAAGCGGTCTGTAGAGCAATGTTAGCGCGGACAAGTACGAGGGCGTGACGCGGGAGCACTACAGATGGAGCGGTTGTACACGGTAAGGAAGCCAGCGACGGCACCAACACCGACGGTCAAGCGCATGATGGGGGGGAAACCGCCACGGCCGACGTAGGAGGGAGAAACGCGCTCGACCAGGGCGAGCAGGGCGGGGCCGGCGGCAGCAGTGGCAGCGCCGGTGGCGTAGTCGGAGGGGCGCGCATAGCCGACGACTCTCTTGAAGTGACTGCTGCTGTCAGCGGCGGCCATTGGGACGCGTGCGGAGCGGCAGGCGGGCGTACGGGTCGCTGTCAATGAGCTGGATAATATGTCAGTTGCTATTGGCCCATTGCACGGGTGCCGTCGAGGGAGGGTGCACGCACAGGGTAGTCGCCGTCCAGCTGCTTGTGCGGCACGACGGGCCGCGTCCGCACTTCGGGGTTCGCCATTGTGGTCTGGGGAAAGGATGCAGGCTGCTGTTCGGGGCGTGGCAGCTGGGGAAGGGCAGAGGTCGACGTCGGGTGAAGTTCGAGGATCGGCGTGCCAAGGCGGCGGGCGGGCGCGAGCTGCGGCCGCGAAAAGGTGACGCCGCTGCTTCCTTGACCCGCGCGCGTCTCTGACAGCTTCCTCAGCGCGCCGACAATTATGCCCGCCGCGCCCACCCTCAGCACCCCGTTGCGCTGAACACGCCGAAGACCATGGCCACCATGGAGCTCGACACCCAGAGCCGCTCGCGCAACGGCTCCATCGTCCCCGTCCCCGTCACCCACGCGCGCCCCACCGTGGCCGACCTGAACGGCGAGAACCACTATGCTCAGGTCGCGCGCAAGCACTGGCTGGACAGCTCCAAGCCGCCCAAGGTCCGCCCGCAAGTGGTCAAGGACGAGCTCTGGGATGTCCTGGAAAAGGACGACTTCCCGTACCCCTCGCTGCTGATCCTGGAGAATCTGCAGCTGCTTGAGAAGTACTTGTGGCCGGGCTACACGGACGATGCGTCCAATCACCATGTCTTGCTGCTGGCCTTGCTCGTCAATGTCAAGCGCAGGGAGAACCTGGCCTCCTGGGGTGAGTCCGCGTCTCGGCGCTCCCTGTCGCATTCTGCTGACCATGACATAGAGCATTTCGCAACCAGGCCGACCGAGTTTTCGTCTTTCTTCCGCCGCATCCTCTCCATGACCATCGACACCTCTCTCTCCTCCAAGATCCGCACCTACCTGATTTCCTTTGTCATTGGAGCCTTTCAATCTCTGGATAGCGGCCTCGTTCGCAAGGAATGCGCTCCGCTGGTGTCGATCGCCATCTGGCAAAACCTGCACAGTGAAGTCGCGCGGGAGGATAGACTGGAGAAAAACGTCATGCTGAGGAAGGCATGGCGATCTGCTGGGAAGAAGTACGACGCCGGCGATGAGGTGGTCAAGACGAAGCTGCGCTTCGAGCGCGCGTGGCTCTATACCCTCCTTCTGGACTTCTTGAACAAGATCTACAGCCCCGCTCGAGAGAATTTGGGCTACTGCGAGCGATTCCTCGAGTTGCTGATTGATTTAGGCAGTCAGTTGCCCACTCGTCGTTACGTCAACACAGTTCTTCACGACCTCAACCTCTTACCTGCCATTCAACTGTCTCCCTTGTACGCCGACGAAGAAAACGGGCTCTTCCGCGACTTGTGTCTTCTCCTTCAGCATTTCACCTTCTTTCCGATAGACGACCAGGTTGGCCAGCAGCAGTCTCCCGCAGAGTATCTCCAGGCCCACTGCGCGAAATTGGCCAAGCTCCAGCGAACCGCAATCAAGCATTTCCCTTCAAAACTCACCATCCTGGCTCTCTCAAATTACAGTTCTTTGGATCAAAGAGCAGATCTCGAGGCTCACCTGGAAGTACTGACCGACGAGGAACTGGTTGGCCTTTGCAAGTTACTGGGTTTCAGGACCGAGTATCCCAAGTCCTCACTCGTAGTCCTGGATCGATCATTTTTCACTGAGCTCATCGTTTCTGCTCATCAAAGGAAGCCGACGTTCCAGGACTCTGTGAGGGAAATGACCATCCTTCCCACGGAGAGCACGCTTTACGAACCTACCTTCATCCGCAACGAAACCTACGACGGATCGCGACCATTGGCAATTCCGAAGTTGAACCTTCAGTACTTGACTCTTGGAGATTTCCTGTGGAGGTCCTTCATCTTGCACCGCTGCGAAGCTTTCTACGAGATCAGGAAGGACATGGAAGATGTCATCAAGCGTCTCCAGCGCAAGAATGTCCGAGGGGCGGTACAGTTTGGCGGGAACTCCAGAATGGCACTGCCCATCTCAAAGCCTGCCATCACTGATGTGGCCCCTGCCAAGGTCGGAGAGACTTGTCCGTCCAAGGTCCAGGCAGAGGTCATCCTTGATGTTAGCCGTTTGAACTTTAACGTTCTCAAGGAATGGGAGTCACTCCGCCCCGATGATGTCGTCTATCTTCTCTCGGTCGACCCCCCGGAGGATTCGCGCGCCGTCAGAAATGGTGGCGCTCCCCTGACCGGAGCCGAACGGATTGGATTACGTTACTTGCGGTGCGCGGAGGTCGTGCAAGTTCTGGATGAGAATGGACGGCACTTGCGTGAAAGAAGGAATGACCAAGAAGGGCAAGGGCGTAGAGCTCGCCAGCGCCGAATCATCCTCAAGCTTGATAGTCTGGCATACAAAGAGGACATGGACCGTGTTGCAAAGGGTCAGCCTAACGTCTACGATTCCATCAACTTGATAGTGCGCCGCCGGGGCCGGGAGAACAATTTCAAGTCCATTTTGGAGTCCATCAGGCGCTTGACGCTTTCGGACCTCCCTGCCCCGTCATGGCTCCAGGAGGTTTTCTTGGGCTACGGAGATCCCGCTGGTGCTACGTACAAGCGCTTGGCAAACCGATTGAGGAAGATCGATTTCCGCGACACTTTTCTGAACTGGGGACACCTTGTCTCCAGCCTCGAAGGCAAAGCGGTTGAACCCGTTGACGACACGAAGGGAAGCTTTGGGCCTCCGTATGTGCTGGAGTTCCCGGAAGAAGAACCGCAAGAGGTCCCCGCGCGCCACTCCAAGAAGCGGAGACGAACCAAGGCCGGCGCACCAGAACATGCTCAGGCCGCACCTGAAGCAGTCCGTGTCTCCTCGTATAAGCCACCGAACATGGGCCCCTATCCCACAGACGCCCCTAAGCTCAATACTGTACCGTTCACGTCTGCCCAGACCGAAGCTATTACATCCGGCACTCAGCCAGGTCTGACCGTCATAGTCGGTCCTCCAGGTACTGGTAAGACCGACGTCGCAACGCAGATCATTAACAATATCTATCACAACTTCCCCAACCAACGGACACTGCTCATTGCCCACAGTAACCAGGCGTTGAATCAGCTGTTTCAAAAGATCGTCGCTCTCGACATCGATGAGAGGCATCTGCTTCGTCTCGGCCACGGCGAGGAGGAGTTGGAGACGGAAGGCAGCTACAGTAAGCACGGCCGTGTCGGCTCCTTCCGCGAGATCGGCACGCGGTATCTGGCCGAGGTGGATCGACTGGCTGCCAACTTCAATGCTCCCGGTGCACACGGCCAATCCTGTGAGACGGCCGGCTATTTCAACTCGGTCTATGTCCATCCCGCATGGACAAAGTACTGGAATGCAGTTGAAGCTGGCGACTTGAGCGACGAAGACTTGGTCGCCGAGTTCCCCTTCCATCACTACTTTTCCAATGCGCCGCAACCTCTCTTCCCTCAAGGTGCCTCGCGGGAGGCTCTCATGGAGGTCGCGGCTGGATGCTACCGCCATATCGAGAAGATCTTTTCTGAGCTCGAAGACATTCGACCATTCGAGATCCTGCGAAGCCCGAGAGACAGCGCAAACTACCTCTTGGTCAAGGAAGCTAGAATTGTTGCCATGACGTCCACCCACGCAGCCATGAGGCGGCAAGAGATTGCGAGCCTCGGATTCCACTATGACAACGTGATCATGGAAGAGGCCGCACAAATCACCGAGATCGAAAACTTCATCCCTCTCGCACTGCAAAACCCCAAGGAGGGCGAGTTGCCGTTGCAAAGAGTAGTTCTGTGCGGCGATCATCTTCAGAACTCGCCGGTGGTCCAGAACCTTGCTTTCAGGCAATACGCCAACCTTGAGCAGTCGTTATTCCTCAGACTGGTCAGGCTCGGTGTGCCTACCATCATGCTGGATCAGCAAGGTCGGGCAAGACCCAGTCTAGCAGAACTCTACAAATGGCGGTATTCAAAGTTGGACAACCTGCCCACCGTCGAGTCGAGCCCGGAATTCCAGACTGCCAACGCTGGTTTCCGTTTCGACTACCAGTTCATCAACGTGCCTGACTACAAGGGTCGTGGTGAGATGGAGCCGACACCGCATTTCATCCAGAATTTGGGTGAGGCGGAATATGCAGTTGCTCTCTACATGTATATGCGCCTGCTCGGCTATCCGGCATCAAAGATCTCCATCTTGACTACGTACGCCGGCCAGAAGGCCCTCATCAGGGATGTCCTTTCCCACCGTTGCGCCAAAAACCGGCTCTTCGGCATGCCCAGGATCGTGACGACGGTCGACAAGTATCAGGGCGAGCAGAACGACTGTAAGTTCTACCAAACCACATATGGGTTCGCAGCACCCCCCATTTTCCTAACCAGACGCAGATGTCATCCTTTCCCTCGTCCGCACCGCCCGCGTCGGCTACCTACGTGACATCCGCCGCCTCACCGTCGCACTCTCTCGCGCGCGCCTCGGCCTCTATGTCCTCGGTCGCCGCGAGGTGTTTGAAGCCAGCTACGAGCTCAAGCCCGCCTTTGACATCCTGCTCCAGCGCCCGGATAAGCTCGGCCTCGTCACGAATGAAATGTTCCCCACGACTCGTGCGCTGGCCGCCGAACCAGAGGCGACAGAGATGGAGGGCGTCGAGCACTTGGGCCAATACGTCTTCGAGATGACCCAGGCCAAGGTGGCGGCGCTAAAGGCGAACGGGGGCGTGCTGCCGCCGGTCGAGCAGATAGCGAAGGATGAGGATATGGACGTAGATGAGGTCGGGGATGAAGAAGAAGTGGCGGACGACGATGGGCCGGATGATGACGAGGAAGAAGAGGCTTAGAGACTTTTTCTGGAAATAATTATTGCGCTCGTGGGTAGAGCCTTGCTCTTTTTTCCTTCTACCTCGCCTGATGGACAGCGCGGTATATGGGTTGATGACGCGCGACTTGGGGGTCCTCAGGGAAATCGTAGGATGATTGTAGGAAGAAAACCACATAGCTTTCCCCCCTATCGGACAGGGGCTTGAATCGGCTTTCGTCGTGCGCCGTTCATCTGCATCTACGGCCGGGGCAAGCTAAGCCGGAGTCTATCAATCGATACCTAGGTGTGCCGTGGATTTTCGAATCACCCATCTGGCTTTGCTCGCCATCATCTTCGTCCCCAGTCTACAGCGGATGACAAAATTTGAAATTTCTGAAGTTACTTGGCAAGCAAAAAGAATTCATTTCAGCGCGAGGACGAAGTTCGATTCTAGATATCCCCGTGGGAATAAAGCTGCGGAACGAGGGCCGGTGGCTAAGTGCGGAAGATTAACACCTTCAGACAAGAGTACTTGCATCGTGACAGTACTTCAAGGACAATTAGGACGTTAGAAGGTCTAACGTTTACATTTTAGACTCTTGTCCTCAATACCACAGACTAAGGAAGTTAAAGGGCTTAAAATAATATCCACCACCGAGGGCCGTCTGTACAACAGACCTTGATATATAAAACGATGATGGCAACCAGTGAGTAAATTCCATGCAATCAGCGACGTCAATAAGAAAGATATACACGGGGACAAATCCATTTTAGAGTTTAGAGACCGATGGCTTTAGCCGTCGAGCTTGTATAGCCATGGATGTGTAGTTGTTTTCGCAACAGTTTGGAAAGGCAATAATGTACTATATATTGCATTTCCGCAAGTGGCAACTCATCAATCAGGGCGTATAGTGAGTTTCTCCACACATCCAACCTTCCTCCAACACACACTAACAAGTTGCACTAGGCTCAGTGGTAGAGCGCTCGCTTTGCAGCATCAACTGAGAATGCGAGAGGTCTTGGGTTCGATCCCCAATTCGTCCACACGATTCCTTTTTTGCCTTTTTTAGTCTAGTTACTATCTTTTAGGTCGTCTGCTACATGCCAATCACCATCGGCGGACTTGGACGATTTTTTGTCGTGGTTCGCCGAAGTTTTGGTCTGCTACGCGTTCGATCCCCAATTCGTCCACATGATTCTTTTTTTGCTCTTTTTAGTATAGTTTTTATCTTTTAGGTCGTCTGCTACATGTCAATCACCATGGGCGGACTTGGACGTTTTTTTGTCGTGGTTCGCCGAAGTTTTGGTCTGCTACGCCTATTGTTGCTCAGTATACTAGCCTCGCCCTATCGCGTCTTGTCAGAACGTTAGTCCAGCAGTGAATAACGAAAGAAACTGATTTTAGTCTAGTTTCTATCTTTTGGAACGCCCGCCACCTGTCAATCACTATGGTTCGCCGAAGTCTTGGTCTGCTACGCCTATTACTGCTCAGTATACTAGCCTCGCCCTATCGCGTCTTGTCTGAACGTTAGTCCAGCAGTGGGTAACGGAAGAAACTGATTTTAGTCTAGTTCTATCTTTTAGGTCGTCTGCCACCTGTCAATCATCATCGGCGGACGTGGACGATTTTTTGTCGTGGTTCGCCGAAGTCTTGGTCTGCTACGCATATTACTGCTCAGTATACTAGCCTCGCCCTATCGCGTCTTGTCAGAACGTTAGTCTAGCAGTGGGTAATGAAAGAAACCGACTGACATGCGCTGAGTCCTATGTCTGGATGCATTTGTACATTTTGAATTCTGACACTTACATCCATCCGGATGTTAGCTTCAGCTCCTTATAAAGAAAGGGCGTTTAAATCTACTTTCATGTCGGCATACATGCTTCAACTGCCTCAGTTTCTTTTGTTCAAGTGCCCGTAGTACACGCTTACATGTTTGACGATGAGGCGAATCGTTCAGAGCCCACTATGAATCCGGCATGCTGGAGACCCTTCGCGAAAAGTGTAGTAGGCCGAGGCGACATGGCTAGTTGTAAGCTCGATGATTAGACAACGGTACGGTGCATTGCGAAATGAAGTCCGGAACCCTTCTTGTGTGGGTAGTAGCTAAGAGAATATTCCGACGTAGAGGAATGTTTAAAAGCAGGTGCAAACAGCGTTCCTTTATCCATGATTAAAGAGACGTCCGTGAAGAATGCAGGACTTTCAATGAAAGAAAAGTGGTAGACGTTGGAGATATAACGAAAGGGGTTTTAGATAAAGGAATCGATTTGGCAGCCTACGTATGTCGAGTGCAATGCTGCAAAACGCAAGGGCAAGAATACCTCAAGGGCTTTATATCACGAACAATTTCAAGGTTTTCATCTGACATAAGAATCCGTATTGCGATTGTACATGTGGCATTTCTTGTTCTTCTCTCTAGAGTAATGTCCTAATGCCCGGTGACAGTAATGCTGAAGCAATAGGCGTGCCATCTGATCGCCGCTCTGGCAAGTCAGAGCCATGTGTAGTAGTCCGGAACGGACCTATCGGCATTATAACAGCTGAAACAGCAAACGCCGGGTGCTCGAGAGCATGCGAGTGAGAAGAGGCGGCAGAGAAATTGCAGTATACCGAAACGCCCCATGACAGCTACCATCCAGGTCAATCCAAACGCCTTACCCGCTTCCAATACAAAATGAATTACTGCCGCAAGATGGCGTCGTCGTTCTGCTCAAGATGTCTCAACGCCGAGGACGCGACAGACCAGGACATAGCCAAACAGGAAAGCGGCGCCGATCATGTACTTGTTGCGGCTCAGCCAGCCCTGGCCGGCCTCTCGGGCGACCTGGCCTCCCTCGACGACAGCACCCAGGCTGCCGCTGCCGACGGGGCGCCTCCGCAGGGCGGCGGCCTCGGGAGCGCATGCGGGGTGGCCGTCGAGCTGCGGCAGCTGGGGCATGCCGGTGGCGGGGTCGATCTTGTTGTCCTTCATCCAGCGCCAGTTCTCAGCGTCGAGCTCAGGCCACTCCTGGCGGAACTTGGCCCCACCGTCGCCGGCCTTGATGTTGGCCGCGCCGGCGGCGCGGGAGCGAGCCGAGGCGGGGTGCGAGCCGTTGCCGGTCGAGTTTGACCAGCGGGACCTGCTGGCGAACAGCTTGCGCTCGGCATCCGAGGCGCGGACGCTGCCGGTGGTCATCTCCTCGCTCGTCATGAAGCTCATCAGGCCGATGAGGATGGTGCTGACCTCCCAGGCCGGGTTGAAGCTCTTGGGGTGGAAGTCGGAGATGCTGAGGCAGAGGCGCGTCGAAGGCTGGAAGCGGCCGGACGGCGTGTGCATGCGGATGGCGGGCGGAGCGAACGGGTAGTCGGGAGGGAACATGAGGGTGCCCCAGAACTGGCCGCCCTCGTACGGGGTGCTGGGCGGGCCGGTGAGAACATAGTGCCACTCGAGGATGTTGGTCTCGGAGGGGTGGGCGACGATGTAGGGCGGCGGGTTCTGGGAGATGGTCTTGTACTCGCGCGTCAAGCGCTTTGTCGCCTGGGGGGTGGCCATGGCGGGCGGACGGTGAGAGGGGCGGTGGGCGGTGGGCGGACGGCTCGCTGCGCAAAGCGTCGGTGCGGGTCAACGGAGGCAGCGGAGTAGAGAGTGGCAGGCAGCGAGGGACGCGACGGAATGGGCAGGGAGGAGGGAGGGTGTTGTAAGAGCGGGCGCAGTTGGTCGAATGTGGAAGGGCCGGAGGCGGAGCGCATGCTGGATGAGCGAGACCCCGGCCCCGAGCGCCAAGCCAACGGCAGCCTTGATGCCTAGCAGGTCCCACGAACCGTGGTCCGCCGCCGCCGTATATATGCAGACAGCGCAAGCGCAGCGCACCGTGGCCCCAGCCTGCCCCGTCGACGTCTTCCGCGCAGCTCCTGCCCGCGGCGTGACGCGTGCCGACCCCGTGGCTTCGCGACGCTGCGGCGCTGCGGCGCTACGTAATTCTGCTCGGACCGCGCTAGCAGCCCGCTCGCTCGCGCCCGGGCGCCAAGCCGGCGCGCGACAGCTGCACTGCTGCCCTCAGCGTCACCACCACTCCCGCCCGCATCAGACCACAGCCCGCACTCCCCCACTGCACAGCAGCCCACGAGCCCAATGGCGTCGCCCCAGGACGACCATGTGCGCCGCTCCCCTCTGCCCTCGCCCAGCCCCGCGCCGCCCGCTAACTGCCCGCCCAGGTGTTCGAGAAGCTGAAGCAAAAAGTCGACCCGGCCGAGCTTCAGCGCCGCCAACATGAGGTCAACGAGCGCATAGCCGCCCAGTATGAGAGAGCAGTGGCTCGCCAGGCTGAGCTGGTCTGCTCCGCGCCGCCTAGCCCCTCCAATGCCGACGCTGACCGTTCCAGGTCGGCTCCAACTTCACCCTGCCCGTGACCGTCTCTTCCGTCCGCGTGCTCCATGCGAAGCACACCCGCCATGCCTTCCTCGAGCGCGTCTTCAGCCCGCTGCTCAATGCCAACAAGGAGGCTTCGTACACGCTGGAGGATGCCCTCGCCGACATTGGCGGTGCTGTCAACAAGCTTGAGAGATTTGGTTTGTCCGAGCTGCCCCGGCGCATCGCCCCTACGTGCTGACGCCCGGCCAGACATCTTCAAGTCTCCCATCTCCGTTTACGTTGACAGACCCGACAAGACCGACCCCAGCACCACGCCGACCGACATCGACGTTTACCTGCACGCTCGCGAGCGCTCTCGCTACACCATCAAGACCGGAACAGAGGCCGGATCTGCCGAGGGTTCCGCTTATGCGAGCGCCCAGCTGCGCAACCTGTTCGGCGGTGCCGAGTCGCTGAATGCGCACGCATCGGCCGGCACGCGCACCCGCTCTGCCTACTCGGCTTACTTCGACACTCCCATCCTCAGCAATCCCGACTTGCGCTGGGAGATCGGCGGTCTTGCGAGCTCGACTTTGAAGAGCTGGGCCAGCCACGAAGAGGTGCTCAAGGGAGGGTCGACCAAGCTCAAGTGGCAGAGCTCCGGCGGCCACCGTCACGAACTTGCCTACTCGGGCTTCTGGAGGCAGATTACTGGTCTGGCGGCGACCGCTTCGCCTACCGTCCGTGCTGATGCCGGAGACTCGTTCAAGTCAAGCATATCGCACACCTATACCCTCGACCGTCGCGACTTCCCGCTCCTCCCTTCCCGAGGCTATCTCCTCAAGACCGTGGCCGAGCTTGCCGGTGGTCCGCTCAAAGGCGACGTTGGCTTTGGGAAGTTTGAGGTTGAATCGCAAGCCGCTCTGCCGTTCCCCCCAATTGCCGGTGTTGCCCTCACCACCAGCTTCCGCGCCGGTCTGCTCCACCCGTTCGTTGACGGCAGCGGCAAGCCGACTCCCTCCCGCATCAACGATCGTTTCCAGCTAGGTGGCCCTACCGATATCCGGGGTTTCCGGCTCGCCGGTCTCGGTCCCCGTGACGGACCGGATGCTGTTGGCGGGGATGCCTACGCTGCGGGCAGTGCAAGCCTCATGCTGCCGTTGCCACGCGTTGGCGCTGAGACACCGCTCCGGCTACAAGCTTTCGTCAACGCTGGGCGTCTACTCGCTCTGAAGGAGAGGAAAGACAGCGAGGGAAATGCCGATGCGGCGGAAAGCCTGAAGGCGACGCTGGAGGAGTTGAAGAATGGCCTCCCAAGTGCCGCAGCTGGTGTCGGGCTGGTGTATGCGCACCCGGTAGCAAGGTTCGAAGTCAACTTCTCACTGCCGTTGGTGCTGCGCAAGGGCGAGCAGGGAAGGAAAGGTGTGCACTTTGGCGTTGGCATCGAGTTCATGTAGAAAGCATTCGGCTGTATGATACAGCAAGAAAGAAACAGTAATTTCTCACTTCACCCCCCGGGAAGAAGCTTCAGCATTCCTTGTACGTCCCCATGCGCAACCACGCGACCTCGGCACGAGCCCCAGGAAGCATGCCGTACTCGATAACGGGGAACTGCAACGTCAGCTCAACAATATTGTGGCAATGGACCGGAGCAAAGGAGATTGTTGAGATTCGCAATCACGCGTGAGCATCAGCGGCACGGTCCAGCTCGTCAGCGTTGCCGCCACGGCGTGTGCCGAGCGTACTTTGCCAGCATCAGCGTTCCCCGTGGGGAAAAGCGGCGGAGCGCGGTGCCAAGGGGATCCAAGATGTCCGGCATTCATGCCGCGGTGAGGATTCCATCCGGGGATTTGGTATTGCACGGAAACTTGGCGCGGGGTCGCCGCACCTTGGCGCGCGGGCCATGCTTGGGGTGCGGATTGGGGCCGAGATGTCGTGCGACCTGGCTTCAAGATACAGGGCGTCCAGACGGCGGTGGTGTGGTGGATGAGCTGGCTGAGGCCGAATCCCTTCTACTGGGACGTCTTCCCCAGCATCACCAAGATCCACGCTGAAAGAGCGTGCGTGGTCCTGTGCGGCATTTCCCTGGACCATAGCTCCGGACGCTTTTGTTGATTGCTAGGCGGTAGTCATGAGGTGGTTAAACACATCTGCCGAGTCGCTGCCCAGAGTTTGTCCTGCCAGCGCTCGCCAGCAATTCCACCGGGGTTTGCATACCGCTGACTCCCTCAGCTCAAGGGAGGCATATGAATCCTTCGAGCCCGTCCTGATACGATATCGATGCCGATAGATTCCGCAAGCGTCGGCACGCCGAAAGCGAGCCAGAAACAGAACCGGCGCCTCTTTACTTGGCCCGTCCACCTGGCATCGAGCCCATGGCGTGTAAATGGCTGTGGTATCGGTGCCCCCCAAGAAATCGCCCAGCTGTTGACCCCGCACCTGCCGGCCGCCATGGACGTGTCTCTCTCATTGCTTCCGAACATGCTCTTCCGCCGCCGCGAGCATGACTTGTTCGAGTCGAGTCAATTTCGAGCTTGGGTGGAGGAGAGGCCGGGGTAGGTAGGTAGCCAATGCTGAACTATATATTTGCTCTTGACTTCCTCGTTGCAAGGCAGCAACGATCTTCCGGCAGTGTCCCTTTGTTTTCTTTCCACAATAACTAGCTCGGCCTCAATTCCCAACCTCCGCCATGTCGGACCCAATCATGGAGAAGAAGCAAGCGGAGCATGTGGAGCACGTGGAAGATTTGGATGAAGAGAAGCTGAAGCAAAAGCACGGAAAGCAAGACTATTCCGGTGCTACTGAGAAGACAGATCCAGTGGAGATTGCCTTGGTCAGGAAGCTGGACCGTTGGATCATGGTGCGTTTTCGATTTGTCGCTGAGCTGGCGGTACTCTCGCTGACTTGACACAGCCTATGCTTTGGTCGATGTACTGGCTCAACTACCTCGATGTGAGCCCTGTGGCATCCACCACCCAGCTCCAACACTGCTGACGAAATACAGCGAAATGCAATCGCACTTGCCCGGCTCAACAACTTGGAGGAGGACCTTGGCCTTACTGGAACCCAATACCAGACCTGCGTCAGCATCCTTTTCGTCGGCTACCTACTTGGTCAGGTTCCCAGCAACATGTTCCTAACGCGGACTCGCCCTTCGTGGTACATGGGGTGTTGGTATGCCGTATCTCGAGGACTCCAGAGTTGGCCAGTCACTGACTGTGTAACAGCATGATGCTTTGGGCCGTCGTCTCGGCTTTGACGGCCTTGTCAAAGGACTTCAAGGGCTTGCTCCTCACCAGGTTCTTCCTTGGTGTCACAGAAGCCCCTTATTACCCCGGCGCTCTCTACATGCTCAGCATCTTCTACACCCGCAAGGAGATTGCCACCCGCATCAGCATCCTCTATACCGGCAACATCTTGGCCACCGCTTTCGCCGGCCTGATCGCTGCCGGCATCTTCCACGGAATGGACGATCTGGGCGGCATCTCCGGCTGGCGCTGGTTGTTCATCTTGCAGGGCATCGTCACCTTCGTCATCGCCGTCGCTGGCTGTTTTATCCTCCCCGACTTCCCACACAACACCAAGTGGCTCACCCCCGACGAAAGACAGCTCGCCACGGCCCGGATCGAGCGGGACACGGTTGGCCTGAAGGGCAAGGGCAGCCCTTGGGATGGCTTCATGCAGGCGGCCAAGGACCCCAAAGTCTGGCTGTTCGCCTTCATGCAGCACCAGCACCTAGCCGCCAACGGCTTCAAGAACTTCGTAAGCACCCACTCACCCCCTCTTTGAAGCGCCAATCACATATCCCTGGGATGTTCTCTCCAACCACGCACAGCCAAACGTCAAAGGCGCTCTGGCTGACCAACCTCCAACACAACCACCAGTTCCCCACCGTCGTCGAAACCCTCGGCTTCAACACGACCATCACGCTCGTGCTGACCTGCCCGCCCTACGTCATCGCGGGCGCCATCTCCATCGCCGTGTCGTGGTCGTCGGGCCGGTTCAACGAGCGGACCTGGCACATCACCTGCTCCAAGCTGGTCGCCATCCTGGGCTTCGCGCTGGGCGCCGCCACCATGAACATGGGCGCGCGCTACTTCGCCATGGTCGTCTTCGCCTCGGGCACCTACGGCGTCAACTCCATCATCCTCGGCTGGGTCGGCGCCACCTGCGGCCAGACGCCCGAGAAGAAGGCCGTCGCGCTGAGCATCGTGAACACCGTGGCGAACATATCCTTCATCTGGACTCCGGTGAGAAACATCCCTCTCTCCCTCTCTCTTTTGCTTTCTCGTGTGTCTGTGTGAAGGCATCGTTTTTTTTTTTTTTTTTTTGCTAATCAAGTGCCGCACCTGCAGTATCTGTGGTATGACGAAGACGCGCCGCGCTACGTCGTCGCCATGGGATCTAGCGCTGGCTTCAGTTTCCTGTGCTTCGTCTGCGCGTGGATCATGAGGCTCGCCCTTAAGCGCAAGAACAAGAAGATGAGGCAGTCCCAGGACGAGACGACGCTCTTCTACGCCTACTAAAGCTGATCGAGAGAAAGAGAGGGCTGTAGGGGGTGCTCTGGCGGAGTATCTGATGTATCGAAACGAACGTACGAAGACACGGGCTGCTTCGTATGCCGTGTGGTTGAATCCAATGTCCGGACGTAGATGTAGGTTTTGAATACGGATTAATGCGTCCGGGCATTGGACTCGACTACCCGCACAAGGAGAATGTCAGCTGGGCCTCATCGCCATTGGCGTACATCCGTGTCAGTAGCAGAAAGAAATCTCAATGAAACAAAATCCATCAACTGAATTGTTTTCCACTTGCTTCTCTTCCATGTGAAGTAATGTGCAAGCAAACATTGCCGCCGAATGTCAATGATTACGCTCATGGTTACCACCATGCTTTATCTCTTTTACATCTATGATTCATTTAACCAAGCAATGCGAGGGTAGAGACTTCGAGATAAGAAAATGTGGCTGGATGCCACACCATGCCCGAGCTACGCTTACCACAATATCCTGAATTGGGCCTGTCGTGGCCATATTTCGAGCTACTCCGGTCAGCAGCCCAGTATTGCCATTACTGAAAGATTCATAGGCACAGGCGAAGAATGAAGGCTCGGGATCACCCTGGGCCCTCGCGCAACTGCAAGAGAAGCCGCCCACACTTAAGCCCGTCGTTCTCTGAAAAGTGGAACAATACGAGGACCTTGCGACATGATTCCGAATTCCCCTATCGGTGGTCCGCAAAGGTCGGTGTCTTGAATGACGCTCGTCAGTTCTTACAGCGTGGGAGAAAATGGCGCTGGATAAGCCGGAATTTCCATGCGCCGCATTGCAAATCGGCAATGTTCGGAAACATCGAAAGCCAATGGCCCGTAGTGATAACGCGCCCTGCAACCGCGTTGCAAACTGATAGTAAAACTACGCTCACTCGTGTCGTCGTTGGATCACAGCGACTGTCTTCTTTCGTAGGTTTCGGAAGAGAGGCCGGAGCTGGTTTTGGCATCTTTCTTTGGGTAGTCAAGTAAGCAGTTGCATCCGGATGCGGACTACGGGCTTTTCTCGTTCGAGCGGGACGGTGAGGTCTGGACTTCGCGTGCGATTTGCTGCTGCAGAGCATCTTCGTCGCTCCTGTGCTCCTTTTCTGATTCCGCATCTACATCGTCGTTTGAGGCGAGCGATTCGTCATCAGAAGCAGCTGCGTCGTTGCCGGTAGATGTCTTGTCTCGAGCGCTGTTTAGTTGTTAGACTGCATTCCGGTAAGTATAGTGAGGGTCCGGTACATACCGCATCTCAAGCTTGCGCTGCTCCCAATTCTTGACCATAGCTTCACTAGCAAATGCCTTCGGCTCCCAGCTGTCCGGGTACACCTCACCGGTCTTCGGGTTGTCCTCCCAAGCGATTTTGTAGTAGTACTGGTTCTCGTGGACGATTCCCTGCGCAGCCCATTCCTGGCCTCCTTTCTCTTTCTTCCATTCGGCGAGGAGCGCACGATTGGCGCAAGACTTGGGGTGCCAGGTCGGCATGTAGGGTTTCTTCGTCTCGGGGTTGATGCCGTCCCACTCGATGAGATAGTCGGTCTTGTTCTCGTCAAGGATGCGTTTGGCCGTGTAGAAGCGGTTGTCCTTTGCGTCGACCTTGGGGCGCTTGCGCTGAGAGGCTTTGGCAATGGGACGCGCGCCCTTCGGAGCTCGACCGCGTCTGCTCTTCATTGGCGGCGGCGAGGTCAAAGTCGGGCGGATGCGATGGGGCGAGATGGGGACGATCTTGGTCGGTTTGTCTGGGCGACGCTTTGGCGGCATGCTGGGCGTCTGACTAGGGCGGATTAGTGTGGGGTGGTGCAAGTGTCCGGCGCGACTTGTGTTGATGGTCGAGAGACTGGAAGGGGAGACGCGCCACGCGCCGACGCGTCAAGCTCGTGCATGAGCTTCTCCGAGCTCGGGCCACCTGTTGTGAAACTCGTCTGTGTCGGACGCAAATTTGTACAATTATTATCATAGCTACTACGTAAACTTTGCAAATCATCAAAAAGGACATGCCCCCAATTCCAGCCACCCAGCACTTTCCACACTCAAAAGACATCCGCCTCGCCCGGGAATCCCAATGGTACGCACCCGCTCCCTCGCTCTCCTCACTCTTTTCCAAAGTGCACCACTAGAACTCAATGATGACCTTCAGCGCCTGGTTGGCTGATGCCGCCTTGAACGTCGTGTAGGCGTTCATCATGTCGGTGAACGCAAAGTCTAAAGCGAAATCAGCACCAGAGCTCTTCGGAAAAGGGTGTACCTACTGTGCGTGATGAGCCTTTCGGCCGGCAGCCTCTTGGCCGCCACGAGCTTCAACAGCATCGGCACCGTCGCCGTGTCCACCAGTCTCGTCGTGATCGCTAAACAAGAACATTAGCCCGACATACACATTTCTGCTGGGGGAGAAGAGAGATGATCAGGATCGGGGACACATGGATGGCTCACAGATATTCTTATTCCACAGCTTCTCCAGGTGCAGGTCGACGCTGGTACCGTGCACGCCGACGTTGGCGATGGTCCCGCCGGCGCCGACGAGCTCCTGGCACTGATGGAACGTCTGCGGGATGCCGACGACCTCGAGCACCGCGTCGCAGCCGCGGCCCTCGGTCAGCCGCATGACCGTCTCCTCCGCCTGCGGCGGCGTGACCGTCGCGTGCGCCCCCAGCTCGCGCGCCAGCTTGAGCCTGTTCTCGTCAAAGTCGACGACGATGATGAGCCCCGGCGCGTAGAGCTGCGCCGTCAGCAGCGCCGCGAGCCCCACGGGGCCGGCGCCGATGATGAGCAGCGAGCAGCCCGGCTCGACCTTCGCGTTGAGCACGCCGCACTCGAAGCCCGTGGGCAGGATGTCGCTGAGCATGACGGCCGTCTTGGGGTCGACGCTCTCCGGCACCTTGTACAGCGACGTCTCGGCGTTGGGGATGCGGACGAACTCGGCCTGCGTGCCGTCGATCGTGTTGCCCAGTACCCAGCCGCCCGTCTCGCACTGCGACGGCATCCCCTTGCGGCAGTAGTGGCACGTGCCGCACGTCGTGATGGCCGGAATCAGCACCAGGTCGCCTTCCTTGAGCTTGCTGACCGACGAGCCCGCTTTGGAGATGACGCCCACGCCCTCGTGGCCCAGCACCGTCCCCGGCTCGCACGATGGCACGTCGCCCTTCATGATGTGCAGGTCTGTGCCGCAGATGGTCGTGTACTTGAGCTGCACGATGGCGTCGCCCGGCAGCTGGAGCTCCGGTACCGGCCGCTCTTCCAGCGCTACGTCGCTGTCAGGGCCTCTGTAGACGAGAGCTTTCATGGTGGAGGCGCGGGCCAACTGCTGAATTGGACGGAAGGTTGCTGCTTGGTATCTGGAGTGGTTGCTTGCCGTGGGCCTACAGGCCTTGGTTGCTGCTGTCGGCATATATGCTATGTTGCGGTGTTGCACAAGACGGCTGCGTACCGCACCGGATGCTCGGGTGCTGACGCGGGGAAGCACGGCCGAGCATCTGGAGATGCATCTCTGGGCCCGAAGAGCTGGAAACATGAGGGATGCAATTGGCGTGCTGGTGATGTTAGAGTCGGCACAGGAAGTTCGGGAAAAGGGGGTTGGGTTTGGCTAGGTATGATGATAGAGACGCAGGTGCGGTAGGCCAGCAAGATAAAGAGCCAGGCTTGGATGACCTGCAGATGTGTCAGTCCGAGTGCGGGGTGCCCTACGCCGCAGAGGATTCGTCAATCCTGGACAGGGGTGGTGCAATCATCAGCAGAGTTATCAGCAGATGTCACGATGGGGCTGGGCAAGAGACCTGAACAACAGGCCATACCTCGGGTCAGCTGTGACTCGTTGTGGCAGCACGGACATCGCCATTGATCCGGCCGATTGATGTGGCTGGATCTACAGCCTTGCATGACTCCGTACGTGAGGTGTACGCCGCTTGGCGACTCGGGAGACCGGAAATTCGCGGCTGGCCTTCCGTTTCTGGTAGGCCCCAAGGTTTAACTGTTGGACACGAGCACAAAATGGCAATTTCCTCGTCGCTCCTGACCGCATGTGCGGTTGACATGTTTCTGTGGGGCTTCGCGGGGAAAACCCCTCGTGCGAGATCAACAAAGTCGCATGGCTCAAGGTGGGGAAATAAGCTTTACCTCGAGCAAGGTTCAGATCAAAGCCAGCAATCAGACAGCAGCAAAGTGAGAACGTGTTGCAGATGAAACCTTTCTTTTTTTCCGAGGGCCTTTGCTACCCATCAAGGCCCTGTCGCTGCCGAAAATTTTAACGTATCTTATGTCATGTAGTACTTGGGGCCGTCGCCGCCAGTGGGGCAGACCCAGTTGATGTCTTGGGAAGGGGCCTTGATGTCACACGTCTTGCAGTGAACGCAGCTGGTTTCTAGTTAGCGGGGCGCATTGAACGCAACTAAGTAGGAGATGACGTACTTTTGGGAGTTGATCTGAAACCTCACGCCCAGATCCTTGCTCTCATCCTCCACATACTCGTACACACCAGCAGGGCAGAACCGGTTTTCAACACCCTTGAACCTGGGCCACTCCTTGAGCGCGTGTGCATCCCAATCCTTGACTTGCAAGTGGACTGGCTGATCCTCCTCGTGGTTGGTCCCGGAGCGGCTGACGCTGGTCAAGATATCAAAGCTTATCTTGCCGTCCGGCTTGGGATATTCAATCTTCTGGCTGTCATCTGCCTGCTTAGTGGATGCATGGTCAGGCTTCCCATGCTTGAAAGTCCACGGCTCCTTGCCTCTGAGAACAAATGCCGTGATTCCCGAGTACAAAACACCGCCGTATAGGCCGAGCGGGTTGTGGAAAGAGGGGCGCATGTTGCGGACCTCCTTCAGCTCACTCCAGATCGTCGAGTTCCGCAGCTTGTCCTCGTAGTCGTACAGGAAGATCGACCCGTCATCTGAGTTGGACCCAAGGGCTGTGTAGGCAGCCTCGGCAGCCAGCATTCCAGACTGCATGGCAGTGTGTGTACCCTTGATCTTGGGCAGATTGAGGAAACCCGCCGTATCGCCAATGAGGGCGCCGCCAGGGAACGCACACTTCGGGATCGACTGGAAGCCGCCCTCGTTCAGAGTACGGGCTGCGTACGAGATGCACTTGCCTCCCTCGAGATACTTCTTGTAGAACGGGTGTTGCTTCATCTTCTGGAACTCGCCGTAAGGGGAGAGCCAAGGGTTGGGGTAGTCCAGCCCAACGACCAGACCGATGCTGACCATGTTGTCGCCAAAATGATACATCCAGCCACCGCCGTACGTGTCCTTCGGAAGCGGGTATCCGAGCGAGTGTGCTACGAGACCAGAATCGAATTTTTCGGGATCAATCTCCCAGACTTCCTTGATGCCAAGGCCGTAGGTCTGGTGTTCCGAGTCCCTCCTCAAGTCGAACTTCTTGACGACCTGCTTGGTCAAGCTACCGTGGCAACCTTCGGCAAGGAGCGTGCACCGGGCGTGGAACTCCATGCCGCGCTCGAACGAGTCCTTGGGGGTGCCGTCTCTGGCGAGGCCCAGGTCGTTCGTTGCCACGCCCTTGACGGAGCCATCAGGAGTGTAGAGAATCTCGGAGGCAGAGAAGCCCGCGTAGATCTCGACGCCAACCTCCTCGGCACGCTCACCGAGCCACTTGACCAATTGGTTCAAACTTATGATATAGTTGCCATGGTTGTTCATTTGCGGGGGTACGGGCAGCCAGACGGACTTGTTCGTGGTGAGGAAGCGCATCATCTCCCTCTTTGCAGGCGTGGCATTCTCGAAACGGTTGGGGTTTTCTTCCGAGTTCCAGTCGGGCAAGAGCTGGTCCAGGGCGGAAGGCTGGACGACATTGCCCGACACTATGTGGTCTCCTATCTCGCCGGCCTTTTCCAACAGCAGAACGCGGAAGTCTTCATTGCCTGCTTCGTTGGCGAGCTGCTTGAGGCGAATGGCGGCACTGAGCCCTGCGGGACCACCACCAATGATGCAGACATCGACCTGGTCGGCCTCGCGCTCGATTTGGCTGGGGTCAAAGGACTCGTTGACTTCGGCTAGGCGAGGGCGGGCGGTGTTGGAGAGGGCTCGCCGTTGGCCAGCGACGCGGAGTGCTGGTGTGCAGGCGCTGAGAGAGGCGCGAGTGGTGGCGGCGGCGAAAGGTCGTGCGAAAAATCGAGCTTGGGAGAAGCGCGGGACGAGGGCGCGGCGCAGGGCGGAAGGAGCAACTATCCTGGATGCCATGGCGAGGGGAGATGTGCAGCACCCCGCAAAAGCATTGGGGCAGGGGCAGAGGCAATTGAAGGCAGCCGCGGGCCGGGGAACGCTCTATGACGCCGTCGGGCAAGGGCCGAGGTTGCCGTCGCGGGGCTAGTGGTGTGCGCGGGAAGATTTCCACCGCGGGGAGCCTCCAGCCGCCGCCGGCCAAACAGCGTCGAGCAGATTGTCAGCCCCTGTCAACCTCACACCAACTCCTGCCCATTGCCTGACCGATCGGGCAGGCAATCCCGCTCGCCTCAGGCTGCCACGCCCAGCTGCCACGCCCAACCGCTGATGTCCCGCCATGAATTGCGCATCGTGAGTGCGACGCTCACGGGAGCCACCCAGACTCATCAAACTTGTGGAGCCCTTCGCTTCATGTCTTGTGATGTTCGCGCCATGGCAACTGGCTGAGTTGGTGGATCGACCGCGAGCGGACTCTGCGATATCGCTCCCACAGACGCCGCCGAGAGCGCTCCTAAAATAAGCCTGCGACGCGAAATCGGCGCTCCCGTCTTCCAACCTCCGTTGGACGTGTCTTGTCTTTTTTTTTTTTTCCTTCTCCGTCATTGCCCTCTTGCGTGTGCGGCAGCCCTAGCTGAGGTGGTCAAAGAGCATGGAGACGGCGGCATTTATTCGTCTTGGGCGCACGTTGTGGAAGGTGGCCGGCGCATGAAGAGACGGGCCCTCTCTGCCTGCAGGGTCTGATGAAGAGAATTTCCAGTGGACAAGATGGAGCGCATCTACGACCCCTTGAGTGGAAGCCGGCCATTGGAAGGACGGGATTGCCCTTTGACCGTGTACAGCGAGCGGTACGTGGCTTCTTCTTTGGTAGGCGTTGAGCTCGAAACGTCATCGAGCACAACGCTCCTTCCGTGGAATAGCGATGCAGCGCGTTCCTGTGTTAGTAGTGGGTGTTAGCCGTCACCCAGCTTGCGGTTTCCCTAGCTGTCTCTTTCTCGCAGAGCAATTCTGCAGCTTCACATATCATCTCTATATCCAACGCGCCGTTCTCATTATTTGCGCGCCCCATCCTCAAGTCGACGTGAGTGAGAGTGAGGCAAAGATGGCGGGCCACATCGAGGCACCCAAGTTCGAGCTGCTGCGGGCGAACTGGGAAGCGCGCCAGCAGACCGATCCAACCAACCGACCACTATCACCGACCACTCCGGGCCGCACACCCGCCCAACAGCGCTTGTTCTACACGTCTTCCAGCGAAACACGCGAATCCAAGGCTCGTCGCTTCAGCTCCTTTGCCACATTCACAAGCCCCATCAACCCTTTCACCCGTCGCGATCGAGCCGCTATGCCTTTCCCCAAGTCACCCTCATATAAGGCCCTCGTCGCTCCCGAAAAGCGCGAGGAACCTCCACCTGCTCTGAAGCGCGGCCCTGGAAGCAGGCTCCCATCCTTCAAGGGTTCTTCCAACGCCATGCCGCCACCAGCACTACCGACTACGAAGAGTAACGGTCAAGCTGCTTCCGATCGCTGGATGATGGGGCGCCTGTCCCGGAGCCAGACAACCAGCAACATCCCACTGCTCGCGTCTAAGGCAGCTGAGCCCATGAAGCAACCTCCGGTGAAGCATCTGCCAGCGGGTGTTCCACCGCTCAAGGCGACGGGACCGAGACAACCATCACAATCCGCGAGCAACCTCATACGCAGCAGACCACCCACGCCGCATCGCAGCGCCGATGAGCCGATGCCCGTCACTGCCCACTCCACCAACAATCTGATTTCTCTGACTTCCTCAGCCTCTTCCACCAATGTTCGCAGCAAGCTACCCACACCGGCTCTAAACCGGGATACCAGGCAGTCAGGAATGGCAACTAAGATGTTCGGAGGCATGAAGAAGACACCGAAAATCAGGGAAAAGCGCTCATACACGCAGCCTAACCTTACAAGTGTGACGAACATGTCGTCTCAGATCGTCACGCCGCGAAAGACGGTCTTTAGGGAAGAGTTTGCTACAAAAACGCCCCGGTACATGGCAAGCGAGAACAGGAAGCCTCTCCCGTGCAGCGATGATCTCTTTGGTCCAGTCGGTAGTGTCAAGGTCACAGAGATCTCCAACGACGAAGACCTTGGGCGGTACGGACCAATTAGCGCGGAGGACTGGACAGGTATGCTGTCTATTGAGTCGCCTACGTCGAACAAGCCTGTCAGGGTGTCCAACAATTCTCAACACAGACGTCCGTCACAGCATCGCCTTCATTCCGCGGGCTCCCTGCCCCAGAACAACCTTCTTACGCCGCTTTCTCCGCCTTTCCCGCGCACTCCCCGCCACTCTACCGCCCACAGCCAATCTCTGTTTCCCCCCAGCGGTGGTACAAATCCGCCCACTATCCTACGCCACTCCCACCTGTCGCCCTGCCCGGAAGATTCCAACCCAAAAACGGCGATCCGCTTCATCTCCACCGGCCAACTTCGCTCATGGTCTCCTCCGCAGTCTCCGACACCAACACGTTCCTCGAGTTCATCCTCCTCCTCGGCTCCCCCTCCGTCTCCAACGCCCACCAGCGGCAAAGGCAGTGTCCGCGACGTCAACAACCCTCCGAGCTACGCCCTGGTCAACAAAGCGCAACCATCGGCCTACTGGGCGGGCCGCTTCGCCTCGGGCTTCGACCGGCTGCGCCTCGAGGCCTTCCACGCCGAGGGCCACGCCTTCCGCACCTCGGGCCGCGTGTCGGACACGTTTGGCGCCTTCGTCGACGGTAGCGAGGAGGTCCGCGCCCGCCGCGTCTTCGCCGAGCTGGCCGCCTGTTGCCGCTCCGACGAGGCGACTCGCAGCCTGCGCGACTTTCAGGCCGCATGGGCGCGCAAGAGCGGCAGCGTCGCGTGTATGCCGCCGCCAGCGGTGATTGTGTTGAATGCGGGCGTTGAGAATAGAGTCGGCAACGGCAACGGCAACAACAACAACAACAATGTGGCGGGTGGGGGTGAGGAAGGCTTGAGGGGTGGAGAGGGCAAGGGAAGGAAGACGGGCATGGGCTTCATGGAGAAGCTGAAGGGCATGGCGAGGAAGTCGAGTGCCTAGGATGACGATATGAGCTTGAGTTGAGAAAAGAAAATGATGGACCATGGGTTTCACGATGTCTTGACGACTGTATGGCATGACGAAGGGATAAAGACGATACTGGGAGAGGCTCAAAACAAAAAAAAACATTCGGGAATAGGCAACTTGTTGGGTTCAATGGGGGAAGATTAAGGGTGCAATTGAGAGGTCGGCCTTTTCCTTGATTGCATGCCCGACTTTTACGGGAGTTCTTGGTGGACAGGGAAGTTTCTTACGATATTACACGGATCAGGATTCATGAGACATGGAAACGGTTATGCGGTAGCTCAGAGACGGTTGATTTTATGATTGGCCTCTTTCTACTACTTGAGGCAGTGAACTACCGAAATGCTACTTGCTACCTGCTAAATGCTGGTGCCGCCTCTTTGGCGAAAATTTAGACGAAAATTCCCCTTTTCTATCTCGTACAATAAGAAGCGCCCTGCTGCTTCCAGAACACGGAACGCCTTGTCATAGCCTTCATAAATAGCCAGCTCGAACAACCAAGGATTTTTACTCGCCCACTTACCCAATGGGCTTCTCCTGTAGAGGCTGCGGCTTGGATATGGAAGATAAGAAAGAAGGCAACGGGGGAAAAGGAAAACGGGGAGGGAGATGCACTGCTTGCTCCTCACGCCCTCTTCTGCCGATTCTTGATATACTGCGAAATCTGCTCCACGCGAGTCAAGAACATGAGACGCCTCGCGTCGTTGCTCCAGATCAGCACGCCGATGTGGCCGGCGTATTCCTTGAGGTCGCGGAACTCCTCGTAGTCCTTGAAGTCCTTGAACAGGAAACCCTCGGTGGCGCGCATGCGGTCGCCCTCGATCTGCCATAGGCGGATCTGGTCGACGACGGTGGGCGGCAGGACGGGGTTCTTGCGCTGCATCTGGGGGTGGGCGTACGTGTCGAGGTAGGAGATGATCTGGTCCGACGTGATGCCGAGGTTGATGGCGCGCTGGATGGATTCCTTGGTCAGCTTGCCCGAGACCAGGTTGGGGAAGCGCGTCTCGAGCTCGGTGAAGAGGCCCAGCACCGCGATCTGCAGCTCGCTGCTCGTGTAGGCGTAGAGGCGGTAGTTGGTCTCGATGATGATGTAGCCTTTGGTGCCCGCGGTGGAGGTGCTGTTGAGGGCGCTGGAGAAGGAGTCGGTGTTGTTGAGGGCAGCGGCGTCCGAGGTCAGGGTCGTGGCGAGGCGGGTGGGGTAGAAGCGGGAGGACCTGGACGAGGCGCGGTAGACGATGCCGAAGTCGTTGAGGTCGTCGAGCATTTGGAGTTGGGTTGCCGTCAGACTGTCGGTACTGTAGTCTTGTCCGAGGTCGAGACTGCCTAGCATGAAGAGGAAGGATAGAACATCGACATTGTCCATTTTGAGCTGCTAAGCGGTTAGAGCGTGTGACAAAACATGCGGCTTGCTGTCGCCATCACCACGGAGGACGGAAAAAATCAACAAAAACAGAGGGCAGCGATTCGCATGGAAGAGCCTAGCCATACCTTATGCGCATTTTCAAGGTAGACAATCAGCAGACTCCAGACTTGGGCATTCACTTCCTGCAGCAAGAACGAGAAGCCCGCTTGCGTAATGCTCGTCCGTCCTCCTCTTGACTCAATGAAATGCCCCAGGTCCAGCAGCGTCTTTGACGCAGGACTGATTTCCGATCCGCCTCCCAGCATCGAGCCTGTGCTGCCGACCATGTAGTGTAATATAGCCTCCCACTGCCCTCTCGCAAACTCGTCGAGCACTTCTATCGAAACGCGCTTCGAGCCCGTTTCCACGCATGGCACGCCAAAAGACCGGTGGTTGCCTCCGCCGGTGAGAGCCTGCCTGAGAGAGTTCTGGAAGCCGCTGGCGAGCCGATAGGCGCGCTGCCCCTTGGTCTCTTGCGCTTGGGTGATGATGTGGAGGCTCTCGAGCACAGAGATAGCTTTGTCCTTTTCTCTACGCAATCGAACGCATTAGCCCAAGTCTGCGCTGGCCTGAGAGGATGAGTCGTCGTCGCACCCGTTCGAATCATCGCGTATCCATGTCTCGAGCTCCGCGGCTGGGAGCGGACCGGTCATGTAGAGCATCGCCATGACTATCGTTTTCGCTGCCGAGGGTGGAAATGTTAGCCATGCCGCATGCAGAGTCGCGGTCGGACTACTGACCCAGGTGGGGCAGCATGCGGCGAAAGACGGCCAGGACGGCCGAGGGCTGCTGGTACAGGCGCTTGTGGATGGCGCCGGACAGGCCCTCGAGGTAGTCGAGAGCCTGGGACGAGGAGGCCGACATGGCGGTACGGCGGCGCGCGGTCGATGTCGTTCGCACGCTTCGCTAGGGGCGGGCCATGGTCGGGGGCGGGTGAGCGAAGGTGGGCGAGGCAAAGGAAAGGAAGGGCGCTGGTGGTTTGACGTTTGGCAGCGCAGCTACAATGCAGTTGCCGGGACGCGCACGCGAGTCAGGGACTCACAGCTGCCTGTAGGGCTGAATGAATCCCCGGCCCGCCGAGCGACGTCACCGCTCCCCAGAACATCCCCGCCGCCTGCACGAGGTGTTGTATCCCATCAATCATGTCTCCGAAAACGCTCAAGTTCGTGAACTCGGTAGGCGTGCCAATCCATGCTGCCGCTCGATTGGGTCTATACTAATGCCCCTTGCCCTCAGGTCTGGAAGTCATTCCAAGCCACCTCCGGCCTGGAGCCGAGGTAGAACCTCGCCCCTCGCCCGTGGTATTTTTTGACTGACGGTTGATCTACCAGGCTTCTTAATAATGTGCGTGATTTTGTCCTGTCTGTGTTGTTGGGATTTGATTCCACCACCCCGACGTCTTGCTCCAGCATCATGAGTTTCAGAGCACCTAATTCTCCAAGCTAATTCTCCAATAAGCTCCGCATCACCAATGCCATCCCAGGCCGTGTGAAATTCGAACTCGACATTGAGAGGCATCACACCAACCGGCTGAAGATTCTCCACGGCGGCACCATCGCTAGCATGGGTGCGCACAAAACCTTTCCCAACCCTTAATTCCGCAATCAAAGCTCCTATCTGATACGTGCTCGCAGTTGACCTCGGTGGCTCGCTCGCTGTGGCTTCAAGGGGCCTTTTCGCAACGGGCGTCTCGACAGACTTGAATGGTATGCGCTTTGTCCCAGACAAGTCAGCAACATCATACGCGAAGGGGGTCCTAACTTAGTTCACGCTTGCTTATAGTGACCTACCTTAACTCCGGCGGCACAGAGGGGAATACCATCCGCGCCGAGGTGACCTGTGACAAGTGTGCGTCGAAGCTATTCCGCAACGGTCTAGTTGAAGAGGGTCAATTCAGCTGACGCTTCCATGATACAGTCGGCAAGACTCTGGCGTATACGAATGTCAAGTTCCTCAACGACAAGAACGAGGTCGTTGCGCGTGGAAGCCACACGAAGTGAGTAACTGCCAATTTCCCTCAATATATCTATCCCAGCCCAGTGGAGTTCCCAGTCATTCTAATCCGGTGAGATAGGTATGTGACGTTAGCTTGGAAGGACCCGAACAATATTGTTGAGGAAATCAAGTCGGAAGAGGCGGCCTCAAAGGAGTCGGGAGAAACAAAGCAGTGAATACTAGAGGGCTAAAGCTTCATAGATCATTCATGAAACTGGTAGATTGGGAACATAGACCAGACCGTATCGAGGTAAATGATGCATGGTCTTCATTGGTGGTATCTCAATCTCAGTCTAAATATAACGTCTGACTCAGCTTGCGTGCATGGAAAGTCTAGCCTAACTAGGCAACGACACGTTCAAAAAAGCACCAACGACTTCTTTGAAGCTTCTGCTTTCCCCATCATCCTTCCGCCACACAGCCTCATCTCCGCCCAGCTGAGCATCAAGGGCGTACCACCTCACCTTTAGACACCCTTCTTTTCCGGAAATGTGGGTTGCCAGCTGTAGCATCACTGCTTCTTTGTTCTCCCCTCTCCTTACAAAATACGACAGTTCTGGGAGCCGATTCTTAGCATTCCTGGCTTGCAGATTCGAACGGTCCCTCATGGCGAGATTAAGCGACAGATCCATGGACATGGCATGGTCGATGTACTCTTGAAGGGCATCTAGCGCGTCAAAAGAGAGGATTCGCTTCTGAGCTTGTCGATTGTCACGGTAGAGAATACCAGCAAGTGCGGGAGGTATCGTGAGGCTGATATCAGTGCCCTGAATGTGCGGGGCAATAGGCGTTCGAAGTGTGACTGTGAGTTCCTGCCGTAACGCCGCAGCCTCGTCCAACGTTGAAGGCAAAGAAAAAGTCGCTGTGGTATGCAGAGGCCGAGATAGTACCGTCATCAGGGCATCCAGTTGTGGAAGACGACTCCGATCAGAGTGGACTGTATTGATCGCCTCCGAGAGGTTTGCGTATGCTGACTCAAGGTTGATGTTGAGAGAAATCCCAGCCCGCGCCAGAACATGCTGAATAGACGACAAATGTGATCTGAGAGCAGTGGCGGTGTTGTAATGATAGATGAAATTCAGCATGATTCGGATGATGGGAAGTTGTGGTTCGGGTCGAGGGCGGTCAGTCATGGGAAGAGGCTGCTGGGTGCGCTTTCTCAATCTCTGGCTGTGAATGTAGGTCAACAAGAGACGCAGCGTGAGGGCAACATCATTAGCCAGGCCATCTTCGGGTCGCCTAGAGAGAAGCTCTTCCGCATCTTCAACGCCGATGAGATCGACATGGATCTCGCGCTTCTGACCCGGCTCGCTGGCTTCGTACTCTGGGTTCGCGGGAATGATGATGACGTGATCTCGGAACTGTGTCTTGTAGGACAGCAGTTGGCGAGTTTCCATGGTCATCTCGTGGAACAGCTCTTGTTCAAAGAGGGAATCCCTTGCCCTCCGAATCAGATCCTCAATCTCCAGATCGCTTTGCTGGGCAAAAACCAGGTTGTTCTGTTCCGAAGTGCCCACGGTCTTTCCACACTCGACGATGCGAACGCGAATGGTCTTGGGCTTCTGGACAAGAGCTTGATCAAGTATGATGTTGCCGTCTTCCTTGGCGCGTAGAGGGGCAAACCCACGGGCTTGGAACCTATCGCTTGCCTCGAGGAACCCAAACTGGACGCCAAGGGTGCCGCTCTCGCGGGGCACTCTGCGCAGCGACCACCCCCTCTTTTTGACGGACAGGATCTGGCCCCAGTACTGGGTCTCTTTCCGCACCTCTTTCTCGAGCTTCGTGGCGGCCTGCAAAAGCGAATCGGCAGAGGCGCCAAGGCCCTCCATTGTCCAGCCCTTTGCGACGAGATCCTGCTGCTTCTTCTGACGCTCATCCAACTGCTTGACCGGCCACTTGTCGTAGGAGAAGGATCCTTCGGGGACGCCGCTTTGCTTCAGGGTAGGCGACATGTAGTTGGAGCCGCGGGGATTATCCTTGGAGAGAAGCAGGCCAAGGAAGTCGATGGTGTACAGGATTTCCTGCTGGGCATCACTGCGCATGATCAGCGATACAGGACTGTCGGGCTGGGCAGGGCGGATCGTACTTGATGTGCTTGAACATGTCGGCCTTGGCTTCGCGAAGCTCGTCGGCGCGCTTTTTCGCGTCGTCGCCGGCTTCTTCGTCGTCGTCCTGGGCCTCTTCGGCGTCGGCAAGGCCAGCCTGCTGGGCAGCGGCCATCTCTGCGAGCTTGTCCTCGTCCATGTGGCGGAATTGGCCGAACTGGGCGGAGATGCGCTGGAGCTGCGTCATGAGCGACTCGTCAGCGTCGGAGCTGGAGGGGGCGGGGCGCAGGGCCAATGGCAGCTCGGCGCTGCCGCCCGACAGCTCGGAGTCGGCCATGGTTCCTGGACGCTCCTGGACGATGCGCGGGGGGGAGAGGCGTGCGAGGTGGTGGTTGAAGACGCGGCGGCGGGTGGCAGAGCAGAAGCAGAGCGGTGGAAGGCTGCCGGCTGCCAGCTGCGGCGCTAGCGACGGGTGCAGGGCGGCGCATAGCGCAGGGGCCGCGCAGGGCGTATCGATAAGCCAAGCGACGCGACGCCGTGACGCGCCCGGGCGGCGGCCAGCTCCGACGCGGAGAACCCAGCTGGCACCTAGCTAGCACCCCAGAGCTCTGGCTGCTCTCGGCGCCACGTTCCTCTCCTCTACTGCCCCTCCTGAAATCCAGTAAGCAACCATGACAACCAGGTACAGAGTCGAGTGTGAGTGCCCCCGGGCTGCCCAGCGCCGCCGCCGGCTGACCGTCGTCCAGATGCACTCAAGGTGCGTCTTCACTCCCGCTCTCGGCCGCCGCAGCCTGCTGATCGCCTCCGCAGACACACCGGCGCGACCAATTGGTACCTCCCCCTCCCCACGCCATGGCCGACACCCTGCTGACTTGGTGCAGATCGAATGGATCAAGGTGCCCAGCCCCCGCCGCGTCTTCCCCGTCCGCAAGCTGATGAGGCTGATGTGGCCAGGGCCTTCTGGCCGTCCCGTTCGTGCTGCACTCGCAGCCGACGGCCGTGTTTGAGCCGCACCGCCAGAGCACCGAGCAGATGGCCGCCATCGCCCACCGCCGCTACGGCGAGATCATGCGCGACGTCGAGGAGCTAATCAACGACCACAGTGCGTGCCTGCCTGCCCCTAGCATTGCCTGTTCCGTAGCCGTGTCTAAGCCATGTGTCAGTCGCCCACCAGCGCGCCGGCACCGAGCAGAACTCAAAGCTCAAGTTGCTTGTGCCTGCCGTGTCCAAGTTCTTCACCCCCCTGGTTCTCCACGATGCCTTCGTCTACCAGGACAAGCGCCGATTCATCAGCCACCGCCGCTTCGTCGCCCCTTCGTTCAACGACGTCCGCCTGATCCTCAACACCGCCCAAGTCATGTCTCTCGTGCGTGCCGGTCCCCTTGACCTGATCACTTTCGACGGTGATGTCACCCTCTACGACGACGGCCAGTCCCTGGTCCCTGAGAACTCTGTTATTCCGCGCATCATGGGCTTGCTGCGGAAGGGCACCCGAATCGGCATCGTGACCGCTGCCGGTTACACCGAGGGTGCGCGCTACTACGAGCGTCTGCATGGCCTGCTTGATGCCATCCGCGCCTCCGACATGCCGACCGAGTACAAGCAGAACCTCATTGTCATGGGCGGTGAAAGCAGCTACCTGTTCAAGTACTCGGCCGAGGAGAAGCACCTCCTCCAGTGGGTCCCCCGAAAGGACTGGATCCTCGAGGACATGCGTTCGTGGACCGAGGAGGATGTGTCGTTGCTGCTCGACGTAGCCGAGACGGCACTCCGAGAATGCGTGAACAACATGCGGCTGTCTGCAATGGTCATCCGGAAGGACCGCGCCGTCGGTATTGTGCCCGCCAATCCCGGCGCGAGGTTCGCAAGAGAGCAGCTGGAGGAAACTGTCCTGGTGACGCAGAAGATCCTGGAGATGTCCGAGGTTGGGAGACGGCTGCCGTTCTGTGCTTTCAACGGTGAGTTGCCGTCCTTGCCCTTAGAGCTGCTGCTAATGCCATTCAAAGGTGGGAACGACGTCTTCGTCGACATTGGCGACAAGTCGTGGGGTGTGCTCTCCTGTCAGCGCTTCTTTGGTGGCATCGAAGGGAGCAAAACGCTCCACGTCGGCGATCAATTCCTTTCCGCCGGCGCCAACGATTTCAAGGCTCGCCTTGCCTGTACCACGGCTTGGATCGCCAACCCCGCAGAGACATGCGCTCTTCTGGACGAGATTGCTGAACTCGACGAGATGCAACAAAGGAAGCAGGTGTGACCCTCGATGGAAATCTCTCAACTTTCCCTACCGGATGTTGCAATTTTGGCTTGGAGTTATTTGGCTGACAACCGTGCTGGAAGGACGTCGAGTGAGTCCATGAAGGCCCATGGAGTCAGGATACCAGGGAATCATGTCGATGGAGTTATGAAGGAATTGAATTCAGCTGTCTTGGAAGAACTGCCGCTATGCGCAAGCAATCCTTCCAGAACACTGCGCACATACTCAAGGCTGTCAGTCTACTGGCTGCGGATGCCGATGATGCTACACAACTACCACTTTTAAACGCCTAATGACAAATAGAAAATAAACCATCTTCTTGGCACTTTCGTCCTTTTTTATTGTTCAGGCGCTTCTAATCAGGAGCCCCTGGAAAGCAGGTCACCTCTCATTCCACATGGAACCTTCGCAACCCGATACTACTTGATCCGCTTCCCTCCCTCCATCGTACCGTCTCTCAGTCCCAGCGGCACCATCATCCATCCATGTTCGGTCCCCTGGGCGGCATCGCACGCGGACGAAACTCGCCCACGGCCGGGTTGAAGGTAGACGTCATCTGGTACTGGCGGAGTTGCCAGTACTGCGGCGTACCAACCGCGGTCGGCGGAGCGGGGTACCAGCACACGTTCCCCGGCGTCTGGGACGGGTGGTGATGGGCGCCAACGGTGCTCACGGGAGGGGCCATAAAGGCGGCAGGGTTCGTGTGGGGAGAGATCAAACCTGCCGGAACAAACTCTGTGGCCCGCGGGCTCAGGGTGCTCACCACCGGCGACACCACCGGGGTCGTGTCCCGGACGGTGTTCATCCACGTCCAGGGTCGCTCCGCAAGGCGCTCACATCGGCGGCGATACTGGGCCTGCTTGGCGGCCTCGAGCTTGGCCTCGTACTCGACTCTCATGAAATGAGTTCTCGGGGACTCCAAAGACCCGTTCTGGTAGGCGGAGGCAGTCGCCATGTGATCCTGGTATGGATGCGCAATCGGGGTCGGGAACGGGTGGAATTGGCCAGGATATCCGGCGTCGGCTCCAGCGTATGGGTTCGCGCCGTGTCCTTCGTAGGACATGGCCATTGCGTCTTGCTGCGGTCCCTGCTGTCGCTGCTGCTGCTGCTTCTGGTGGTGGTGGTGGTGCGCACCGTCGGTGCCGGCGCCATTGTTCACGGAACCGCCAACAGGCCGGCCATGGGGGGCATGCGGCTTGTAAGCGCTCTTCGGGTGACCGTACTTACCCCTACTCCCCGACCAAGTCTTGCGCCTGATCTCTGCCTTTTCCCTCTCCTCCTCTTCCGCCGCCACGGCATCCTCCCCTGTCTGCAGCCGGAACGCCGCCTCGACATCCTCAACCAGCTTCATCTGCGCCTCGAATGCGACTCCGCCCGTCGCAGGACCGTCCGCGGCAGCAGCAACAACAACACCAACAACAGATCCCGAACCACATCCACTAGCACCGTCTTCCTCTTCTTCTCCGCCACCGCCTGAAGTAGTCTCGCCCCCACCGTCAGCAGTACCACCACAGGCAGAACGCAGAGGCGCAGCAGCACCACCACCACCAACCTCTCCGCCATCCTCCTCCCCCTCCTCCTCCCCCTCCTTCCCCTCCTCCTCCCCCTCCTCCTCCTCCAGCGTATCCTCCCACCTCGGATGCCACCCGGACGTCGCCGTCGCCAGGCGGTCGGGGCCGGCGCCCGCCACCGCGGTGGGCACGACGGGCGCGCGCAGCTCGTCGTAGACGTAGTGGCCGCGGCTGAACCAGTGGCGCAGCGACGTGAGCGGCTGCGGCTGGCGCACGCCGCTGACGTGGATGAAGCGGCTGGGCTCCGTGACGGGCTTTCTTTGGCTGGTGGTGGTGCTGTTGCTGTTGCTAGCGCTCGTGCTCGTGTTCATGCCCGTGTGGGCGGTGGTGTTGGGGGGAGGGTGGTGGTGGTGGAGGGGTGCGGGTGCGGATGTCGGTGGGGTTGGCGTTGGCGTTGGCGTGGGTGATGGCATGGTTTGTCGGGGTTTGTCGGGGTTTGTTGGTTCTTGGGTTTCTCTTTCTCTCTCTTTCTATCTCTCTCTCTCTCCCTTATCTGGAGAGCATCAGTACGGGATACGGTGTTTTGAGAGGGCATTCGACTCACCTCTGGGAGTGGTGAAGGCTCTGTTGTCGTCGTTGCGTTGCTCTGGTGCTGGAAGAGGTGGCGTTGAGGAGCTGCTCGGGCGTGAACACAAGGGAGTCGGCAGCCAGAGTTGGGCTGTAGAGGTACGGTTTGCGCCGGTTGAGCCTAGGCCAAACGTGTATGAAGATGTTTGCGTGTCTGCTTTGGCAAAGCCGAACGGTCGTGCTGCCCAAGTATGCTTCGGTCGCCGGGGGCGAAGGCCGCTCGCGCTGGCGCGGCGCCCTTGGGAAAAAGGTTTTGGGATCGCTAGGTCGAAGGTGCTCTCAGTCGAGAAAATTTGTGGTGTACGTTGTAGGTTGAGTGTTGGTGTGTGTGTGAGGAGGAAAGCCTTAGATGAGCACAAGGGTTTTTATGTGCAGCTCAAACGGTGATTGATTGTGCGTCAGATGATTTGGGAAAGAGGGTCACTGGCCAGGAAGACCTCTTTAGTACTACAGTCGCGACACAGATCTGTGCACTGGCTGTTGGCTAGTAGGTTAAAGGTATGGAGTTCATCAACCCCTGGAGCTGTATCCCCCCATCACTTCAGCTTAAGTCGACTGTGGCTTGGTACAAGCTAAAAGACAGCCTGTTACCATCTTTAAGGCTGATAGTTGTTTGCATTTCAATGCTATGTTAGACATTAAAGAGGTTTATATGATGGCATATAGCTTACGGGAGACCTCGAGATACTATATAGCTGAAAAGCCGTATGGTGTGGTATCACACGCTGCCAGGACAAAGCCAGCGAGGAAATTTTGATAGAAGCGCAATAAGTTCTTACAACGTGTAACTGATTTTAATTGGTAAGATATCGAAACGTTGCCTTGGAATAGCACTGTTCTTAAACAGGACTCCACTAAAAAACGAATTTTGCGAAGTCCCTAGCCAGTACTACGGGGAAGAAGAATCATGCATACGGTTCATTAAAGATTCTATATCACTTCTCTTGACAAAGACTGTCTACACAAGCTGTGCTTACACATAGCCGTTATACGAAGTCCCACGACCATAAGACGCAGTTGCAATATTGACTATATCGCATGCTTGGACACGTCTCAAAAGAGCGGGGAAGCTGAAAGTCTCACATTAATAAAGGAAAATGCAATATTTATTAGGAGAATCATCTATCTCATTCATGCAGCAGCAGCCTTTTTTGAGCGGAAAGTCATTATCATGACGCGAAAAATCCCATACGCCCGCAGAGAGCGCCTTGCCATCCGGTATCTAGCTACCCAAAGAAAACTCGTACAATGTTTACCTAATGGGCTTTGGGCCTGCCGCTCAGGGTGTCGATTAGGTCCTTGTAGCCCACCCAGAACTCGTCCTTGGGGCGACGGTTCGGCCAGTCCGTCTCTTCGTTCTCAACCTTCTCCATGGCGGAAAACTTGACCTTGGCGCCACGGATGCCGATGACGACAGTGCTCATGGGATCGGCGGCAATCTCGTCCTTGGTCTTGTCTGTGAAGCGTTAGTCTCGTCGTGCATTCAGGGACACTGGATCATCTGCTTACCCGCAAAGCTCTCGAGGTGCTGCATACTGCGGACACCGAATCTGGTAGCCCTCATCCTGTCCATGGGCGAAGGCTTGCCACCTTGCTGGAAGTGACCGGGCACACCGTGACGGGACTCAAAGCGGCCGTGTCCCTCCTCGCGGATGATGTCAGCAATGAGCTCAGTGCTGTACGTCTTCGACGCCTTTTCGTTCCGGAGGATGATCTTTCCACCGCCGCCAAGGCCCTTGTCCTTAGCGAAGCTCTCGCGCAGGAAATCGATATCCTTCGCCAGCATCTTAAGCGTGATGCCCTCCTCAGGGGTGTACACTGTAAGAGCCCCGACTGAAACACCAGCCAAAGTTGCAATGTAACCAGAAGCACCACCCTGGGTTTCGATGACGAAGACACGGCGGCGGGAGGCAGAGGCAGATTGTCTCATAACGTCGCAGTACTGGATGAGAGAGTTCAAGCACGTGTCGCTGCCAAGCGAGTACTCGGTTCCGGGCACGTTGTTGCTGACGGTGGCCGGCAGGACGGTCATGGGGATGCGGAGGGCGGAGTAATATTGGCGAGCCTTCCTCAGCTGGCTGACAGCGGTAAAGGCCTCGAAACCACCAACCACGAAGAGCGCTTGGATGTTGTACTGGTCGAAGATCTTGGCAACACTCTCGATACCCCCCTCCTCGTCGGCAGGAAGGCCACGGTTGGTGCCAATCTCGGAGCCACCACGGCTGACCCAGTTCTCGGCATCGAGCCAGTGAATCTCGCGGACGGAGCTCAGGGGCTTATCGGCATGGTGGCGGCAGAGACCGGGGAACCCGTTGTAGAGGGCGACGGGGGTATGACCGCGGGCCAAGCAGTAAGCAACAGCTGCGCGGCTAGCAGCGTTCATACCACCTGCCGGAGCACCGACGTGGATGATACCGACACGCATACGCTGAGTACGTTAGCTGGAATCCAATGCTCTTAAGACAAGACGTAGTCCTTACCTTCTCCGCCGGAAGCTGCAAGCCGGGGGTCTTGGCAGAGGTCATGATTTGGTAGGCGGCGTGGTACTCGGCGAACTCGACATCACGCAGGCTCATAGCACGATCGAAGTCCTTGACCTTGATGGCAGCGGCGACCTCGTGGGTCTGCTTCACGGCCTCCATAAGAGGGCGACGGACAATCTTGTTCTCCAGAATGCAAATGACAGGGCTGGGCGTCTCAGGAGTGGCGTCCAACACGGCATTGACAGCCTCGGCGCCCTGGAGGGTTGAAAGCATGCGGTCGTAGGCACAAGCCTCACCACCTCTCTGGACGTGGCCAAGAGTGGTGATTCTGGTGTCCAGCTTGAGCTGGTTTGCGAGCAGGTCCTTGACGGTGTTGGGGGTAATGGGGGTGAGATTGGAGTCGTGTGCACCCTCGGCGACAATGACCATGGTCTTGCGCTTGCCCTCTTCACGGTGCTTCATGACGATCTTGCTGAGATCCTGCTGCCAATCCTCACCCGGCGGCTTCTCCGGAAGGAAGACGTAGTCAGCGCCGCTGGCAACACCAGCCATCAGGGCCAACCAGCCGCAGTGTCTGCCCATGACCTCAATGACGAAAGCTCTTTGGTGGGACGAGGCGGTGGAGTCCAGCTTGTCAATTGCCTCGCAAATGACGCCGAGGGAGGTGTAGGCGCCAATGGTCGCGTCGGTTCCGGCGAGATCGTTGTCAATGGAGCCAACGAGACCGACAATGTTGAGGTGGCGGAAGGGCTCGACCTGCTCGGCGGTAAGCTCCTTCTTCTGCACCAGCTCGTCGACGAGGCTGGGCCATTCGGATCTGAAAAGGTCGGCACCCGTCAAGCTGCCGTCTCCACCGCAAATGACGAGGGCGTCGATGCCCTTATGAATCATGTTCTTGGCAGCCTGCAGGCGGCCGGGGCGCTCTCTGAAGGTCATGCAACGCGCAGTGCCGATGAGAGTGCCGCCCTCGGAGAGCCAGCCGCGGACGTCTTCCCAGACCATGGGACGGATCATGTCGCCGCCCTGGACGAGGCCCTCGTAGCCCTCGTAGATGGCGTAGGCCTCGCAGCCGCGGTGGATGGCCATGCGCACGACGGCTCGCACGGCGCCGTTCATGCCGGGGGCATCGCCGCCGGAGGTCATGACACCAATGCGGCGCTTCTTGCCCTCGAGGGGCGGCGGCGGCTGGGCAGACATGGCGTGGGCGGTGTTTGTTTATTCAGTGCGGAAGCGGTGGGGGGGTTCGGATGGCGGGGTCTCAACAGTGCGCGGGGCGAGAAGTGGCGGAGGAGGGGGGGATGCAAAAGGTGCAGAGGGTGAAGAAAGAAGGCGGCCAGAGGAAGGAGCAGAGCGGGTTGAGGGCTGAGACAGGCAGCTTTAGACTCGGGCGCGAAGCTGGCAGCCGTGACACAAGAGCCCGCCGCGGCCGCTGCGCGAGCTTGCAGCTGAGATTTTTGGGCGTGGGGCCTTGCGTCATATCCCGACGCGCAGGGTCCCGGCGCTCCCCTCCGCTGATACCGCATGCTACGGTACGTATTTCATTACACCAGCCCGCTCCCGCATGGTCGACCTCCGCCGCAGCCTCGCCGTGGCTCTGCCCGTCTCGACGCCCGGTGGGCAGCAGCAGCTCCAGCAGCTCCGGCGCGGGCTCGCGGTGCGTGGTGACGGCACATGCAGCACGCCTGGCGCGCGATACGCTGCGGCAGGCGGCGGGGGGCGCCTGTCGGCATGCCGAGGGCGGGTGGCTGCTCGGGCGACGGCGTTTCGATCCAACTGCCAACGCGTTCCGCAGCACAAGGGCGCCGTTTGACGCCTCGCCCGCCAGCGCGTTGCCGCCGCGTCTCTCCTTCTGGTGAGCTGATGTCTCGTCTTGTGGCGTGTTGTTGGGAGCACCCTATCTCACTCGCGGCTCCGGCTCGGCCAAATGCTCCACTCCCTTGCCTGCCGCCTGCCGCCTGCCGCCTTTCCAGCGCCGTTTGTTTCCATCTGTTAGTTACGAGCCTCGCCATGACGCAGTCCGTCGATCCAGTGATATCAGCCCGATCACCTCCCGCCCGCCTCCGTGGCCTTCCCTCTGCACTTTTTGCGCCCGCAGAAGCCTCCATCCACTCCCTTTCCAGCCTTGTCCGACGCCATCCGGCGCCCGCGACATGCTCCGCCGCCGGCGCCTTCGAATCGTCTGATGTTCAACATACCACGCCTCGGAAATGGCTCAAATATCGCTTCACATCACGACGCCCTCTCCTCGCGTCTGGACAGTGCGTCGGTCTCGTCCCGATCGCGTATTGCCTCAGGCCCCAGTTTTAGCTTTGAGATAACTTGACATCATTCGAACCGCGGCGGATCTGCCCGTTTGCACAAGAGCCCAGCCATGCGTCGTTTCGCACATTTTGCATCGCAGTCCATCTGGATCAATCCCGTGCTACCACAGCATTATTCCACACTCCCCCTGTTCTCGGCGTGCAGCTCCGCGAAGCTACTGGCTGTGAGAGCGACTCGGCGATGCTCTACGCATTACAATGCATTTCTGGCCCAGCCGTTCTCGCGAAACCAAGACGTTCTCTCATAGCATCACCTGGCAATGTCTGGAGTGGCAGTGGCGCATGAAAATCCAACTGGCCAACACCCTCACGTTAACCTTGTCTGTACCAACAATGGTGTGATATTTCCACAGAGAGATTTCCCTCAGCCAGCCAGAAGCGCCTGCCTAATATTCTCCAATGAACCTTCGAGTGCCGTTTAGATAAGTTGCGAATCGATAGGGCATGGGACAGGCGCGGATCCTTCTTTGCTGCAGCCACGACGCGGGCCGAAGGACTGTTGATCCGGCCCATCTACTCACCATCTCATATTGCGACTATTTGGGAGACCATGAGACCCCCGACCGTTCTGCATCCTAGCCAGACGGCCAATGCGTGACGATTAGGCGCGGCACGAAAACAACAGCTACGTTTGAGGACGAGACCTCGAGAAGCTAAGTTGTGGGGCACATCTGTTTAAAGCTTACATACAGAGAGGTTGGGGGTTTCGGTGCGACCCCCATTATTAATGCTATCCGTGGGTAGGGTTATCTGTGCTTCCTGCTTCTTAAGGATATATATATAAAGTTCAATTGCCCCTTGGACTTAAGATAGCCTCCATGTCCCTTTTGGAAATAGTCCATCTCGCTTTAACGCTATAAAGAAAGAAAGAGCTACGCTTACGCCACATGGTTGGAAATACTACAACGATTGAGCCTGCAAAATCGAGCAAAAGTAGGAAAGAAATCGTACAGTAATGTAACCACCCACCGACCTGGGACTTCCTGTTTTGCACATCCGATATGCAAAAGGCAACGTAAATAAACCGTCGTCAGATTAATGTAGGCAGTGTCAAGTACTTCGCATAGTGTCTAATCGCAACCAGTCTGTCCGACATTGTGAGCCAGCCATGCCATCAAGGTCCATAGAATCCCCTCCTTCAAACTAGCGGGATACTGTCACGATCCGCCCATGAGTCACCCAGATGACCCACGTGACGCCACGTGACTCGTCTACAAGCAGAGTCCTTTCGTACGGTCCTTTCCTTCGAAGAACCGTACAACCTCTTGTTCGACAATCCAACTCTTCATCTTCCTTCCTTGAGACCGTGACAATACTTTCCAAATTCGCCGGAAAAAGGAAGTCTTATCAGAATCCTCGCCCATTATGGGATCGCTTTTAAGGAAGGAAAATAAAGTGAAGTGGACGGGTGGCCTATAGATTAGTATTGCCGTTGCCAGGTGCGCGGTGGCCTGCTGTCGCGTCGGCCAACCTGATGGCCTCGTTACCCGTTTGGGACTAGCGTGCAAGTGAGCTCGCGCCTACCCACGCATTATTAAAACTTCACCGCGCCCGCCAGCTCCTCCCTTCTTCTTCACCTTCCCTCTGAACCCTCGCCCGTCTGCCCGCACTTGCTGGTGGACTTTCTTGTTTTGTCTGTTTTCTCAAAACAGACAGCTTTTGGCCGTTTCTCAAAACAGCCAGCATTTGTCAGATTCTCAACAATGACCGTCCATCGGAGACGGGCTCCGTAGGCACCAAAGAGGTGTCGGGCTGCTTCATAGTTACGGCTGTGAAATTGCTAGGTCCGCCCTGTGAGCGGACACTCGACTTACTCTACTACTTTCTCTATGCTGTTTTACTTCCCGAAGACGTTGATCTGCACAGGACATGGCTACGGAGGTTGACCTCGTGGACAAGTGAGCCCAGCTCACCGATGATCCAACGGCGAGGACGAACAAAGGCATCGGGGCAAGCGCTTCGGCCCCTCAACCCTGTTGCCATCCAAATGAATCAACCTCCTCCAAGCTGGATGCACCAAATTAGGTATTGGATCCCGCCCCTACGTGAGGATGCTTGCCTCAGCGGCGCATGCGGGAAGGAATCGCGCTCGTGCGAGCTGGCAACCGGCAGAGCGGGGGTTTCCGACCGTGCACCCGTCCCATTTCCGATAAGCGGCTGTGGCGCTCTATCGAAGCTGTTCCTTGCACCTACTGTGTACATGTCCATTCGCAAATGACTGCCGAGATTGTGTCATGTCTCCGAATAATAAGGCGCTTGGTCGTCTCTTCCGTCTGTTGCTTGATCTGCTATTGCGTCAGCGGGCGAGAAATGGTGCATTGTGCACCTAGCAAGCAACAGGCTAAAATCCGTCCGATGCCAGCGGTGTTTTGGTTTAACCCCGCGGTGGGGTCGACTAATGCTATCATACAAAACCCCGTCCAGTGCCCGGCTCTCCCGACACCAAACACCAACGACCTCACCACCACTACCAAAGCACAATGACTCGCGTTCTACTCACTGGCGGATCCGGTTTCATAGCGGCCCATGCGCTCGATGTTTTGCTGAAGCGTGGGTAAGTGGCTGCCCGCTTGCCAGTCTATTCTTCACCTAATTACTCACTGCCATCCCAGCCATTCTGTCGTCACGACCGTCCGCAGCCAGGAGAAAGCCGATCGGATCAAGCAAGCCCATCCTAGCTATGGCAAAGACAAGCTCGACTTCTCAATTGTTCCCGACATTGCACAGGAGGGGGCCTTCGAAGAGGCCGTCAAGTCGGACCCGCCCTTTGAGGCCGTCATCCACACCGCGAGCCCCTTCCACTTCAACGTTACCGATGTCCAGAAGCAGCTGCTTGACCCCGCCGTCATTGGCACGACTGGGATTCTGAAGTCGATCAAGAAGAGCGCCCCGACTGTCAAGAAGGTCGTCATTACCTCGTCCTTTGCCGCTATCCTGAACCCATTCAAGGGCACTTGGCCAGAGCACACCTACTCTGAGAGTGACTGGAACCCTCTGACACATGAAGAGGCCCTGAAGGACCCTGCAAACGGTTACAGAGGTAGGCTTTCATCCCCCAGCACCGCCATCCATGACGCAGACTGACTCTCTCGTAGCAAGCAAGACGTTTGCTGAGCGTGCCGCATGGGATTTCCTTGAGAAGGAGAAGCCGAATTTCACCATTGCCACCATTAACCCTCCATTCGTCTTCGGTCCCATCGTCCACTACCTGAACTCGCTGGACGCCTTGAACACGTCCAATCAGCGCATCGGCAACTTCATCCTCGGCAAGTTCAAGAACGAGGTTCCTCCAACCGGCACCTACATCTGGATCGACGTGCGCGACGTGGCCTTGGGTCACGTCAAGGCAATGGAGCTTCCTGACGCCGACAACAAGAGGTTCTTCTTCACGGCCGGTTACTTCAGCAACAAGGAGCTGCTGGACGTTGTTAGCAAGAACTTCCCCGAGTACAAGGACAAGCTGCCGGGCCCGGAGGCGGCCACCGGTGCCGGCGTTGACTACCCCGCCGAGGGCGTATACAAGATTGACAACTCAAGGACGAAGGACGTCTTGGGTATTGAGTTCACGTCATTCGAGAAGACCGTCGTAGACACCATCAACTCGCTCAAGGCCGTGGGTGCATAGAGTAGCAAGGAACACGAACGAAATCCAGTAGTGTAATAGACGAAAGACAAATTGGTGACCCAACATGAAATTCTTGATAGCGAGCAGATTATACGTATTCGTAATCGAATCGCCGAGTGGTTACTCTTCGCACTAAATTACGGTAGTCACCCGCCGATTTCCCTACTCGATCTCTCGAGACTTGTACCGGAGTATCCGTTGCAGGTTCTACGTGGCAGCGAATGCAGACGATGCACAAGGAGGCCTGTTATCTTCGTTCGGAGTTAGCTAATAGACTCCACCAGGTAAAATTTCTTAGCAAACAAAATTTGTAGAGCTAAGTCAGACTGTTGAGCTTGAATAATTTTTGAATATCATAGGTGACTCAAATAATGGTAGAAGAAGAGGGGTAACATCATGTAGCGCTGCGTGGGGAGATCTGATGGTGTAGTCCTTACCTGGAAAAGTGAGTAGCGTCTGGGCTATCTGCTTATGTCAATGCTAAAGAAGCTGCAAGCTGTGATGGTATGCCCTGGGCCTTCTTCTGCAGAGTCCCCGGTGTACAAGGCCGATGATAGGAGCGAGCGGGACGATGTTGTGGCTTCCCGGCTGCCAGCCGCTCACTTGTCCCGGCGTGAGGACGCCCTGTCCATGAAGACGTGCCAAGGGGTGTGCGCAAGCAGCTTCGCCGCGGACTGCGTGTCTGGCCGAGAGAGTCCGGCAGTGGGTGTGCAAAGGTGTGCATCGCAGCGCAGAATTATTTCGAGAGGTTCTCGGTGGCCGAATTAACCCGCCCGACAGCGCATGGGCCCGCGGAAGCGCAAGAGAGAAGCAGCCCCACCAAGCAGGACCCCCCACGACAACAAGCAGATTCGGGCCTCAACTCCAACCACCACCGCCTGACACGACCAACTTTTGCTCCCTCCCCTCCTACTCTACCCTCATCACATCTTCAACCACAGAGCCGAATCACTCTCCCTCCGTCAAAATGGCCGGTGAGTATCGCACACTGCGCGCCGTCTTTGCCGGCGACGCGGCGCTAACATGACTGGACCGCAGACTTCCAGAACATCGCGAGTACGTACTTGGGGATCCTATCACACAGGCGCCTATCGCTGCATTTGATGCGACACTGTGGATGATCGGCGCAGCGAGCTAATGGTTGCGCAGCCCAGTTCGTCCAGTTCTACTACAAGACCTTCGATGAGAACAGGGCAGCGCTTGCGTCGCTTTACGTACGTCGGCTGGATACGCCCAAGGCTCTACGAGAAAATGGTCGCTAATGGAATGCGTAGCGTGACCACTCCATGTTCACCTTCGAGTCGAACGCTGTCCAGGGCACCGCCGGTATCGTGGAGAAGCTGACGGTAAGCATCGGTCGCAGGGCCCGTTGCGTGTCCCCACACTAACACAGTCTGCTGCAGAACCTTCCCTTCCAGAAGGTCGTCCACCAGGTTGCCACCTTGGATGCCCAGCCTGCCAGCGAGGATGGTAGCATCCTCGTCCTTGTCACTGGTGCTCTGCTCGTAAGTCCAGCCCATCGCCGCTAGGTTCTCCCGCTCTGACACACCTTCAAGGTCGACGAGGAGCAGCGCCCCATGAGCTACACTCAAGCCTTCCAGCTCCGCCCCGACGGCGCTGGTAGCTACTTCGTCTTCAACGACGTTTTCCGCCTCGTCTACGCCGCATAGATGGTTCTGAAAGCTCTGGATTTGGAGGACAGTAGCTAGGTCGGGTTACGAAGCAATGCGATACATGCAGTTGCAGAAATGTGCATGTAGGAGGCTAGTCATGACGGCCGTCGGAGGAGGGACTCTTGGACATACCCACATACCAATATGGACAACGCCACAACTAGCTCGTGAACATAGTGCCATTTGTGGTGTGCAAGGCGCCGAGCGGCTCCATACACGCTGCAGCCTGGAGCAGAGTGTGGCCGTGTCGCGGGCTGTGGAGCGTGCGGAGAAACGGGCTCAAAGACCCCTGGACCCCTGCAATCATGACGAGTGCCATTTAGGAATTTCTGATGAAAGCATTGACCGCGGTGCTGAAACGCGTGGTGATTGTTGCCTCGCTTCGTCGTGTTCGCGGTCTGTCTGCGATCCTTGTCAGGTGGCACTGCTCGGGACGCGACTGCCGTGGCTGAGTCTGAGCTGCTGCGGCAGGGTCTCGCGCTCCCGAAACAATCCATCGATTCGTATATCCAGGCCACAACAACACCTTCAACAACCGCGCTCCCCTTGCCTGTACGCAGTCCGCTCCCCACCCGCGCCCCGGCTGGCCTTCAACCTTCGCACCTTCACAGCACTCCGGCCATTCACAGCCACGCATCCATCCCTGCAGCAAGCGATCAGCATCTCGCACGGAGCCACAAAGATCGACAGCCAACGGTCGTCGCAACCCGAGCATCATTCCACGGTCGTCGCGCCGCCATCGCAACCGCAAGCATCGTTAGCCAGACATCATGACTTTCAGCGAGGAGCTCAAGTCCAGGAACTTCAGTGAGTCTTCCACGCAGTGCTGTCGCAGCTGAAGCGAGCGCTTGCTGACACGTTGAGCACAGGTATATACGGACAATGGTGCGTGCAATCCGACGCTTCTGCGACAATCGCCTCTTCCTTCGTCCTTTCTACCCAGGCTCGAGTCTCCTTTGCGATGTCACGTTAGAGGCGTCAAGGCAGCTGGATGCGCAGCAGGGCTCCCTGGCGGTGTGCGGGGAGCTGAGGAACTGCACTGGGGCGCACCGTCTATTGCCCCTGCTGCTCGAGGCGCGCGAAATACTTGGGGGATACAGTAGGCTGACAGCAAGACAGGACCGGCATACTGTGTGTGATTCTGTGCTTTGCCATGGGTATCGCCAACATCTTCAGCGGCTTCCCCACCATCATCTTCTCCATCATTTGCCTGTGAGTAACACAGCACCGCCCAGTCTGAGATCGGCCAAGAACACACCAACTAACGCTACCCCAGGGCATACGCGCCTATCATCTTCTTCGTAGAAGTAGCATTCCTGCTCAAGCTACCTATTTGGTCTGAGGGTTTCCGCAGCTTCTTCCGCCGTCTCCAGGAGAACTGGCCGCGCATTATCATGTACCTGGTCATGAGCGTTGTCCAGTGGATCAGCCTGGTTGGTGGAGCTAGCAGTTTGATTGTCCCGGCCGTCTTCCTCCTGTTCGCGGGCCTCTTCTACCTTCTCGCGGCGGTCAAGCACCAAGACTTCCAGAGCAGCAAGATTTTGGGTGGGCAGGGTGTTGCGCAGATGATCATCTGAGCGTGGGCGGGATGGCTGGGCTGTCACGCTCGCGTGACGGCGAGGATTGCAAGGCAACTGCGTGGCCACCAGCCAGGACGCAGCCAATGTAATTTTGGATTTGGATGCTCGACGGCGCGCGTCACATTACATGGTGATTGACGCGCTCCGGAGCGCGAGAAGTTTCATTGCTTGTGCGGTCCTATCCGTAGCAGGATCCAGGCGTTACTGAGTTTATATCCGGCAAAAGCCACAGTTGATAGGGAGGAGCTATGATACCTGCGCGGATTGTTGTCATACTTTTTTTTTGTTGTCGGTAATAATGCCTAGGGCGGAATGCAATTCCCATGGCGTTGAGTTCGAATCACATGGTGGTGCGTGTCACGACGGGGGAACGCAAAAATGTAGGACGCAACCCAACGCTCGACACGCCGCACGGCATGGGTGGTAGGGCGGAGGCGGTGACCCAGCAAGTATCGTGGCTAGCCCAGAAGCTTGGAAGTCAGCGCGTGCTCGGTCGCGGTGCTTGCAGGAGCGGCCACGAACGAGCGTGGCGCATTACTTCCTTGCTTGCTGGCGGGCGGCGGGCGGCGGGCGGCAGAAGGGGCGTGTGAGTGACGAGATGGGCATTCAGGAACGGGAGCTGGCCATCACGTGGGGGGGCCGGATCGCGGGGGTGGCGCTCGCGATGGTGGCATCACGATGAAGTGCAGAGCCTTCAGGGCGCAGCAAACTTGGCAGTGGGTCCAGCGGGCGTTCGCATCGTTCTCGAAGCGTTGAATGCGGGCGGCTTGACGACGCGATACGCGCCTGCGAATCAGAGGCGGGCCAAATGCTGTTGCGAATTGCCAGACGCTCACCGGCGGCGCTGAGGGCGGGCGTGTTCCATGCAAAATGCCGCAGGCCGACACGCCGGAACCAATGACGCTGCCGGTGCATGGGGTCTCGATCTGACGAGCACCCCAGCGGTCCCCAGCGGTCCCCAGCGGCCAGCGTCACAGCTAACTCGGCTTCACTTAAAGACAACGCCTGCCAACCCTGCAGCGCGTGCGCTGAGCTCTCACCTGTCTCTGCCCTCTCAACCTCCTCTGTTATCTGCTCCAGCTCTCCTATCTGCACCCATCCCGCCTTCGGTAAGTGCCCAGGCGCTTTGTCCCTCCCTTTCCTGCTGCTAGCTCCATGCATGCACCTGGCGCGCTAGAACCTGGCACCTGGCTCCCGGCCTGAGCCTGCACGAGGACACCGTCATCCTGTTACTTATGCTCGACGTTTGCTGACGGGATCTCACTCCCTCCTCTAGTATTCTTTTGCACACGCCGCTTCCACCTGCCAGCAGCACCACATACCCAGCATGGCTGCCCCATCGATACCGCAGCGGCCCTCTCGCTCCCAACAGAGCCAGAACGTGCCCACAATCACCGGCGACGTCCCCCAAATTCCTGCTCGCCCCAAACGCAGCATCGAGCGCTCCGTCTCACGCGACAGGGACACCTTTGCCCGTTCCCCGCTGAACGACCCCTCTTTCGTCAATGGCTCCAGCAAGGCCAGCAAGAGGCTCTCCGCTTCCGACCTCCCTCCTCGCCCCCCGAGCGTCACCCTGCCTTCGATTGGCCAGGAGGGCAGCGAGTACGCGAGTCTCGAGACTCCCCCCGCCGACGAGAGTGCCCCGAGAGAGACCCGCGACGCCGAGGGCCTGAAACTGTACGCCCCTACCGCAGAAATGCCTCGGTCAACAGCTCGCTCGAGGATTGCCGCCGTCACTCGCACCGACTCGCAACAGGCAGCTGCCGCTGGCTTCGGAAGAGCTCCTTCGCAGGAAACCGAGCGCCACACGAGGAACAGCTCGTCCACTGGCCGCCGCTCTCGCCCGCAGTCTCTCTACAACAACGGCGACGAGGAGCACGGAATCCCTGAGATTGGTCTCCAGGTGCCCATGTATCCCAATGCTGGTGACGTCCAAGCACCCACGCCATCGAACAATTCGAGTATGCCTGCCACCGGCGTCGGCTTCTTCAACAGCGGAGGACAGAGGCACCACGCCCGCACCAAGAGCGGCCACGAAATCTTCCACGGCCCTCCGGGCAGCTACGGTCTCCACGGACATGGCGTCAAGCCGCAAGACGATTTCGAGAGACAGTGGTACGCCAAGCATCCTCACGATGCGGCCCGCGAGGCTCAGGGCGAGTACGGCCCGGCTATTCGCGTCAACAGGAAAGAGTGGGCTCTGAGCAGTGAGGAGCTCAACAAGATTGTTCAGGAAACCGCCACAAAGGGCGTAGGCATGGGTAAGCTATTGCTAGCACATTAGGTCGACCGCGACCTTCGGCGAACTAATAGTCCAATCAGGTGCGTCCCCCGGCGCAATTGGTACCCCTGCCGAGGAGATTGGCTACATGGCCTCGGAAGAATATGCTTCCCGCATGGCCTCGCCCCAGCCGCCGTCGTCGTCGAAGGCTCCCAAGGAGCGCAAGACTAGCTCGCAGACGCACCTCGAATCTCCTCTCCGCAAGACGAGCTTCCCTGAAAACGTCATGGACAAGGACTCATCTGCCATTGAAGCTGACGAGGACGACGTGATCCACATCCACCCTCCCACCAACGAGCGGAGTCGTATCCACGGCGGTGGTCCTGAAGCTGAGAATTTCGCCCCTGGTGATGGAAGCACTAATGCCGATGATGGCTTCGTTACTGAGGAGGGCGGACGCACGCCCATTCTGGCCTCAGATGAGTTGCAAAGGCACAAAACCCCTGGTGCTGAGTACATGCAGCCTGCCGTGCCACCTGAACTTGAGCGTGAGCGCAGGCTGAGCCAAGAAGCTGACAACTACCACCGTCGCTCCACCAGTCGCCCTAGCCGACCCACTAGTGGCATTGGTTTTTCTCGCATGAAGAGCGAGGAGGATCGCAATGGCACGCCTCTTGACAACGTGAAGGAGTATGAGCCGCTGTTCCCTGACGAAGATGAAAGGAAGCCTGCAGACAAGCCGGTCACGGCTGTCGACAAGCTCAAGCGTCCTGACCTTGCCCGCCACCATTTCCCTAGCCAAGATGTCTGGGAGGATACCCCGAGTAGTTTGCAGCTCCAGACCGAGGTTGAGACGCCTGAGGCTCCTGACGAACCGCAGTCGGCCACTACCTCGATGCAGTCTTCTCAACTCTTTGAGAAGCCGGAAGCAGAGCAGGAACGTAAGGAGGAGGCTGCTCCCAAAGAGGAAGAGGAGAGCAGCTTCCTCGCAGATCACCAGAAGCACCACAACAAGTCTCACTTCAACAAGGATGTTCTCGGCGACATGCCATCTCGTCCTGGCATGCAACACAGATTCCCTAGTCAAGATATCTGGGAGGATACTCCGAGCGAGCTTCAACTCGTGACGGAGGTCCACGCTCCTCAGACTGATGAGACAGAAAGCCCGGTGGAGTCCAAGCCTGCGGCCGAGCAGCGTCCCCAGGTTCCCGCCCGCCCCCATGTTCCTGCTCGGCCAGCAGGCCGCTCGAAGCTTGGTGAAAGCCAAGAGGCCTCGCCGGTCGATAAGAAGGCCCCCGTGATTCCTGAGCGCCCGAAGCCGCAGCTTCCGGCTCGCCCGGCCAAACCCAACCACAAACCTTCTGACGAGCAGGTGCCCCTTTCAAAGGTCGGCTCCCAGGGCAGCACTGGTAGTGAGGGTGCTCCTGCAGCAAAAGCCAAGCCCCCGGTGCCCTCTCGGCCTGCTGGTGGCAAAATCGCAGCACTGAAAGCTGGCTTCTTGAGTGACTTGAACAGCCGCCTCCAACTTGGACCCCAAGCCCCGAAGCCCGAAAAGAAGGAGGAAGAGGAGGAAGAGCCGAAGGAGAAGGCGCCTCTTGTGGATGCTCGCAAGGGCCGTGCCAGAGGACCGGCCCGCAGGAAACCTGCGGCATCTTCATCTGCAGCGGCTGCCGCAGCTCCTGCAGAGGCGAAGAAGGAGCAGACGCTGTCCATTGGCACCATTCAAACTGTGTTTTCAATCTCGGACGATGGCGATGTTGATGTACCCTCATCGGTCTCTGCTAAGGAGACTGAGACGAACAAGGAAGAGCTCCCAACAGCTGCAGAAGAGTCTATTGCTACCCAGGTTCCCGCTGACCCCAAGCCCGCTCCTAGCGACGATCCAGCTGAGCCAGAGCTCGAGCCCCAAATCCCTAAGGCGGGCGAGATGGAGGCCACGCAGGTCGAATCGACCCCCGCTGCGGAGGAAGAAAAGGGGCTGGAGCTAGAGCCCACAGAGACGAAGACTTCTGACTCGGCGGTGCAGACTGGTCAGCAGGATATCGTGATTCCGAAGGAGGAGGGCGGTGCAGAGAAGCTTACTGCTTATCTGGGCGGCAGCGCTCTCGAGGAAGGAAACGTTGTCGTGAAAGAGAACGCTGAGGCTGTTGAGAAAGCGGATGACAAGCATGAGGCAGAGCAGACTGGCGCTAGCGTTTGAGGCGGTAGAGGAAGATGGGGTTGCATAATGATAGCGGGTGCAATGTGATAAAAAAAAAGGCATTAGTGCCATGGAAAGTTTGAGGGTTCGGTGCAGAATAGATCTTAATCGGTCGGTCTCTGATACTCAAAATATGTTCCTTGGCTCATTATGCATATTGCTGGAACGGTGCGTGACAAATTTGATTGACCCCAGATGGTTGGAGCACAATCGCATGGCGGTGCCTCAGACACTCTCGTCGTCTCTACCGAAGACGAGGAGAACGTGTCTGAAATTGTGGCGAAGGTCGCTGACTGGGATAACCTTGAAGAGGAGGACGTGGTGCTGAACTATATGAAGACAGAGAAAGAGAGAGAGAGGTACAGATGAGTGAGCGTGGTCGGGCAATTGTTGTCTCCCTTAGTGTACCATTGATGAATGGCTTGCCAAGCGGGGGACTTTTAGACTTGGGCCCGGTTCACGGTCACTGTTCTACGTATAAGCCACGGATCCATTTGTTGATCACTGTCAATTAAGGTACAGAAGGCGTTCACTTCCTGAAACTTGAAGTATACTAGATCCATTATCAGAAAGTAAGTGACAGCCGCCGACTGGAGATCAGAGACGGATACATAATCGGCAACACTACATGATCGAATCGACGCTCCCCATCCTCCCAGCGCACCTTCAATTCTCCTCCTTCTCACTCCTCCACAGCGACACGCGGCAGGTCCGGGAAGTTCGGGGTATCAGCCGGCACCCCGCCCGCCGCGCGCGACACGGGCAGCCAGTTCTGCACGAACAAGCTGGTCCGGTCGAACACTCGTTCCAATCCCGTCAGTACAGGAAAAGCGGCGGCGGTACTACTTCGCTGCTGGGCTTCCTCGATGAGCATCGACGGCAACGCCTCCATCCGGGCGACGGCCTCGTCCGCGCCCTCGCCCTCCACCCTCTCGCCGACGAGGTGCGTCGCGACGAGCCGCTCGGACGGGGCGTGCAGGAGCCAGAACGCTGCCGTCGCCGTCTGCTCCCGCGCCGCGGCGAGGAGGGCGGGGTAGATTTCTTTTAGTGCGTGGGCTACGTCGGTGCTGCTGCTGCTTCTGCCATCTTCTTCTTCGCCCTCGGCGTCGATGGCGTAGGAATAGTGCTGCACGCGGCTCAGGGCGTGGCGGGCGGGCGGGGCGAAGTTGTGGGCGCCGACGACGTCCCATGACCAGCGGCGGGCGTCGCGGAAGAACGGGCGGTCCCAGAAGAGGACGCCGGTTGTGGGGTCGTGGTAGGTGTGGGTGGTCCAGTGGGCGAAGGCGTCGCGGGCTTGGGGCGTGGTGAAGAGGTAGGCACCGCCGGTGAGGAGGATTTCGTTGTTGGGGGACGAGGAGGAGGAGGAGGAGGAGGAGGAGGAGATGCGCGCGGGGACGTATTTCAGGTACATGCCTGTTTCGGCGAGGGAGGCGCGGGTGTCGCTGTCGTAGTCCATCATGGCGCGCCGGTCGAGCTCGAGGAAGTTGAGGAAGGACTGGAGGGAGTTGCCGTAGTCGTCGGCGTGCATGGTGAAGGCGGAGGTGAAGGCGGAGGTGACGGGCAAGGGGCCGGTGGTGTAGCCCAGGATTTTGGGGGAAGCCATATTGACTTCGTTGTTTTTCTTCTTGTTCTTGGAGGTTCTTTGACTTGGAGATGATGCGGTGGGAGTGGAGCGAAACTAAGTTAAAGTTTCAGTGTCAACTGCACTCAACTCGAGTTCTGCAGCGTATTTATGAGAGACAGATTCCCCTCTTTCATCGAGGCGATGGCGTCTAGAACGAATTTATTTCCTAAACGTTGTTTGTCAGGACGACAGTAGGTAAGCTGACGCTGACAAGTTGGCGTTGTAAGTGTCGGCATCCTACCGGGTCTCGCCAGCATCCCGCGGACTATTAAGGCTGCTGACGCCTTCTTCGTCTGGGGTTTTCTGAATCCCTTTGATCTGTCTTCTTCACGTAGCTCGGAGAGAAAGTGGCATCCCGCTAGCCGCCGAATCGGAACTTCCGCTGTACGGAACCCGGTTGTGGCGCTAGCTACCTCGGGAAAGAGTATTGGAACCGCCACAGCCGGCAACACTAGTAGAATCCCTTGCACCTTCAGCCAAAAAGATGAAGGAAAGGACCAGGCCGATGGGGAGTCGGACGAAAGCCGGTCCTGGTGCTGACGTGAGGCGGGCTGTGGGTGTAGTAGTAGGTAGACGATGGACTCCAACATCAAACGCCTACGCGCGAAAGATGCCGCTTTGGTCAGTAGCTAGGCTGCGTGCATCCTAGACGAAGCAGATCCTGGCGCTTGGCACGGTGGTGAAGCCATCGGATGCCGAAGACGAATCTTTCAAGCTCCCGGACGCGCCTTCCCCGCACACTCGGATGACGTAGGTAGATAAGCGAAACGCTAGGTGCAGCTCTTTTCTCGCGAACACCACACGTCAGTCCAATGTCTCCAACCATCGGTCATCATGTTTCGCTCCACGACGCCATTGACGAGGCCTCTAAGGCAAGGCTTGACGCCAACTCCCAAGTCAAGGGTGTCGTATCCACGGTCAAGGTCAATGCAGCAAGCTGCCAGACCGGTGAAGCCAGCATTTAGTTATGCCTGGGCAGCTGGCGGCCTTGTCCTACTCGGGGCAGCCACAACGTTCCTCGGATATAGGGCAGGCATCAACCACGCTACGCCGCTGCCTCCGCCCGTCACGTCTGCTGCGAAGCCACTGTATGCATCGAGAAAAGAGATGGAGGAGGCGATAAATGAGTTGAAGGCTACTCTTGGACACGAAGCCATTAGCACCGATCCGGACGACCTACATCGCCATGGCTATTCAGACTGGTCCACGACCAATGTTGACACGCTGCCAATAGCTGTTGTCTATCCTAAGTCAACCCTAGACGTTTCGAGCGTTGCCAGAGTCTGTCACAAACACAAGATCCCCATCATCCCCTACTCCGGCGGCACCTCCGTAGAAGGCCAGTTCACCGCACCTTTCGGTGGTTTCAGTCTCGACTTCGCCCACATGGACAGCCTCCTCGCCCTCCACGATGACGACCTCGACGTCGTGGTCCAGCCCGCGGTATCGTGGATGGAGCTCAACGACCGCCTCGAACCCGCGGGGCTCTTCTTCCCTGTCGACCCAGGGCCAGGCGCCCGCATCGGCGGTATGGTCGGTACCAGCTGTTCAGGCACCAACGCCGTCCGCTACGGCACCATGAAGGACTGGGTTGTCAACCTCACCGTCGTGCTCGCCGACGGCCGTGTTATTAAGACGCGCCGCCGCCCTCGTAAGACGGCCGCCGGTTATAACTTGACTAGTCTCTTCGTCGGCGCCGAGGGCACTCTAGGAATCGTCACCGAGATCACCCTGCGCCTGACGGTGCTCCCACAGCAGACCAGTGTCGCCGTCGTCACTTTCCCCACTATCCGCGACGCGGCCGCCGCGGCGTCGCGGGTCATACGCGCTGGCGTGCCCGTCGCCGCCATGGAAATCATGGATGACGTGCAGATGGGCGTCATCAACAAGGTCGGCGCCACGAGGCGCAGGTGGAAGGAGGTGCCAACCGTCTTCTTCAAGTTCTCCGGCACTGAGGCGGGCGTTAGGGACAACATCGATTCGGTCAGGGCCATCGCGAAGGCGAACGCGGGCGGCGATTTCCAGTTCGCCGCGAACAAGGCGGAGCAGGCGGAGCTGTGGAGCGCGAGGAAGGAGGCGCTGTGGAGTATGTTGGCCCTGAAGGGGGAAGATGAGGAGTTGTGGAGCACGGATGTGGCTGTGCCCTTGAGTCGATTGGCGGAGATTATGGGTGAGTCTTTGGTTTTCCGAGCGAAAGAGTTGAGGACTGATGCATGTCGACTTTGCAGAGGAGTCGAAAAAGGACATTGCCGGACTTGGTATGTTCGCGTCGATGCTCGGGCATGTCGGGGACGGCAACTTCCACTCGGCAATCTTTTACAAAAAGAACGATCCGGAGCAGGTGGACAAGGTCAAGCGGGTCGTGTACAAGATGGTCGACAAGGCACTCGAGATGGAAGGCACGTGTACCGGCGAGGTCAGTTACAAAGAAGCTTCTTCGACGATCGTCTGGATACTGATTTTTTTTTTCTTGCAGCACTCCGTCGGGTTGAGCAAGAAGGCCTCGTTGGTGAAAGAACTCGGTCCGGAAACCATTGGCGTCATGAGGGAATTGAAGCGCGCTCTAGATCCTTGTTCGCTCATGAACCCAGGCAAGATCTTTGACATTTGAATAGACATCTCTTCGACGTTTGTCTATGCTTACAGGCTGTATCTGAACTCCAGGTTTTCTCGATCCGTCAGATCCAAGAACTCGACATTCTCCCGGTGACGAACAGCTAAACGGTGCCGCCTCTTGTTCTCCCGGAGGTAGTAAACGCGCAAGAGGATGATGACAAGAATGGAGAAGACGTCAGCCACGATGATGGCGATCTTGGCAGGCATATACTCGGGCTCGTCTCCATCGCGGAAGGTCAGGGGCCCGATTATGTTGCCCAGGCAGAAGCTGATCAACAGCACAGCATTCATGGTCACCTTCTTGGTGTGGCCGGCGATGTTGGCCGAGACGTAGGCGTACATGAGCGGCAGGCCAGCCACGATGCCGTTCATGATGTAAATGCCGATCAGCCTGCCGACTTTGTCCTCAGCGGGCAAAAAGGCAATCAAACAAGCTCCCAGCACGCCCATCAGCTGCGTCGCAACGGCACACGGACCCCTTTGGTCAAAGCGGCCCGCGGCGTACGTGGCCAGCAGGACGGACACAATGATGACGGCGCCGGCGGGGATGCTCAGCAGGGCGGTCGTCTTGCTGTCGTAGCCGAAGCCCTTGATGATGGTGGCCTGGAAGCTGCTGGTGGCGGCGTTGGGGATATTGCTGGCAACAGTCGCCAGCGCGAGCAGCCAGGTCTGGGGGTCGACAAAGCACTCGCGCGCCTGAGCCGGCTTGAAGCGCACATTCTCGATGCCCGTCTGGTTCTCCCGCAGCCGCTCGACAGCCCACACCTTCTCGGCGTGCGTCAGGCCGCGCGCACTCATCGGGTTGTCCGGCAACAGCAGCACGACTAGCAGGCCGACGGCCACAGTGACGATGCCGACTACAAGAAACATGATCTGCCAGCTGTTGAAAGTGCGCGACGAATAGTGCTGGAAGCCGAACGACAGCAGCGCGCCGACGACGGTGCCCACGCCGGTACCCAGATACCACAATCCAACCCGCCACGGCTGCTCGACCCGCTTCTTGTACCACATGCCCGTCACCAGGATCAGGGCGGGTGCCACGGCGCTCTCGAAGACGCCGAGCAGCACCCGTGTGGCGACCAGAGCGCCGTACGTCTTGCATGCCGCCGTCGCCGCCACGGCCGTGCCCCAGAGAGAGACCATGGCGCCGAGATACTTGGCTGTTGGCAGGCGTTGCATGGCGTAGCCGTGCGGGAACTCGAAGGCCAGGTACGAGGCGTAGAAGATCCAAGCCAGGGTTGAGAATTGGTCCGTGGTGATGGACGCGTCTTCGTAGAGGCCCATGACGGCGGCATAGTTTACTGATTCGGGAGGAAGACGTCATTGGCATTAGCATTTTGTCCTTTGTTCTTTTTTTCTTTTTCCCTTTTTTGATAACTCACTCAGCGTCTTGTCCAGGTACTGCAGACAGTAGCAGCACCACATGAGCGGGATAATCATCCGGTCGATCTTGCGCACCAGCGCGTATTCGTCGACGACACAAGATAAGTCGTGCGCTGTCAGTGCGGTGGCCTCGGCGGCGAGGAATCTTAGCGCTTCGTCGCCGTCGATGCCGTCTTTTGGTTTGGCTTTTGTCTTGTGGTCGTCGTCCTGCACCGAATGCGCTTCCAAGTCTTGCTTGGAAGGGTCTGAAGCCATTTTGTTTACGGAAACAATGGAGGAGAGGTGGATTATCTCGCATGCACGGGAGGGAGGAAAAGTCGATTTCAGTTGGATGAAAGATGGGCAGCGGTACTGACAAAAACAAAAACAACTCTCGACATGACGATGAAGCTCACAGGTAACCCCCGGTCTTTCTCCCCACTTCTGTCCGCCGATGTGGGGATCTGAGGTCTTATCAGCGGCTCACGCTTTTGTCACCGAATGTCTGTCTTTATCTAACAGTCGCGATAGTCGGAGTCCTATCCTTACTTGACGATCGACAGAACAGCACTGTGGATCTCTCCAGTACGTCATCAGAACGAGAAAAGATGCGCAGGCCTAGCCCGATCGAGAAGGTGGTTGTCACCGGGTGTGTTGCGCATCTAACTGAAAGACAGGGCGATCCCGCTTTGCGCGAGTACTTTAATCAAGCCTCGAGTGCATTCGAGCCGCGCCGGCAGCTTGTCCATCCAGAGGCCAGTGGAGATGCGTATCTCGCTCAGTTCCGGACAGCAGATCCGGCTGTGCTCGGCGAGCGCGGCGACGTATGCAACCACCCGCTTCGCTTCGGAGCTCGGCCGCAGCGTGCCATAGTCGCCCCAGCAGAAGTCGAAGTCAAGCTTGAGGGTGAGTTGCTGGATGGTGGGAGGCAGACGCGTGCAGAGCGGCGGATCAGCAGGATCGTGCAGGCCGTCGAGACGGACAAAGTCCGTCAACATGCGCAATGGGATGCTCAGCCGGCGCAGCTTCGCAAAGGTCTGGAACGCATCTTCCTGGAGCGCCTGCCCCACCCAGCAACCGCCCTGATCAGCGATGTCGATGTTCAAGTCTTGAAGGGAGTGCTCGACGGGCCACAGAGCTTCTCGTGTCTTGGTGGAGCTCATCGCCCCCGAGTCGTAGGCGTAACTATTCAACCCGTCTGCCAGGTCCATTTCAAAGCAGAGCACCTGCAGCTGCTTGGGCCAGCTCAGAAGGTGTGCGATCTCCGGGCTCACGGGCCCGCACTGGCTGAAGCTCAAGCTCGTCACATTGGACGTGCCGGGCTGGCGGCAGCGGTCGGGCACATCACACGTCAGGCGAAGCATTTGGAGCAGCCGCACCCGTCTCAGAGAGGGGATCTGGAACAGCCTCAGCAACGCCGAAAAGTCCGGGTCGTTGTGCAGGCAATCGGTGACGGGAATGTCCAAGGACGTCAGGCGGTCCGGTACGCCAAAGGGGACGGTCGAGTCCAGGCGCGGGATGGAGAGATGCAGGTTTCGGAGGACGGCCGATCCCGCCAGCAGGGCTGCCGTCTCCCTCACGAGCTCGTTCAGTCGCGTCTCGTCGCCGGTCTCTGCGCGTTCGGGCTCCTTCCAGCAGTAGGCGGTGCCGTTGTTGGTCCAGCACAGGCGCGCGTCTTCGACGGCGGACCGCCAGCCCGGCCAGGCGGAAAGAGAGCGTCGGAAGGCTGACAGGTTGCGGATGCGTGTCCCAGAGTATTTTGTTTCATCATCATGTCTGCTGCCGTGGCCGAAGTAGAGCGAGCGGTAAAGGTGTTTGCGCGCCTCTCTGTGGCAGCCGTGGGAGACGAGCGCAAGCATTCTCAACGTCTCGGACGGGCAGTGCCGCATAATGTTCGCCCACAACTCCACGGGGAGGATCGGATCGCCATTGCGAGTCATGTTGGCGAAAGGTTTGTTGAAGGATGACCGAGAGAGGATGGAGCAACGTTTAAACGTTCGCGCTGGACCCAGCTGAATAAACGACGCTAAGCGCCGGCCAAAATTTCACTTTTGACCTTCTGCAGAGCACTACATGGGCACCAGATCTATAGACTGTTGGTGCTTGGACGAAATATGGTATCCTGTAAGTCTTAGTGATATTAACACGTGGAGGGATGCATAGCTCGATTAAGTAAGGCCTTTACCTCTTTTTACCGCGGTTCAAAACACCATATTAACTTTTTCTTCTTCCCAGCTAGATGGGAAGAGGGATTCTAAGAAGATGGATATATACAAAACGACATCGAACTATCTACAAGACCAAACCAAACTAAAAAAAAAAACACGACTCTCTAGAGCATACGTAAATATAGAAACAACATAAAACAAGGATATAAGACAAAAATAAAAAGTATCTCGATGGATACCAAGCAGGAACGCTCATCCGATAAGTGCAATCTGAAAGTTTGGACAAGCATCCACCGCCGCCGTACCTGGAGTTGTTTTTTTCTTTTTTCTTTTTCACTCCATCATGTTCTTGAACTCTTCAGCCATGTCTTTGACCAACTGCTCTGCCTTGGCAAGATCCAGCATCTCAACATTGCAGAAGACACCCATATCCAATCTGCCTCCCCTGATGGTGGCTTCCACATCGAGCGAATGCTGCAAAAAAAAAAACCGTTAGCAAAAGTTCCGCCGCGCGTGTAATGGAGGGCGCGCCGGGGCTTTTCCGAACCAACTTACCATATAAGCACCGCCAACCGCGTCACCATTCTTCAGCTCCGCGGGCACCTCAAAGCGCCCAGGTTCATCGCTACTATTCTCCACCCTGCTCCACCCCTCCTTCATCCCCGCATCCTCCACCTCCCGCACCCTCACGCCAGCCCCAGTCCCAGCCCCGTCTCCTTCTTCGCTCTCGGGCAACTTCAAGAAATTCACAAACGAATCCACCCTCACGCCCGTCCAGCGCTCGACCTCCCACAGCCCGGTGCCGGCAGCGACCTCGACGGCGTCCCCGATGGTCCGGAGGTCCTCTTGGATCGCCCTGGCCGACGCGAAGACGCTGCTCTTGTCGCCGCCGAGGGGCGCGCGCACGCGCAGCGGCACGAGGTTGACCGTCGGCGCGGGGGCGTCGGCGAGGCCGTCGATGGCGTGGGAGCGGTTGGCGAGCCAGATGCCGAACACGACGTCTCCGTCTTTCCCGGCGGCGACCAGGCGCGCGTAGATGCGCGCGTACGCGGCCAGGAAGAGGGACTGCATGTTGATGCCCTGCTTCATCGCGGCGCTTTCGAGCGCGGCCAAGGAGGAGGAGGAGGCGGACGACGGAGACGAAGACGAGCCGCCGCAGATGTCGGGCTTGAAGACGCTGGCGCGGCCGGGGCGAGCGGAGCGGGGCTGTTGGAGCCCCGTGGTTGGAGACGCGACGGCGTCCTTGAGGTAGTTTGACCAGAAGTCCTGACGCTTGGATGCGGCGGCCGGGGATGCGGATGCGGCGATGAGGGCGGGGAATGCCGTCGTCGTTGTCGTCGTCGTCGGAGGTGTCATCGGAGGTGTCATCGGCTTCGACGAGCTCCGGTTGCACAGGCGTTCGAATTGCCGCATCAGGATCGGGAGACTGACGCCGTCGTAGAGAGCGTGGTGGAGCTTGACGGTGAGAAGCCAGCCATCATGCTGCTTCTGAGCGACGAGTCTGGCGAAGGGCTGCCTCGTGTTGTTCGACGGCATCGGCTCCCGACTTTGCAGCGGCGGCTCGCGCTCGTCCTCTGCGTACCGGCTCAGCACATTCTTGAACCTTTGAGATACCTTGCGGATCAACTGTCTGGTTCTAGAAGTGCTTCTCTTCTTCTGGAGCCTCTTCGGACTTGGTGGCGTTGGGGTGTAGGTGTTGATAGCTTGGAACCCTTGCTCTGCCTTTCTTAAGACGACCTGGAGGAATGGCGTCCCCTCGTCTCCAGTGGCGACCATCATTGTTCGGAGGATAGTGTTGGTAGAAACAAGGGCAGTCCAGGCCTCGCGAAGACGTTCCTCGTCAACCGTGTCCTTGATGTGGTACTTGAAACCGGGGAAAAGGATTGATCCCTCCGTCTTTTGCCAGACGGATAACATGAAGACTTGACCCGATGTGGCTGGCATGACCTGTTCGACATTGCTAGAAGAGATCTTGGCATCATTCAAGATAGCTTCCACATTGAGCGGCAGCAAGACATCCTGCAGGACCTTGGCCGGGTCGGTCTCGGGCGTCGTGGTAGTGGCCGGCTGCCGACCCTCAACGATGCGCGCCATCTTCTCGACAGTAGCCGCGCGGAGCATTTCGCTGACGCTGAGCTTGATTGACCTCTTCTTCAGCAGCGAGGATACCTTGATGGCGCTGATCGAGTCGAGGCCCAAGTGGAATATGGTCAGCTCCTTTGTGATTTCCAGCTCCGGAACCTTTGAAACTGCGGAAAGAACTTCGCGGATCGTCTTCTCGGTCTCTGTCCACTCAGTCGAAGTAGTGATGCCATTGACGGCAATTTTGTCGTCTTCGACGTCGCTGCTTTCGGCGGAAATGTCTCTGAACGAAGGTAGACCGCAAACCGAAGCGCCACTGTCACTGTATGAAACGGCGCCAGCATCCGGCGAGGCGATGATACTCTTCATGACCATATCGACGCGGTTCAGAAGCTCTTCGGAACCAGCCTCATCGAACACGTTCGACTTGCAGGCCGTGCGCCAGACAAGCTCATCCCCCACGGCTTCCATCTCGACAGCCACGGGGTACTCGACATCGGCGGCGCCTCCAATCGACTCATAGAGCGCATCAGAGGTGGTTTGGTTGTCGTCGCCAGGTCGAGTTTGGAAAATGAACAGCGTGTCGAAGAGGGACTTGCCGCCCGTCTCTGCCGCAGCTTTGGCCTTGCGGAGCGGGTAGTGCTGAAACTGCCTCATGGTGCTGATGTTTTCTTGCATGTACCTCAGCATCTCTTTCCTCGTGCCGTGTATGATGGACCTGACGGCCACCGTGTTCATCGTTGGGAACATGACATCCTCCGCTTCCTGGCTGTCTCTTCCAGACAGGACCACGCCGAAAACGAGATCCAGTCTGCCGAGGTAGGAGGACAGAACAAGCGACCAGCACGTCTGGCCGAGGGCTTGGAGAGTGATGCCCGCATTCTTGCAGAAGGAGCGGAGAGTGTCAACAGGAACAGATCCCGTATGCTCCTTGCGGTGAACCTGCAATCCGGTGCTGAGATCCTGCACGCGGCCTTCTGACAGAAGTCCGCTCGGCGCTCCGCCGAGGAAGTCGCGCCAGAAGCTTGCGGCCTTCTCTCCAGAAGCATTCAGGATGTCTTCGAGGACATGATCGTATGCAGGCCGGGCATTGACATCGCCGGCATATGCAGCTTGTACATCGCGGTGAAGAAGGCCCAGGGACCATCCATCATACAGCGCGTGCGCGATGGACAGAGCAATGTACACGTCCGACTTGCATCGGATGACGTTGACCTGGAACAGCTCTGCCTTGGTGCCCTTTTCGGCAGTTCGCGCCCTGATCGTGTCCAATATGGCGTCGATGTCTTCCTGAGAGGCAGCCTCAATCTCCCCGATGGTGAGATCCTGAGCCTTGTGGACGACCTGTGCGAAAGACAGATCAAGGTCGGGATCATCCACCTCTTCGAACGTCGTGCGAAGGATGGCTGAGCTACGGTATATGCTCGCCCACGCCTGCTTTGTTTTCTCAACATCGACCCCAGGCGCAAGTTTCAAGACGTCGTGGTTGAAGTAATGGTGGAACTCTGACGAGAACATTTCTGCAACCATGGCTTCCTGCAGAGGAGTAGCCGGCAGGATCCGCTCCACGTTTTCGCCACCTTTACTTCCAGTGCTGCGGAAATGCTCCGTGAGCGTGGTCTGCTGGGAGTCGAGAGTGGCACCTGGAGTAGCAACCTGGCTATCGGCAGTCTTCTCAGTGACCTCCTTGGCCATTCTCGGAATCGTCAAACTGCGCATGATCTGGCTGACGGGCAGATTGATTCCGCTCTTCTTGAGCCTTGAGGAGAGCTTGATGGCATCTATACTGTCCAAGCCGAACTCGAAGATGGTGGTGTGCTCATCGACCTCGGAAGGCTCGGTTCCTGCGAGAGTCGCGATCTCTTCCTGCAGACGGCGGGCCACAGGCGTCCATACAAAGCCTTCGACGCCATTCAGATGGCCGTTTGCGTGTCCGTTGACGCCGTTGACGTGAGCTGGACCGGATGAGTGGATCTCGCCGACCGTGTCCGAGACGAGCGCCTCGGGGTTCTCAAGCAGATTTTGGAGCGCAGTCTGGAACTCTTCCAACAGGATGGCCAAAGTCCCATGATCGGCGACTTGGCCTTGAGCTACGATGGTCAAGCCCAGAGATCCATTTTGCTTTTGCTCCACTTCAAGCGCAAGTGGATAATCGGCTTCGGGTTGGTCCTCCAGCAATGACCACAAGGATTTGTCAGGATCACCATCCTCAAGCTCCTTTTGAAAGACGAAGAGAGTATCAAACAATGGCTCGCTAGGGGCCCGCTTAGTCCACTTCATGATGTCGCGAAGTGGAGTATGCTGATACGGGAGGGCCGAGATATTGAAAGCATGGCACCTGCGCACGACCTGGCTCCATTTGTCGTCCTTGGCAAAGTCGAGATGGAAGGGAATGGTGTTGAACATGGGTCCGATGGTGCCATCAGCCCCTTCAAAGTCAATTGACCGGCCAGAAACGACCATGCCAAGAGTAACAGCACCGTCAAAGTGCTTCTGCAGAACAGATGTCCAAGACGCTTGCACCAATGCCTGGTGCGTAACATCGAGCTTCCTTCTGGTGCTTTCGAACGACTCCAGATCCGTGAGGGTGGCGTTGATCGTGACGTCCTTGTCTTGTGGGTGGGCAGTAAGGCTAGGCATGATACAACTCCGAGCAGTGGACAGATGGCCAGCCCAGAATGATGGAGCTTCAGGCATAGACCTCAGCGGTCCGTAGGGCAGCACCTCCAAAAAGGCAGGGCCGAAGTCGACTTGGTGTTCTCCCTTGTATTCGGCCTCGACCTTCTGGAGAAGCATCGGAAGGCTGGCACCATCATACACTACGTGCATGATGTGGATCGATAGAATCTTCTTGCTGGCAGAGACAGTGGTGACAAGCTCGAAGGGTCTCATGAGCTTGTCTCTGTTCTGCGACCACCACTTAAGCTTCCTCATGCCGAGGTAGTCGTCGATCTCGTCGGGATTCGTTACCGGGGTCTCGACCCAGGGTAGTTGCTGACCTCGGAGAATGACCTGGATGTAGCCGTTATCCGTAGGGATGAATCGTGCACGCAGAATCTGGATAGACTCGTACGCTCTTTCCCAAGCTGCACGCAGCTTGGATAGATCGACATCTGAAGAAAGCTCAAACTTGAAAGTCGCAAAGTAGACGGGCTTGTCGCTCTCTAGGGACCGCGAGATGATACCCTGCTGGAGCGGGGAACAAGGAGCAATGCCTTCGATAGCATCCTGCCTCACGCCGAGTGCACGCGCTGCGATGGCCTTGTATTGATGTTGGCATGCAGAAATATCCCGTTTCGCTGCTTGGATGGAAGCTCGGTCCGCTCCAGAATCCTTTGAAGCGAGAGCCTTCGCAAGGCGACTGACGACAGGGTTCTTCATGATGACCGAAGCCTGGGCGTTGCGGAAACCAGCCTTCCTCAGCGCACCAGCAAAGCCAATGACGGAAATCGAGTCAAGGCCAAGCTCAAAGATGCTGGAGTTCCTCGAAATGTCGCTGTCATCTACCGACGCCATTGACGCAAGCACCTCAGCAACCTTCTTCTCATCGGCAGTAGATAGAGCACCACCCTCCCCGGAGGATGTTGAGATGGCTTGAAGTTGCTCGGGGCTGAGTTCTGAGTAGAGCTGCTTGAGTTGCTTGCCATCGGCCTTGTTGTTGGCCGAGAGTGGCATCGACGTGAGCGGGATGAAGTGAGTAGGAACCATGTACGCCGAGAGCTTCGAGCGGCACGCTTCCGCAGTCACCTGCATGGCCTCCTTTCCAACTTGACTGACGGCAGGCTTTTCCTTCCTGACCAAGGTCGACTTGGTAACGACGAAGCTGACAAGCTGGTCCTTTTGCTGCTTGGGATGCCTGAGCACAAGGGTGGCAACATCCAGAACCTCGGCTTCGGATTGGTTGATGACGCTGTTGATCTCGCCTATCTCCAAGCGCTGGCCACGGAGCTTCACTTGATCGTCCGCACGGCCCAGGAAGTCGAAAGAACCATCGTGTAGAATTCGCACCAAGTCGCCTGTACGATAGACCTTCTCATCAAACTCCTCAAGGTAAGGGAACTTGTCGTTGGTGAGATCAGGGCGATTGAGGTATCCCTTGCCGACCAGTTTTCCGGAAACACAAAGCTCGCCGACGGCACCACGCATGACCGGGATGCTTGTATTAGGCCTGAACACGAAGGAGCCGACATTGTCGAATTGCGGCCCAATGTTGGAAGGCTTGCCGTTGTCTGGGACGCGTGGGAACATGGTTACGCCGATGGTTGCTTCTGTAGGGCCGTAGCCGTTATGAATGACCTCGTGCTTGCCAAAGTCGTCAAGGATCTCCTGCTTCAGAGCCTCACCGCCAGTGATGAAGACACCCTTTAGGAGAGTCGGCACTTGGTCCGGTGTCAGCTGCTTGGCCAAACTGGGCGTCAGATCAATGTGCGTAATCCCGAGGGCTGTGATGGAGCCAGCGAGATCCTCGAAGATCAGATCTCTTGGCGCAGACACAAGCCTGATGCCCTCGGACCACGTCCAGTATTGCTCAAGGACCGAGACGTCGAAATGGAATGAAGCGAACTGGAGCCACTTTGAGTCTGCGTCCCAGCGTGGGTAGAAGAGCCTGGAGAAAGCAAGCATAGCCTGCACCGCGTTCTCGTGTGTAAGCTCACACCCCTTGGGTGTTCCCGTCGTGCCAGAGGTGTAGAGGCAGTAGCTGAGGTCTTGAGGAGTGACTGCCCTTGACAATCTAGGCTTCTCGGCCGACAACTTCGAGTATTCGACGTCGTCGAGATTGATGATCGGCACGTTGACCTGGCCTTGTAAAGGTTCAGTCTGGCTCTTCATCGATACAACCATGGCAGCCTTGGAATCTTGAGTGATGAAAGCCTTGCGTGCGACGGGTGCACCGGGATCTAGGGCAACGTAGGCACACCCTGCTTTCAAAATACCCAGAATACCGAACGAGGCTTCAGGACACTTGTCGAAACAGATTGCCACAAGACCGCCCGGCTCAACGCCGTTACTCTTGAGGAGGTTGGCAATCTTGTTGCCTTCCTCGTCCAACTCCTTGTACGTCCAGCATCGGCTGGTCACCTTCTTATCCTCGATCTCTGTGGCAAACTCGAAGGCAATCTTATCGGGGTGCTGGCGAGCACTTCTTTCAACGAACTCATGGAGCAGAGCCACGTCCGTCTTGATCTCGCGCTCCTTGGGAGGTGTGATGGAGAGCAGTTCTTGCGAATGCTTGAAGGCGTCATCCACGTGGCCATCTGGGTGGAAGATGAGGCCCAGCAGAACCTGGTCCAGCTGGTCGAGCATCACCTTCGCCTGCTCTTCAGGAAGGCGATCTGACCTGTAAGTGATTCTCAACTCGAGCTGGTCCCCATCAGAGGGCTCCAGTTCAATGGACACAGCGGCATCGACGGTTGCGTCTTCATCGACAAGCTTCCAGTAGCTCTTCTGGCTGTCTCCATTTGAGAGTTTCTGGTATGCGAATATCGTGTCGAATAGAGCCTCATCCGGGTGGCCGGTCCAGCGCTGAATCTTTGTCAAGGGTGTGAACTGGTGTTTGCGGACAGCGGTGTTGAAGGCCATCATGCTCTCGAGGAGAACGCGGTTGTGCGGGTCATTGCGAGCCGGCAGCGGGACGGTCGTGATACATGGGAAAGCGACTGACTCCGCATTCTCGTCATTACGACCGGACAAGACGATTCCGAAAGTCGCAGCATCCTCTCCAATGTAGCCCGACAGTATACGAGCCCAAGCAGCCTGGCCGGCAGCTTGCATAGTGATTCCAGTTTTGCGGCAGCCTGCCTCGAGCTCACTTTGACTTTGAGAGCAGGTCTTGGATGAGACAAGCGTCCGGCCTTCCTTGACACGAAGCGGCGTCATGCTGGGAAAGGCGTTGACAAAAACATCTTTGCTTCTCTCTTCCCAGAAACTCTTCTGTTCAACGTCGTCATCGCCACTTGACAGGAGTATGGAGCCCAGAACAGACTCGAATGGCTTAGGTGCAGGGACCCTTCCATCGCGGCAAAATGCCGTGACATCGTCCAGAAGAATGCGCAAGCTCTGGGCGTCATACAGGGAGTGCAATATGGAGAAATGCAGAGAGGCACCGCTCGTGTTATCGACCAGGAGCGCGCGGAAAGCGTTCTTGTGGAGGCCATGCAAGATTTCCTGACGGGAATCCTCCCGCCATTCCAAGATCTTCGATGCAGCAGCCGATTCGGACGCTTCCAGCTTAGAAACTGGCGCGAATGAAGCATCATGTGCGTACGTGACCAAAGCAAACGGTGATTGAGTACTGTTGACGTGCACAAACCCAGAGCGGAGAATGTCGTACTTCTCGTAAAGCAAGCGCAGCGCCTGCTCCAAAACATCCGAGCTGATGCCTTCAAACTGGTAATGCATGTAGTTGAGGTACATTTGACCGTCGGAGTGGAGGAATTGCGATATCATGCCGGCCTGTAACGGGGTACAGGGATGGACGGAAGCAACATCGTTGACGCCGACCTTTAATTCTCGACAGATAGCCAGCCTATGCTGCTCTTCAAAGCCCTTGAAGTCAAACATCTGCTTTTCTGGCATGTAAGGTTCTCCGCTTTGTAGGAGCAAAGCGAGGTCCGCGCAGGTGGGACGATCAAGAACGTCTGATGCCGTGACCTTGTAGCCCTGCTTCCTTAGCCGGGCCGCGACTTGCACAGCGCTGATACTGTCGAGACCGAGCTGGTAAATGGTTGTCTGCAAGCCGATGCTCTCAGGTGCAACCTTGGACAGGCCTGCAAGTGCCTCCCTGATTTCCAGCTCGGTGGTGGTCCAGTCGCGCTCGTCCTGGACATCAGAAGTGTCCTGTCTTGCCTCTTCAGAGTCCTGGAAAATGGACTTGAGCGCCCGCTTGTCTACCTTGCCTGCAGCAGATAGTGGGATGCGATCGACCAGGATAAGGAAGTTGGGTATCATGTAGGACGGCAGCTTGTCAGCCGTGGCTTTCTTGGCTCGATCCTTGATTTCTGTGGCGTCGAGACTGTCCCTGTCTGTCCCCACTGCCAAGAAAGCCACGATCTGCTCTTTTGAAGACTCCGATGCCTTGAGCACCTGCGTAGAGACACTGGCAACGGCATCGTGAGAGTCTCGCAGAACGGCGCTAATCTCACCAAGCTCGACGCGCAGACCGCGAATTTTGACTTGATCATCTGCGCGCCCAACAAACTCAAATGTGCCGTTTGCTAGCATCCGAACAACATCGCCTGATTTGTAGAAACGTTGGCCGTGGCGGGAAACAAATCGAGCTTGAGTCATTTCCTGATTGGCGTGATATTCGCGGGCAACCTGAGAGCCACCAATGTACAGCTCGCCAACGCCGAAGATGGGCAGAGTGGAGAGACCGTCTGGAGACTGTACGATGAAACTCGTGGTAGGGAATGGCTTGCCGATGACAGCTGATTTGATGTCCTTCGAAACTGGGAAAATGGTGACACAGAAGGCAGCTTCGGTAGGGCCGTAGGAATTCACGAGCTTTCCAGCCCATCGATCGACGAGTTCCTGGGGCATCGCCTCTCCAATGCAGTACAGGTATTGCAGTGTCGGAACAGAATCCTGCGGCAGGCTCAGAGCGACCGAGGGGGTTAGGTCAGCCAAAGTTATCTGCATAGAATCGATGATTCCGGGTGTGTCATTGAGCATCATTGGCTGCTCAGCCGCACAGAGAGTAAATCCGAAGGTCCAGGCAAGGAAGCAGTCGTAGTAGCACATGTCGAACGTAGTGGCAGCGAACTGGAGGAGGCGGGAATCGGGGTTCCACGGAATAATCGTGCGGGATGCCTCCACCGTCTGGACAGGATTGCGGTGCTCAACGCTTACCGCCTTCGGTGTCCCAGTTGAGCCCGAGGTGTACAGCCTGTAGGCGAGATGGTCTGGCTTCAGGCCGGTGACGTTGGGGTTGTGCGTGGCAGATGAGCCGATGGTCTCCACAAACAAGATCTTGGCCTCTCTGCACCAAGTCGTGTCTACCACCGCGTTCGAAAGTACCACCTTTGCACCGAGCTCTTGGAGCATGAACTGCTTTCGAGACACAGGAAGGTTGACATCGATTGGAGTGAATGCTGCGCCGGCCTTGAGCACTGCGAGGACACTAGCATAGTAGTGTGGCGACTTCGGAATGCAAATAGGGACAGCGTCGTCGAAACCTACGCCTTGTTGTACGAGAACGTGGGCGATTTGGTTCGAGATCTGGTTCAGTTCATTGAACGTCCATCGGCCACGGCTGCCATCCGCATGTTGGAAATCCAATGCCACCGCATGGGGCATTGCCTCGGCATTCCGTTCGAATGCTGAGTGGAGCAACGGTTCGACGCAGGGCTCGAGGGTCTTGAAGTCGAGGTTACTTGCAGAAAGAAGCTCTTCAGAGAGACCAAGAATATCAGAGTAGAGTGCGGAGGGTTGTTGAGTGCATGAGCTCAACGCCGCAGCGAATGTATCGCTAATCACACGAATATCATTCTTCGCGATGAACGCTCTACGAATTCATCCTTAGCTTACTACACACAGAAGCATGGGGTGTGCACTTACTCATGGAAATGCAGAACCAACGCGAGGGTATCATTGTGGCGATTGGGGACAAGCTCGCAAACAAGGGGAAACTGTGTACTCATCAGCCTTGGCTCTACTATGTCTCTTTTGTGACTTACATCCATCTCTCCAGAGTCTTCTTCTAAAGACCAAATGTTCTCATTGAGGCAGTAAGCAGTTTGCTGAAGGATGAAAAGGGTATCAAAAAGACGGGTGCCATCGTTGCTCAGCATTGCTTGGATGCGTCGAAGAGGCGTCAGCTGGTAAGGCAAAGAATCCGCGTTGAAGGTGGAAAGATATTCAAGCAAGTCGTTGTTCTTGCTGTTCGCAGAAAGATCCACTCTGACCGGCAGAGTGTTGAAACATGGCGCAACAAGTCTATCAAGACCGTCTATGGGGAGTGTCCGCCCACTGACAACATTGCCAAAGCAAATGTCGCTCTCGCCGGTGTAAAGAGACAGGATCTTTGCCCACGCCGCTTGGCCTAAGGCCAGCAGTGTGCAAGACAGTTTGCGGCAATCGGATTCCAAGGCGCTGAGTGAGAAGGGCAGGTCCTCCGCAAAGACACATCGCTCGGTCTTAGTCTTGCGGGCAGCAGTGGACAGGCCGGTAAGATCGGGAAACGAGGTTGGCTCAAGGCTCCGAAGGCGACCAGCCCAGAACGAGTCCGTCTCCTTGGACCGTATTTGGACCATCTCTGCCAGAAATGGTTCGAAAGTTACAACTGGTGGCAGGTCGTTGCCACAGTACATTTGCTCCACTTCTGTCATCAACTGACCCATGGCTGCGCCATCATACAAGGCGTGGTGACAGCAGAAGAGCAGGTGGGTGGAGTCGCCTGCCTTCATTGTTGCGAACCGAAGTGGAGGCTGATCGGACTCGGCCATGGATGCAGCGACTGATTCGACGTATCCATCGACCTCATTCGCATCGATCTCGTCCCACTGAGGAATGCTTTCGGCGAGAACGACCTGTGCAAAGGCGTATCGAGGGTCATCCGTAGCGACGAAGCAGGTTCTGAGAATTTCGTGCCTCTTGCACATTGCAGTCCAGCATTCCCGCAGACGAGTGTGGTTTCCGTGGACTTTGAAAACCATCTTGTTGAGATATGTAGCGGTCTCAGAAGACCCTCCCGCCGAAAGCATGGCTTCCTGCAGAGGACTACATGGCAGGACCTTGCGAACGCTGATCTTCTTGTTGTTGAACGTACTCAGGATCTGATCCCTCGTAGATTCACTGAAAACAGTGGTCGGGTCGATCGCTCCAGGACCATCATCCGAGTTCAATGTCTTCTCAGAAATAAACCTGGCCAAGCGCAGAACAGTTGCATTCTGCAAGATGGCCGACACCGGGATTCTTGAAAACCCGGCTTCCCTGAGTCCATTGGATAGCGAAATAGCAGAGATCGAATCTAACCCATAGGCGAAGAATGATGCTTGTCTCCTGATCTCATCCACCGGCATCTTGAGGACGTTGGCAAGGGTGCTGGCAGTCGCAAGCTCGATCTCGGACCACTCGCCGGATTCTTCAAGCCCCTCGGACTTGCGTGAGACCGAATCAATGTAATCAGACGTCAGCTGCTCGTACAAAGCTGTAAGCTTGCGCTTGTCCGTCTTGCCTTGAGCAGTCATCGGGATGGCTGTAACAGGAACCAGGGCGTTTGGCAACATGTACAGAGGGAGCTTGTTCTCCAAGTTACCGAAAACATCGGCCACTGTTCCCTGAGTGTCTTGATCCACGGTCACCACTTGGATGTCTGGCGAAGAAGACCCTCTAGGTACCCAGAAAGAGACTAGCTGCTGAGCAGTCTTATTCTGAACACCCATCAGGAGAGTGACGCAGTCCGTGACCGATGTGGAATCGAGGATACAGCTGTTGATCTCTCCAAGCTCGATCCGCTGACCGCGTAGCTTGACTTGATCGTCGGACCGACCAGAGAATAGGATTGATCCATCTGGGCAGAGACGGCCCATGTCTCCGGACCTGTAGATCCGACCCCACGTAGGATGGTCAATGATCTTCTTCGCAGTAAGTTCCGGCATATTGAGATATTCGCGGAAGACCTGGTCTCCACCAAAGCACAGCTCACCAACGCCACCTCTGGGGATGAGTACGTCTTCCACCTCATCCATGACAAAGGCAGAAGTATTAGTGAAAGGCGCACCGATGTTGTTGATCAAGTCGTCTTCGGTAACGTTGGGCCTGACAGTGCAGATGTTTGTTGTTTCAGACGGACCATAGCCTTGATAGAGGCCCTTGCCGGCCCAAGCCCTTTTCACGTGTTCAGTGACGGCCTCGCCTGCCGTTACAAGGAACTTCACGTTCGGGACGTTGTCTGGGTGGACTAAGGCTGCCACCGTTGGCGTGAAGCTAAGATGAGTGATGCCCATTTGACGTATTGCAAGCTCCATGTCTTGAAAGAGGTCGTCCTTGGTCCCAGAGCAAAGGCACATGCCTGCATACCAAGAAAAGAATATCTCGAAGACAGACACATCGAACGCCTGGGAGCAAGATTGGAGGAGTCGAGAACCTTCAGGGCACGGGTAGATCTGGGAAAGAACCTTCAGGTTGCTCACAAGATTGTCTTGTGTGACAAGAACTCCCTTGGGGGTGCCTGTACTCCCCGATGTGAACACTCCATACGCCACGCGCGATCCGTCGTAAGGCACGTTCGGATTCTCGACACTGAAATCGTCGAGGCTGACTCGGTCTACGTCGAGAACATTCCGATCGCCCAGTGAACGGATATCAGCAGGACAATCGCTCCTCGTCAGGCAGGTGCGTATCTTAGCCTCGTCGACGGTGAACCGGATTCGCTCCAATGGTGTCTCCGGAGCGATGGGGACGTATCCTGCCCCAGTCTTCAAGACCGCAAGGATTGAGACGTACAGATCAATCGACTTTTCCATGCATATGCAAACAAGATCGTCAGGCCTGGTGTTGTGAGAGAGGAGAAGATTGGCAAGTTGGTTTGCTCTTGAGTTGAGTTCTCCGTAAGTGAGCGTCTGCGTCTGGACGCCAGCCTCGTTGATGTTACTACTGAAGGCGACGGCAGGTGCATTTGGATGTTGCTCGGCCCCAATTTCCACGGCGTGGCCTGGTCCCGCAGAGATGTTTTCATGTTTGAAGTCGGCATTTTCCATCGACAGTACAGAGTGGTCCATATGTTGGATTGGTTGGGCCAGCTCGACATCAACGTTTTCCAAGAAGAAACCGACAAGCTGTTCGATTTGGGATATTATAATGTCGACTTGGCTCTTTGGAAGAACAGCAGGATCATAAGTTGCTTTAGAGGCAACACCGGTTTTGCGAGGCTCAAACTCCAAGGTTAGCTTGAACTCGAGTTGGTCAGCACCATCGACCTGTGAGACGAGGCTGCCGTCGTTTCCGTTGCTGTGCAAGGTTTCTTGCCAAACAAAGAGGATGTCGAAAAGCGGGCTTCCAGGTGCCAAGCCACAAGCTTTCTTTACATCGCGCAACGGCAACTCACAGTGGCTGAGCATCGCTCGATTAAGCTCATGGATATGAAGGAGCAGGTCTTTGATGGTGAGAGAACGAGAAATATCGAGCCGGAGAGGAAGCGTCGCGATGCATGGCCCAACAATCTCTTCAATCTGTGAGACTGGAATAGTTCGACCAGAAGTCACAGTTCCAAAGGTGACGTCGGTAGTGTCGAAGTAGAAAGCTGCGAGCAATGCAAGAGCCGCCTGGAAGAACACCTGAGTGTTGACTTTGAGGATGCTGGCGTGTTGCCGGAGACGTTCGAGAGGCGTGGATAGAGCACGGCTCGTGACGGCCAGCGTGTCCGTGGACACCTTCTTGCCGTTGAAATTGGGAAGTGAGGCGTATGCGTAGTCCTCCAGCTGGTTCTTCCAATAGCTTGTTGAAGGTTCGAGATCGGCTGCTGATGTTGTAGCAAAGTGCACGGTTACATCACGGAACTGGGGCCTTTCCGGAGCTTCGCGACCAGAGATGAGGGTATTCAAATCGGACACGATCAGATCCATAGACCATCCATCATACAGCGCATGGGGAATCTGGCAGAGAACCCTGGTCTGGTTGGCAGAAGTCAAGATCTGGAACTTGAGCGGCCTCAGAAATGACTCTGGTGAGTTGAGCTCATAGTCCTTCTCGAATGCATCAACTTCAACCACTTGATTGTCGGAGAGCGCTGACCAAATGATTTGCGCGTAGGAGTTCGCAGAGCCGGCCAGGGCACAGAAGCCAGACCGTAGAATGTTGTTTTTCCTTGCCAGCTCTGTCAACCAACCCTTGAGCTGGAGGGCGCTGCAATGCTGATGAATCTCCAATTCAACCCAGTTACAGTAGGCGCGTGGGTTGATTGAAGTCTCAGCAAGCATGGCTGCTTGCAAAGGTGTGCATCCGAGAACGTCTTCGATGTCAGATGCATTGTGGCGGAGCTCCTTTAGATTCAAGACGGCTTGCTTGAGATCCTTGAACGTATCAGTCGAAGGGCTTGACGGGATGGACGAAGTGGTGCGATTCTTGAGAAGTGATCTGAGAGACTCAGCGTCGCGTGCTGAGAGTATGTCGACGGCACCGAGTGAGTAATCCGACAAGCGCAGTGCTGAAGCTACCCGAATCGCCTTCAAGGAGTCGAGGCCAAGCGAAGCAAGGTTGCTTGTCGGATACACGGTCTCTTGGAGAACGTTGGAGAGTATAGCGCAAATGCGACTTTCGGTCTCATCTGCGTATTCAGACCGTACAGGACGCTCAGCGCCTTGCCTGTCCTTATAGGCAGCCTCGAGTCCTTTGCGGTCAACCTTGCCGGAAGGCAACCGAGGAAGGTCATCCAAGATGACAATGTCTCCAGGTACCATGAATGCGGGAAGCCAGCGCTTGGATTCCTCAATGACCTGTTGAGCATTGAGACTGCAACCTTGGGCCAGAACAAAAGCGACAAGGATGCCCGAGATGACACTGGCGGTGACGCTGCGACAGCCTTTGATGTTTGTCAAGGCTTGCTCCACTTCTCCTAGCTCGACACGCTGGCCTCTTAGTTTCACCTGGCCGGTAGAGATACGGCCCAAGCACTCCAAGGTACCGTCCGGCAACATCCTTGCCTTATCACCCGTTCGGTACAAGCGCCCGTATTCCGGGTGATCGACAAAGGCGGCAGCGGTCTGCTCGGGCCGGTTGAGATACCCGACGGCAAGCTGGTGACCGCCGACGGCAAGCTCTCCAACCTGGCCAATGGGAAGTATTTCCATCGGGGCGGGCGTAGATTGATCATCGGGCGGGGGAGCGACAACGAGGGCTGAAACAGTATCCAGTGGGATTCCGATGTTGCCCACCTTAGAGTGGGCGCTAAAGCTTGGTTGGAGGGTACAATGTATGGCGGCTTCCGTGGGGCCATACATGCCCCACAGGATGCTTGGCTGCACTTCGCTGCCGCCAAACTCGTGCACGATCTGGGTGCTCAGCATTTCGCCGATCGTAAGGAGGAGTTTCAGTTTCGGGACAGCATTGCGCGTCTGCAGCAGGGTCCCCGCCACGGTGGGGGTGAGTTCGGCTGCATCCACCTCCAACGTCCTCATGGCTGCCGGCAGATCATTGAGCAGAGCCGTCCGATCACACGTGACAAGCGTGCAACCCTTGAACAGGGGGAAAAATATTTCGAACACCGACACGTCGAAGGTGGGTGCGGCAAACTGGAGAAAGCGCGAGAACGAGGGAATGTGCCGGTCGTGAGCCAATAGGCTCTGAGTGGCAGCGAAATGCGAAACGCCGACTCCTTTCGGAGTGCCCGTTGACCCAGAAGTGTACATGACGTAGGCAAGGTCTTCCGGGCTAGGGCTCGGGAGCTCCGCAGGGCCTGCCGAGTCCGCATTGTAACAGCCGTCTTCTAACAGTAAAACATGAACGTTGTCGCCCAGGGGTATCTTATCGCGAAGTGAAGGAGTGGTGACGACGAGTCTTGCAGAAACGTCTTGGATGATGAACTTGACACGCTCCGGGGGCGCATCCAAGTTCAGGGGACAGAAGGCGCCTCCTGCCCTGAGAATGGCAAGCTGGGCGATGTAGAGCTCCGGGGATTGTGGCACAAGCAAGGGCACCACGGGATGCGGTCTCGACGGAGCCAGATAGGAGCGGATTATGCTGGCCAGCGAAGTCGTCACTCGGTCCAAGGTAGAGTAGGACAATTCGGTGCGCTTCCCGTCGTGGCCGAGAAAGTCGATGGCAGGCCTCGCGGCGTAGTCGGCCCATCGCACGAGGTCATGAAGCAGCCGCGGGCCTCGTAGCGCCTCCGGGTGCGGGTTGAGGACCGACAGGGCCAGGGCCGGCTGGGGCGGCAGGATCTCGCTCGCAGCGTGTGCCTGGGCAATGCAGCGTCTCAGCTGCTGCGCCATGTGGCGGAGATGCTGGGCGGGCAGATAAGCCGAGCAGACGAGGCGTCCGCGGGCCGCGTCACGGCTGTATTGGAAAGTGAGGGCGGCCGGGTGGGCCGAAGGAGTCTGCCAGAGCGTCAGAGGGGGATTCGCAGAGGAGAATTGGGTGGCGTGACAGACCACGTCCAGGTAGACTCGAGTGACGTTGGCGAGGTGCGAGGCGGGCTGCGGCGGCGCGAGTCTCGAGATGGTGCCGCTCATGGCGCCCACCTCGACCACAGCGTCGTCCACCAGGAAGCGCATCGCATCCACGCCCGTGTAGGCATGCAGCAGCGCCGCCCACGCGCGCACGACGGCCTCGTCCGGCAGCTGCGGGAGGCCAGGCAGAATTTCTTCTGCGGGCGCCGCGCCGGCAGGGCCAGGCGCGTGGGTGGAATGGAGGTTGGGGAAGGCCGTGAGGTCCATGGCTTGCGCAGTCACCGCACGAATTAGGAAATTAGAGACAGACAGGCGTGGGGAGCGGCGCGTTCAAGTGGTACAAGTAGCATAGAGAAAAGCAGCCCGCGGGATAGTGGGATCAGCGAATCACGGCCCGGGGTCCTCGGCGGTGCATGATTTGCGGCCACAGGCGATGTATAATGAGCGAGCTGGCGGCCGCGTCCATGGCGCCCAGGCGTGCCGGAAGCTGATGAGAGCTGGCGCGTGAAGTCGCGGTCGATGACGATGCTCGCACTGGCCCATGCCGTGCTGGGGCGCCCGCCGAAGCAGGCCCAGTGCCCACGCCTGCTAGCGTCCACCGCGGGGCCACTGCAGTCGCGACCTCGCCGCCCGCGCTCGCGCCTGCGCCTGTCGCCGTTTCCCGCTCGACCGTCGCCGTCGCCGTCGCCGTCGCCGTCGCCAGCTGCTGCACTCGTCGCCTCGTCGCCTCGTCGCCGCGCCCTTCGTTCGGGACGCCGCTGCTGCCAGGGCCCTGCGGTGACAGCTCCGGGCGCCATGCAGCTGCCGCAGCTGGCAGCAGCACCAGCAGCCCTCCACGCCAGGGCTGGTCCGCATGCCCGCCGGCATGGTCCGCGATCGGAGCGCCCCACGCGAGCCCCCCTGGCGCGCCCCGGGCGGCGGGCATCGAAGCGGCGGGCACCGAGGGCCGCGGTGGAGCGTGTGTGTCAACGGAAATCTCATCTGATCATCAGATAATTCGACTAACCGGTTGATGTTGCATGCAAATTCTTCGAGGAGCTTGGCGGCGCGGAAACACAGCCCCAAAAGGCTTGACAGCAGCCGCTTCGGCCCTAGGCCCAGTCCAGCGGGCGGATCTGATAAGCCCCACAATGCAGGGGTTGCGCCACTGGCGTCGGTCCTTACGTGGGTGGTCCATCTCCGGCGAACACTTTGCACCTCCGTCCACACCCATTCGTACCGCGCCCGCCGATGCGTGCCTGCTGCTGCTCGGCGTCAGCCCTGCATCCCAGCCCCGTCGGCGAGCCGTGGACTGCCGCCATGGCACACTGGCGCCAACCCGCACGCCCGCGTCGGCAACGGCGCTGCCCCGGACACGGCACAGCGCCACCGGCACCGGCCTGCTTGGTCGTTGCAGCTTCGCCTGCGCCCTGACCGCTGCTTGCTTGGCTGCGCTGTCTGCATGCCGTCGGAGATTTCTGCCAGCTTACCAAGGTGTTGATCATCCCCGGTTTCTCCTTTGGGCCTGCTTGGGCAACAGGCTGTGCTGGCCTAGCCGTCCCTCCCCCATTTCTAGTAGACATGACCCTCTGACCCGGCCCGAGGTCCACTTCCCTTATACGTAAGTTTCTTGCTAAGGATCTCTGGGGATCCAAGTCTCCTCCTCCCCCCTCACATCCTCATGGAGGCCTCTGCTGTGCCGCCCGAGCCTACCGCTCTCGAACCCGTCCGCACCCGCAACGATGCCGACCCTTCTGCTGGAGACGGCCGCGCCCAGCACCCACGTCACAGCCGAAACGTCAGTGCCGGCGACTCTCAATGGCGCCGAGACATGGACGTGGCCTCCCTCAGCACTGCTCAGCCGAGAGCATGGCATGCTGAGATTGGCGGCGTCTCCAAGATCTTCTTCAGACGCATCGCTGGCCTCAACCCCTTCAAGACGTCCTACTTCTCGCTTTTCCGGCCCCTCAAGAGCTTCCAGGACCGGTTCATACTCGTTGCTGGCGTCATACTCGGCATCGCCGCCGGCGTACCTCTGCCCTTGATTGGCGTCATTTTTGGCCATATCATTGATGCCTTCCCGCCATCCGAACACGAACTCGCCGTGCGCATTTCGCAACTGCTAGGAGTTGCTGTGGCATATTTCGTAGTCACCTGGGGATGGGCCGTGTGCTGGGGAATCATTGGCGAAAGAACCTCCCGCGGACTGCGGGAGGCGCTGGTTGAGCGTGCTCTGGGAATGGAAATGGCCTACTTCGACGTCGAAGCGCCAGACATGACCAGCATCCTCACAGAGAAGACCCAGACTGTACAGCTTGGTACCTCGGAGAAGGTTGGCCTTTTCCTCCAGTCAATCTCGTATTTCGTCGCTGCTTTCACCGTGGGCTTCATTCTGGACGCCCAGTTGACCGGAATCCTTCTTGTGGCCGTCATCCCGACCATGTTCATCATCATTACTTTCGGCTCCAAGACCGTCGCGAAGTTGCAGAAAAGTTCAGCAGATGTTGCAGAAAACGCCGCTGCTATCGCGTCGAGCGCCCTGAAAGCCGTACAGGTCGTCCAGGCCTTTGGCATTGGAGACAAGTTGGCGGACGAGTATCTCGCGCTCCTGAAGAGCTCCGTCCGGATTGGCGTTCGAAAGTCGATCGCTGGAGCAGCTATGCTTGGATGTGTCTACTTTACCGCGTACTCGGCCAATGCCCTTGCTTTCTGGTATGGCACTAAACTCCAAGAGGACAGGGGCGCGGATGGCGGTGCAGGCACAATCTATGCGGTTGTGTTCCTCATCCTCGACGCGTCCTTTGTCGTCGGCCAGTTCGGACCTTTCATCCAGACCTTCGCCATGGCAGCAGGCGCTGGCGAGTCCATCTTCGAAGTCTTGGACCACGCAGATCCGCATATCGATGTGTATGCCGACGATGGTGAGACGCCTGACGCATCTGCCTTCGCGGGTGGCATTCGTTTTGAGAACGTCACTTTCGTGTATCCTGCGAGGCCCACCGCAAGGGTTCTGAACCACGTCAACCTCAATTTCCAGCCCGGTGCTGTGAATGGCATCGTTGGTACCTCCGGCTCTGGCAAATCCACTGTTGCTGGCCTCCTCCTGAGGTTCTACGATCCATCCTCGGGGAAAGTCACCATTGGCTCAAAGGACATCAAACAACTGAATGTTCGTGGACTTCGTTCTCGAATCTCCATGGTGAACCAAGAGCCGGTGCTTTTCTCTGGCACCATCTTCGAAAACATCAAGTATGGACTTGACGAGGACCACGGTCTCTCCGAAGAAGAGGTTCTCCAGCGTTGCGAAGAGGCTGCACAAGAGGCTGCTTGCGATTTTTTCGACATACTTCCTAATGGCATCCATACTATGATTGGAAGCTCGGGTCACACTTCGTTGTCTGGCGGTCAGAAACAACGGATTTGTCTTGCAAGGGCTCTGGTCGGCAACCCGTCTCTTCTGATCCTCGATGAATACACTAGTGCCATGGATGCAACTAGCGAAGCTCTAGTCCTCAAAGCTCTGGACAAAGCCACATCTGTATCCGGTCGAACCACCATCATCATCGCTCATCGCCTGGCCACGATCAAGAACGCCGCAAAGATCATGGTTATGGAGCACGGAAACCTCATCGAAGAGGGGACACATGAGAGTCTGATTGAGATGAGCGGCACCTACAGCCGACTCGTTGAGGCCCAAAAGTTCGACAAGAGTCCTTTGGATTCAAAGACTTCGTCAATCACAGCGACACCCAGCATTGCCCCCATGACTACGGACATGGACAAGGACACGGGAGCTCATATCGTTGAGCAATTGCAACCGTCGGAGGCTACCGGACCCTCTAAGCCATTCAGCATCGCTCAAGTGCTACGCAGAGCTTTTCTTCTCAGCAAACCCGAGACTCCCTACATCCTGCTGGGGCTTTTCGCATCCATGTGCAGCGGAGCCATCATTATCGGCGAGGCGATCATTTTCGGAAGTCTTGTGTCGACTCTGAACACCAAATTTGACAGCCCCGATTTTGACCGTGAAGTCAACTTCTATTGCTTGATGTTTTTCATTCTGTCTCTTATCGCCCTGTGTGCGTATGTGACGAGCGGGTCCTGCTTCGGCTTCGTTTCTCAATGGCTCCTTTGCCGCATCCAAGACACTTCGCTCAGAAATATCCTCAGACAGGATGTATCTTGGTTCTCGAAACCAGGAAGGTCGTCACACTCCCTCATGTCGAGCTTGAGCATGGATGCTGGACATATTAGCGGTCTTTCCGGCGTCATCATCGGCACGATCTTTTCCGTCTTTACATCCATTTGTGGTGGAATCATCCTTGCGCATGTTGTCGCATGGAAGATTGCAGTTGTTCTGCTCGCTGCAGTCCCTGTCATGCTTGTCGCGGGATTTTTCAGGCTTCGCGTCCTTTCTCAGGCAGAAGAACGTCACGAGACTGCCTACAACGATGCGGCAGCGTTAGCTTCCGAGGCTTGTGCTGCCATCCGCACTGTCTCCGCACTTGGGCGAGAGCGCGGCATCTTAAAGCAGTACAAGCACGCCATTCAGGGTCCTTACCAGGAGAGTCTCAAGTTTACCCTGATCGGAAATATTTTGCTTGCGTTCTCACTTTCCATTACATACTTTGTGTATGCCCTGGCATACTGGTGGTGAGTGTGGTCATCGCCCAACATTCCAAAGCTTTGCTAACGTGTGCTGTCAGGGGTTCGAGGCAAGTGCGCGAGGGAATGTACGGCATGCGCGATTTCTTCATCGTGCTGCCAGCGCTTCTGTTCTCTGCGCAGTCCGCCGGCCAGATGTTCAGCCTTGCTCCTGAGATTACTCGTGCCAAATCAGCGGCACGCAATGTCTTCAGACTTCACGACGAAAAGCCCTCCATCATAGTCGATGATCAAGACGCGAGCGCAAGCTCACTGTCGGACAATGAGGCCGAGAAGCCAAAGGCTGGGAGCAAGGGAACTCTGGAACTCAAAAATGTCAGCCTTGCTTACCCCTCGAGACCCGACGTTCTCGCTCTCAAGGGCGTAAGTCTGTCTATCCGGGCGGGTGAATACGTCGCATTCGTGGGACGATCTGGCGCGGGCAAGTCATCCTCGATCGCTCTCATCGAGCGTTTCTTCGACCCCACGTCAGGCACAGTGTTCATGGACGGCGAGAACATCAGAAACAAGGCGGTCCACTCTCATAGGGCGAGGATTGGTCTTGTGGAGCAGGAGCCGAATCTGTTCCCTGGAAGCATCATGCACAACGTATCGCTGGGCGCGAGGCCCGGGGACACGCCGACAAGAGAGGATGTGGAAAGAGTGTGCAAGATGTGTGCGCTGCACGAGTTTATCATGGGCCTGCCGGAAGGCTACAACACCGAGGTGGGCGCCAATGGGGGCCGGCTATCAGGTGGCCAGCGACAGCGGCTAGCGATAGCACGGGCACTTATCAGGAACCCGGAGATCTTACTGCTCGACGAGGCTACCTCCCAGCTGGATGCGACGAGCGAGAAAGAGGTTAGGAGGGCGATCGCAGCCGCGTCGTCGGGGCGTACCACCATCATGGTAGCGCATCGGCTGGCCAGCGTCCAGAAGGCGGATCGAATCTTCGTTTTCGAGAACGGCAGGATTGTGGAGCAGGGCAGCCACGACGAGCTGGTTGCGCAAGGGGGCATCTACTCGGGCATGGTAGAGACGCAGCAGCTAACTTGACCGATAAGCCTGCTTCCACGGTGCTTCCAGCAAGGCGTTTAGGCGTGGTGGGGTTCAATGTGACGGCAGGGATCACTTTTCATTTCACGACGAATGGGTACTTGTTCGTGCAGGATCTGTCTGCAACAGGCAAAGACGTTGCACGCTCCGCTGTTTAGAGTAAAAAATTTCCAGCTTGAGGGAGCCAGTACATAGAAAACGGCGCTTGGCCATCAGAAAACAGCAGAGGAACGCGTCAGCTCCGAGGATTAGAGTGCAGCCATCTTTACTTTAGCCGGTGCGATCAACGCCACGCTGCACATATAGCAGCGATAACAGCGTGCTGTACCTGATCTGCCGCATCTGCGTGGTGCCGTGGTGCTGGCCCAGGTGCTGGCCCAGGTGCAGGCCCAGGTGCAGGGTGATTTCCCGATCGGGACAGGCACCAGGCAGAGATTGCGTCTCGTCTTGTTGGACGCCTCCCGCCGCTGCGTGCGGGTGCCAGCGCCAGCCGCGGCTCGCGCAGCAGCGGGCCATCAGACGGCAAGCTCGGAAGTTGAGGGTCGCAGAGACTGCACAATGGTCGTGGGCCGTCGTCATGGAGGGTGCTGCTAGCGCGGGCAGACGTGGGTGGCTGCGCCAAGCGGCGCCCCCGGACGGCATCCGAAAGTCGGCGGGTTGGCGGCGGGTAACGGATCAGATAACTGTATTCAACATAGGCGTACGGCCCTTGGGTGGGCCGGGCTGGGCGTTTCTTAGGCGGCGAAGCGAGGCTCGGCGATGGACCAGGCGGCGCCGGCGGGCAACGGGGGCACGGCAGCAGGCACGGCAGCACGCGCGTTTTTTCGCAATAATGCACTTGCTCCTTCCAGCCCAGCGGCCGGCGGGCAGCCGGGCTCGACTCGCGCCAGGCGCCCTGCATGGCGCTGCACGCCGAAAAAATTTGTCGCCGCGTTCCACCTCGGCGGCGCTAATCTTATCTAATAATTATCTGATTCAGATCATCGCCAGCCGCGGCCGTTTGGGCTAGCTGGGGGTTGCGCCGCCGCCATGCTCTCTGCTGCCGGGGCCTGCTCGTCCGATGGTCTGCTGAGGCCGCGCTGCCTGCGCTTCGGGCTGCCCGGCTGCCCTTGGCGAGCGGGTCGCGCCGGGCGAGCGCCCAGCGCGGGCAGCGAGCTGCGCAGGCATAAAACGCGGGCGGCCGACTGCACCAAACACTGCTGTTGGTCACCGTCTGCAGCCACTCTGCTCCCAGTCTCCCAGTCCCCTGCTGCTGTGCTCCTGCCGGAAAGCATTCTGCCCAGCTCCAGCGTTGCTTCTCAGCCCGTCCGTACGTACCTGCCTGGCCCGCCCCGCGCCTGCCCCCCCAAGTCATTGCGTCATCGCCTCGCCGTCCACTCCGCCCAAAAGTAGCCGCTGACCAGCGCATGGACACGGCCAGCTCTTGCCATTCGTCCGCTGCTTCCCGTCCAGAGGACCTGCCGGGTGAGTCCTTGCCGCCAATGGCCGCGCGTCCGCCAGACCGGGGCTCGGCTCGCCCCAAGCATGGACCGTTGCTGATGTGTACTATATCATGCAGTTTATGTTCTCTGAACTCTCCTCCGTCAACACTCCAGTACCTGTACTGCTCGACCTGTCCACCCGCACAAAATGAGCCCTCACGCCGAGTACGCCGCGCCCCCGCAGAACAACAACCAGCCCCTCCGCAGCGTCCACCGGGCCACCCAGCCCAAGATGCATCGGAACACCAGCTACCTGAGGCCCTCCTCCGAGGACGAGCTGCACGACATCCTGTGCGTCGGCTTCGGTCCTGCGTCGCTCGCCATCGCCGTGGCCATGCACGACGCCATTGAGGCCTCGGGCCACGTGGGCCAGCTCGACCGGCTGCCCAAGGTCGCCTTCCTGGAGAAGCAGCCCGAGTTCCGCTGGCACGCGGGCATGCTCCTCGAAGGCGCCCACATGCAGATTTCCTTCATCAAGGACATGGCCACCCTGCGCAACCCGCGCAGCAACTTCACCTACCTCAACTACCTCCACAAGAACGACAGGCTCATTGACTTCACCAACCTGAGCACCTTCCTGCCCCCGCGTGATGAGTACGAGGACTACCTGAGGTGGTGCGCCAGCCACTTCGACGACGTCGCCTCGTACGGCCAGGAGGTTGTCCAGGTTGTCCCGGAGAAGACGACCATTGACAGCGCCGCTGTTGACGCCTTCGTCGTCAAGTCCAGGAACATCGTCACCGGCGAGACCACCTCCCGCCGGGCGAGGCACGTCGTCATTGCCACCGGCGGCCGGGCCAAGATCCCGGAGCCCTTCCCCAAGGACCACGCGAGGGTCATTCACTCGTCGGCCTTCAAGTACACGGCCCCCAAGCTCCTGCGTGAGCGCAACGCTCCCTACAAGATTGCTGTCATTGGTGGCGGTCAGAGTGCTGCTGAGATCTTCGAGAATCTCCAGAGCAACTACCCCAACTCCAGCACCAACCTCATCATCCGGGGCCAGCACCTGCGCCCCAGTGATGACTCTCCGTTCGTCAACGAGATCTTCAACCCGGAGAGGACCGACGACATGTTCAGCCGTGACGCTGACCTCCGTACCAAGACCATCCTGGACGACAAGGTCACCAACTACGGTGTCGTTCGTCTCAACCTGCTTGAGAGGATTTTCGAGACCATGTACCTCCAGAAGATGAGGTACGGCGCCCAGGAGAACTGGCCCCACAGGATCCTGAACTTCCGCACCATTGTGGACGCTGGCGAGTCCCCCGTCATCAAGGGCGGTGTCCGCCTGGTTGTCAACAACCACAGCAACGAGTTCTGCGCTCAAAAGAGCGCGACTGAGGAGGTCCACGACTACGACCTGGTTGTCGTCGCCGTTGGCTACGAGCGCAACGAGCACGAGGACATCCTGCAGGGCAGCCGCTGGCTGATGCCCGGAGGCGGTAGTGCCGGCCAGAAGTGGGAGGTCAACAGGCAGTACGGCGTTTTGTTCGAAGAGGGCAAGGTCAGCAACAATGCTGGCATTTGGTTGCAAGGTTGTAATGAGATGACGCACGGTGTAAGTTTGCCCAGACCCCTTCTGATGTTCTTCTCTCCGATCCCACGCGCCACCTCGCTTCCCAGCATCCTGTGATTCGTTCGCCAAACTCAGTTCCTCACCTTCCTGTTCCGCTTCACACACCCTTTTCTGTCTTTTACAGGAAACCCAGCTCGCGGCTGGTGTTTCCGTACACGACTCCCGCTCCCACGGGATCCCTGGCTTGCTTCTCCACACTTGAAAAAATCCAATGCTGACATGCATTTGCGCCTATAGTTAAGTGATACCCTACTCTCCGTTTTGGCCATTAGAAGCCAGGAGGTTGTTTCTTCGATTTTCGGTTCCCAGGTTGAGCATAGCAACGGCGTTCATCATGAGGAGGCGCATCAGTCTCAAAACGGTCACCACGCCCACCACCAGACTCAGCTCCAGGCTTGAGTCCAAGGTGTCGATGGGGGGTTGACGTGTATTACGCAGTTCTCGACCCTTCTTCCAGAGACTCGCGTCCGTCTAAAAAATTGTTTGCTTTAGTTTGACAACAAAAAATGTATTTCATGTTTATTTCTAGTTGGGACCATTCAGGGCAATGCAAGCGTGAAGTGATGTATACAATCTCTGGGTCACAACTGTGTGTTTGCAATGCGCTCCGCAGGCCCGATCAAGTCCAACCACCAGGACCTGTCTCAAGGGCCACCCCTATGTGCTTTCCGAGAAGTTATCGATCTCGCCGGAGCTAAGGCCGCGAGCAAGTCCGCAGCGAAGTCCGCAGGCGAAAAGGCAAGTGGATGATGAGGTAGCATTATTGATGGATGAAAATTTAGGCCATTAGATCTGCAGCCATGCATATTGGCGCGGGCATTGTATCTCTCGCAAAATTCCGTTTCTAAGAATGTCTTGCCCCACCGCCATGGCCATGTGAAGGGGCCCTCACTTCAGGCGAGCTGCCGGTGAGGACACAAACAGCGGAGATCGATGCGACCGTACCTGACTGTCGTGCTTCACCCTTAATAGCCGAGGGACACGTCTTCGCCACGGGGAGCACGGAATTGTGGGAGAGGGGACGGGGAGTGATGAGCAGCTGGGCGGATCCGGCGGGTACCCAGTCTGGTCGCCGACCTAGCCTTGTTCCGATTAGCTAACGCTGCAGCGGGTAAATGGCATGGGTGTGCTTCAGGCCGCTGCTCTTCACATGCTCTTCTTTGCTCTCTCTTGCCTAGTTTTCGTTTCGTTTCGTTTCTTTTTTCTTCCTTCCCCTGCTCCTTTTGGTTCGGACAGTACGTAGTAGTACGTCCGTAGCGAATCAATGCTGTGGAGCTCCGGGTCCCCGGCCCCCGTGACTGGCAGCTACTACAGTATAGGACATGTAGGAATCGGCCGGCGCTGACACCATGCTGTGGCGACGAACCCGCTGGGTCTTCTTCTATTCTGAAATTCGCGCCGCCACATACACTGTTGCTGCCTGGGTACGTGTCAAATATTTTCTCCCCCGGCTCTAGCAATCCTTCGTTCGATCCAGCCGTCATTGTTGATGATAAAGTGTCAGGGACATGTGTTGCAATCTTCGGACCGGTTGCGAGGTCTCGTACTCGATTAGCACTGCTGGATAGGAGCCTTGTTCATGACATTTTGTTTGATGGGTGAAGGATGCCAAATGGTGATGCTCTGCAGGGATTGCGGCCAATTTGAAACGAATTACATCGCTAGGAGGAGCGGCGCGGCCCCGCTCCTTCTATTGTGCGCATATGTGGAGACGGATGCGTTGTTGTAGCCTCATGCCGTCCGGCTTGAGCCGTGGCGGGCTTCGGTCTTCACTCTTGATAGTATTCAGCGGTAGATCGCTGATGCTATCCGTCCACCCGTGTAAGGGCGTTCCTCCTGAGCGGTGGCCCTGATGACGATTGCTCCGTTTCTTTCTGCTACTTGCGTTTGATGGACGGGCTAGCCGAGCTATCGTCAGGCGCAGCAAACGGATGTAGGCGAGC